AAACAGAAAAACTGTTTCAAGAACTGACAACAGAATAATGAAGAAAAAGCAAAGCCCCACTGACCTAGCAACTTTACTCATCTTCTACTGTGATCTGGATTCTCCTGCCTTGGTTGCAGAGTTCCACATTCTTGGGCACAAAGAAGTAGTCACCAGGGTTGAGCTTGTGCACCGTGTTGAAGGCATACGTGTTGTAAGAGAATGGAGGGATCTTACATTTCTGCATGGTGGTGTAACTGCCCAGATCTTCGAGCGGCTCCGTCAGGTCACTTGTGACAAACTTCACACGCGTTCCTTTCTTGATCACAATCTGGAAATAAGGTAGCAAGTGCAATACAGCCAACATGGATTTATGGGAAATATTGTATACCTTTAGTTGTATACTTCTAGTTGCATATTATGATTATCTTTCATTTAAGAGAATACCTTCGAATTCGGAGTACATCTGCCGGAGAGGCGGGGAACGAGAACTGCAAACAAATAAGCCAGTAAAACGTATGGACATGCAAAACTCAGGTCAAGGTATAAGCCAAAACTCCAATTGGACGAACAACCGGGACTTACTGCCGGAATTCACAGATGGTAAATAAGAAGGATTAACAGAGAAGATTGTGTTTATCTTTTATTGTTTATCTGTTTTTTTTAATTATAAAAAAAGAAGAGTGGAATGAATGTGAAAATTATTATTTTCTTTTTCACTTAATTTTTTATCACTTGAAATGTCAAGGCATATATTTTTGCTTCTTGATCAATCTGGCCACTTTGATCGTAGACACATCATGCTGTGGTAGAGTTTCTCTGATGTTATCTTTCCATATTGTTCTTAGTCTGCCCCATGAACTGCCTCCTTCTCTTCTTTGTGTTTAGAATTTAGAATTGGTTCAGTGCCAGTCTATTGAAGATCATATATATTTATATATATATATATATATATATATATCTTCTTCTTCTTAGTCGCTCCTCTTCTACCTTGGGGTGTAGAGGTTTGCCAGAGAGATCGCCAGACGTCTCTATCAGCAGTTTTCTTTCTGGCTTTGTTCCATTCCAGTCCTCTGTCAGTTCGGGACTGTCGGATGTTGTCTTCTTTCTCAAGACTTCCCTCAGCGCCAAGGAGCTCTGAGAAGTATTCTTTCCATCTGCCCATGATATCATTTGTAGAAGTAAGCAGAGCCCCTTCCTTGTCTTTTATGAATTTAAGTGGGCACTCTTTCTCCTTCCTCATGTTCTTAAGGGTCTTGTAGAACAGTTTTTGGTTTTCTCTTGCATTCTTTTCCAACTTTTCTCCAAACTCTTCCCATGATTTCTGTTTTGCTTTAAGCACAATATTTTTGGTCTCTGTTCTGAGTGCTACATATTGTTTATATTTTTCTATTTCTTCAGCTGTGTTCCTGGCTGCCAGGTATTGCTTCCATGCCCTTTTCTTTTCTCCTATTTTCAATTTACTTCTTCTGTCCACCAAGGTGTCCTGTGTCCCCGCCTTCCACTTGGGGCTTTACCACATGCTTCTACTGCAGCTGCTGTGAGGATATTCTTGAATCTGCACTAGAGGGTTTCAGTGTCCTCTGATGATTCTTCTTCAGTTCCTATTGCTTTCACTATAAGCTCCTGGTATCTAGCCTTAATATCTGGCTCTCTTAGCTTGTATGCTTTAATCCTCATCCCTTCTTGGTTGCTTGGTTTCTTGCATGGTTGTCGGTGTTGCCTTGTTGGAGCAGTTCTTTCAGTTGTTCTCTTTATTGTGACCAGATAGTGGTCACTTCCAATCTCTGGTCCTCTCATGACTCTGGCATCTCTCACAAACTTGAATGAACTTTTCCTAACTATGGCGTAGTCAATGATGGATTTTTCATTCTTTGAAGGTTCACATCTTGTGTATGCATGTATACGCTTGTGGGGGAATTTTGTGTTTGTAATGACAAGGTTCTGTTCCCTTCTAATACATTTTTTTGTATATATATATATATATATATATATATATATATATATATATATATATATATATATATATATATATATATATATATATATATATATATATATATATATATATACAGAAAAAAATTTATTAGAATATAACAAGACAAAGAAAAATGTGTGTGTATAAATGTGGATACAGAAATAACTTTTATTAGAATTTGAGAGGACAAAGAAGACTTGAGAATCAGTGTGGTCAGTAATGTTTTTTTTTTTTCAGATATGACCTCTGCAGACACAGAATACCACCAACAGAAACATGTAGAACTCAGATCATCAAATTGTTACCAACCTTGGGCACCAACTCATTGCTCTGACTCACTGGGATGACCACAATATCATAATCAGAGTAAGCATTTCTTTCCACAACAATGACTTCTCCAGAACTTTCTTCAAAAGGTTGACCTCGGTAGTTCAAGCTAGTCACCTTCACCTTGAGGAAAAAAGATGGAAGATTTACTTTATGAAGACTTACTTGATGTTTTACCACACATGAAACAAACTTCAGTTTAGGGCTTCATCTTTATTTGTTTGTACATGACTCTTATTTTATACATCTTATTACTTTTCATTTTTTTGCTGTTCTCATGTTCCAATATGGACTTCCACAACTCGTGGAGTCCAGGCGCCTATCTTTCATAGTGCTGATCAGAGCCGATGTTGTACATCTATATGAAACTAAATGCTAAATCCATCTTGATCATCTTGTACAAATGCTAAGTGTATGATTTTAGTTCTCTCTTCTACTTCACTTTCTTCTACTGCTGAAGAAGTAGAAAATGTCGGTATAAGACAGTATGCATAATGTGAAATAGACGTAATATGAACTCAACTGCATCAGTTCTTGGAACATTTGGACCCTACCAGTGTAGTTGTTTTTCTTTACTTACTATTGTTAATTTTGTTTTGTTTTATTGGTAATAAGTGCCAATTGTCATAAGTCACATATGTCAAGGAGAACTAATAACTAATTAATAATATATAGATTGTATATATGACAACAGTTATATATGCTGTCTAATCTGTGGTTCAAAATCTCATTTAACATTCAGTTACTTCAGACAGGGGCAAGAATCTGTGAGTGACCTACCTTGACTGGGTGGTCTGCAGTAATGCCATATTGCCTGGCAACATCAGTTATGTCGTACTTGAACAGTCTTTCATAAGCCCAGGGCATCTCCTTCTGGCCTCCGAGCAGATGGAAGTTTCCTGCACTGTGATTCTGCCCAGCATCATCAATAAGCTCAATCTGTGGAGAACATTCGTGGTGAATCTCAGTAGTCCAAGAGTAAAGGACACAAGTGAGTAAAAACACATTAAAAAAAAATGGTCAAAGACTCTTTTCATGCCAGTCCTCTTCTGTAAACTCTAATGAAAAGTTCTTGTTCATCTATTTCTGGACTTTAGTCCTGTTCCAAAAATTGAGTTTTGCATGCACATCCATTTCACAGGTTTGACTCATTTGAATGCAGACTGTTGGTTCCTTGCCTCTCAGGCAGATACACTGACTTCAAAGAAAGCTCCCAAATTGGTTTTTGCCAGGGGCCGCAATATAGGCAGGCCATGCATATGGCCAAATGTCTGAACGCGGTTTCTGGGACCTCTCCACGACGATCCTCACCCGCATGGTGGCGCTTTGTGTCATCGGGTGTTTATCGCTAGTGTGATGTCCTGGTGGGGTAGAAAGTCAGTCAGTCAGTCAAAGCTCCCAATTAGTCAACTCTTTTGATATGCTTGTTAGGGAGGCAGTGGATCTGTTCTTGTTTTCCCCACAATGGGGCCCTGGAATCTACACAGGGAATGCCAGTGTTGCTTTAGGAATATCTTCTTCTTCGCGTTCACCAGCTCTAAACTCCAATGGAAAGTTCTGGGTGTTCATCCACTTCTGGACTGCAGCCTTGTTTTAGAACTTGATTGTTGCATGTGCATCTGTTTTACAGATCTGACTCATTTGTATGCAGACTGCTGGTTCCTTGCCTCTCAAGCAGATGCAATCCAACTTCGAAGGAAGCTCCCAACTAGTTGACTCTTATGCCATGCTTTTGGGTAGGCAGTGGGTCTATTCTTGTTTATTAAACATTTGCACATTTGCACCTTCCTTAGCTAGTTTATCAGCTCTTTCATTTCCAGGAACTCTACAGTGGGATGGTATCCATTGCATAGTTACCTTACGCCAGCTGCGTAGTTTGGAGAGTAGTGTTTGTATACCAGGTAGTTTTCCAGATTGGCGTACTTGAAGCAATGCTCTTGCCAAGCCTGATGTGATGTATAAGTAGCAAAACATAATGACGATGAGGTTCCTAAAGTACGTTTTATCTTAAAAACAGTCAACAACTACAGCTAAAATAACTTCAAGAAAAAGGAATAATGAAAACACTAATGATTGCTTTCTTACATTGTACTCAAGTGTGTTTTGTTGTCCGTACAAGACAAAACCGATGTAGATTCTGTTGTTGGTGCGCAGTCTTTGAATTATCTCATTCAGCTCCTGGACATCGTGGCCATTCAGTTCCAGTCTGTCAAACTGTAGACACAAAGCACAACACAGATGTGAGCAAAAATTGCTGTCTACTCTTGTTCAAAGTACATAATCAAAGAGAGAGAGAGAGAGAGAGAGAGGAGGGGGGAGAGGGAGTAAGTATAAAATACATATTAATAAGAACCACATTCAGTTCTGTTCAAAGCATCTATTTTTACAGATTTATGGAGAGACAGAGGAAGACAAACATATAGGCATAGAGAGAGAGAGAGAGAGAGAGAGAGAGAGAGAGAGAGAGAGAGAGAGAGAGAGAGAGAGAAAGGGGGAGAGGGAGAAAGAACCATATATATATATATATATATAGAGAGAGAGAGAGAGAGAGATACACAATGTAAACTGTTATATAAACATTTTCTAGCATCTTAATTTTGGTCAGCAAACTCTCAAATACCTAAAATAGGTGTGAAGAGTACAGTACAAGATGATAACACATTTAAACACAACACATGATGTTGATAACACATCTAAGCACAAGACAAGATCATACCTTGTAACCAAACCTGGAGTGGTCAAAGACTGCACTGGGTTCAGAGTTGAGGCGAGTGAAGTCGTTCTTGTTGATGTCCTGGTAGTTGAATGGATGCAGTGGTTCCTCCAGCAGGTGGCCAGCACATCGAGCAGAGTTGAAGGGTTTGTGGCGCAGTTTTTGCAGTTCCTGATCAGATCACCCAGTTAGAAAACCATCTTAGATACAATTTCCAGCTGACTATGTGGTGTTAGATCATTAGTCCCAGACAGTTTTCATTATAAAACATTTTTACTCAAAGATTTTGTACTTTAGAGCAATGATATTTAAGTTTTAAAGGAACTGGGAAAACAAGTTCTGCACTGAAAGAGTGATAGAAACAACTGGGATGGAATAATTAATGAAATAGGAGAATGGGGCAGAATGATTAATGCAGCAGGAGAATGGGGCAGAATGATTAATGTAGCAGGAGAATGGGGAAGAATGAATAATGAATAATGTAACTGGAGAATGGGATATAATGAGTTAATAAATATAAACCAAGAACATATTTACGAGATACACACTGTGGAGTGCCCAGTAATGAAATAATTAAACAAGCTAGAAACAATGTTAAACAGAAGTTAGGCAGTGTTAAACAGAAGTTAGGCACAGTGTTAAATGAAGCTAGAAACAGTGTTAAACAGAATTTAGGCACAGTGTTAAACAGAAGCTAGAAACAGTGTTAAACAGAAGTTAGGCACAGTGTTAAACAGAAGCTAGAAACATTGTTAAACATATAGGGCACAGTGTTAAACAGAAGCTAGAAACAGTGTTAAACATAAGTTAGGCACAGTGTGAAACAGAAGTTGGAGGATGTTGCAATGCCTGTATGAATATAGGGTTTCATTTTTTTTTAAAAAATACTACAAAATGTGTCTTTAGAATTACACGTCAATGACATCAAGGGTTCTGTATCAATAGGTGTGTCAGTACCAATTATTGCCTAATAGTTTGGTCTATCAGTGACATTTGATTACAGACTGTAAGTGACATGACAAGTTTCAAAGGCTGATCATTGCCTCTTATACAACAGTTCAATTGGTCTAGTGTATCATCACAGTGGCATGATAAAAAATATCAAGGTGTATCCTTTACTGTTTTAATTTGTTGCAGTGCCTACTGCCTACAGTTTGTCTGCTTGCTTGCTTGAGTATAATAAATAGATGGTGACATAACTCAAACGTATAAATGCTATGCTTACTGCCTACAGTTTGTCTGCTTGCTTGCTTGAGTATAATAAATAGATGCTGACATAACTCAAACATATAAATGCTATGCCTACTCTCTATAGTTGGTCAACCTGCGTTGTTTACTTGAGATAAATGGAAGGGGACAAAACTTTCATACAGGGACTCTTTTACCCTTAAGGTTGCTTCGATTTATTTTTAAAAAACCTAACATGCAGCGAATCATACAGCGAATCCATTCAGGTCCACATTGCTGTACTGACGTACACTTAGTTGCTAGGACACACCAGAAATGAATGTTCAGTTATAGACCTTTATTCGCTGAATCAAACATCTCACTGACAGCGCATTCTTTCATCCTCATGGTCCCTATGCAAGGCTGATTTCTGATGACCTGGCCAATTCTCTCGCACACAGCTTTGCTCCGTTCATATCTCTCGAATCTCACATCCATATCATACTAAAGCCTTTTACCTGGTATTAGTACATGTTGAAACTGGCAATTAGGAAACATTCATGTCTTCTCTCGAACAATTATATGTGGTCACAAGTTCTCTATTCTCATCAGGTGTTCTCTCACATACAACCGCACTCATCCAGGTCCCAACTTCAACTGTCTTACTACCGTCTCTCGGTTCACGTCTTCAGTTCCAGTCTCACGCTATTCTTGTATCTCTTATTCGCTCACCACAGGAAACTCAAGCCCAATTTTATCTCATTTTCCTTTTGTATCAATGGTCCTCTGACCTTGTCCTCCCCATCGGGAACTCTCTGGGATTTCCCCCGGAATTCACACAATTACATCCTCACTTTTATCGCCAAACTAGCAACTGACCGGAAGCCACCAAGAGCGCATGTCAGAGTTACGCCAGCTCCGACAAACACGAACTGGAATGTGACCTCCCAAAACACAACCTGTGGCAAACTGGACGTCCCTAAGTCTGACCCGTACAAAACACCACCACTAAAATTTGGACCCAGTGTGGAAGATGGTTCAATTAATTTGGGTGTTTTGTTTGTTATGAAAACAATAAAAGAAATGAAAACAAAAAAACTAACCTGCCAGATGACCCAGATTCTGTCAATGCTGGAATGATGAATGACAAAGAAGGGATCAAAGGCTGAGTAGTCCAGGGTGGCCATGGAATATGTGCCATTGCCGCCAATAAGTGCATGGATCTCATTGTGAAGTACTTCATACTGTACTTCAAAGTCACAGTAGTTGTTCTCTTCCAAAGTGCTGAGTGCCAGATAGTAGAGGTAGTTGTACCCGTTGATCTGGTGTGGGTTGTACAACTCACTCTTCACATTACGTGTGGTTGTCTGCAATCAGAAACAAGCAGTTATTTAGATAATTCACACATTTATCCAGAATAACTAATAAGGACTGTCTGAAATAAGCTAATGAAAAAGATCAATATATACAGAAATAAGAAAAGGATAAGTACTGTTCTTTGACCATGTTATTTGGGGAGAGGGGGGGGGGGGGGGGGGGCTTTGGAGAATATTGTAAAGACTGGGAAGATCAACAGTAGAAGAGGAAGAGGCAGAACAAGAGAGATGATGACAGATGGACTGCAATAGTGGCACAGAGGGATCTCATTGGTGGAACTGATCTGAGGACATGAGACACGAGATCTGTGGAGATGCATGAACACTGATGAGTCAGCCTGGCACGTGAGGATGATGACACATTTATCTGGCAATCTCAAACATGTACCAGCTTTACATACTACATTTTAATGGCTAGATAACAGGTTTACTTCAAGCAGATAGTGATACACAGCACAATATGCAATATCTGGCCTAATGTGGCACAAGTGTAGGCTGGATTAAAAAAAAAATGATATGCCAGAGTTTTATAAATGCTCAGTTTCTACCCCGCCATATCATAAAAAACATCCTTTGTGTTAATAAAATCCTGCTCATTCATATTTTCTGACCTCTTAGTATAGGCCAGTACTTTATAAATGTTTCATGTGTATTGTAATGTACACTTTAAACATTTATTACATAAAACAAAAAAGGAAGTCCAAAAATAGAAATATTGTTCACATTTTAAGAAAAAAATATATAATGTAAAACTTAACTGCAGGAAAATCAAAAACAACATGGCAAAGTTAATTATTTCTTATTTAATTACAAAGATTTAAAAAAAAAAAAAAACTAGACCAGATAGAGCTGAGTCTGCCTAACTGCAAGAAGATAGTCGAGGTTTTACTGTACTTATTAACAACAAAAAAGAACTAATAATCTGGTCAAAGATGGAAGCAAATCTACCAAAAATATAAACACAAACCTGGCCAGCAAAGGAGATAGTGTAACTGTAGAATGGGTTGTAGTCAGAGCTGTCTCCGAATAAAGATGGCAAAGTTTTAATTGGGGCAGTCCAGTCCCAATAGGGTACACCGACTTTAGCACCATGATCTTTGAGAGCTTGCTCAAACTGGACAGTCAGCAGACGATGCCAGTGAGGGAAAACAGGCATACCTGGTAACAGAAAATGGCAAGAGTCATTAGATATTTGGTTTCATCTAAGTTTTTAGTGTAGCCAACATTGTCTTGTTACTCATGGTTATGGTAAAATATGTTGAGTTGAGTCAAGAATTGACATCACAGCACAAGGGGTATTCCCATGCACACTGTATCTTCATCTTCAGCAACCAGCGCAGAGTTCCAATACTAATGGTACCGGTTGTAATCTGGTTATATCTCTGTCTTGCCTTTTCTCTGAGTGTAGTCAGCCGGCCAGACCCTATGGTTACACTTAGGTGGTCAATTATGTTTTACCATGGGAAACATTTCTGTTACATCATCACTAGATTCACATGAAGCTGATAAGAGATCACAGAAAACAAACCAAATATTTTTATTCATAAAGTTCAGTACATTTTGTCCTTAAATGTGCCTGTGGTTAATTTTGTGCCATTTGGTAATCTGTTGTGCTGTTGTTGTTGTTACTGACAACTAACACAAGACATGAATTATTTTGAACTGTTTGCTAACACACAAATATTCCAACCACTGTCTCTCACTTTCTATGCATTTTACCTTCAGCTTCTAACAGAGATGTGCAGCTGAGAACTGCAAGTAAAGATGAAAAAAAAAAAAAATCAAACAACTGTTTTATAAGGAAAACAACAAACATTGAAACTTTTGTTTTGTTAAAGTTTAGAAGAAACCATTTTGTAAATATCAAGATATACACAAAAAACATGTTACAACTTACAACAAACTATACATAATAATTTATACACAATAAACTATACTAATTCCACTAAAAACTCCACAATAAACACAACCATTGTACAATTTACAGTAACTCCCCATCCCTCAGTTTCCAATGTAATGGAAACATTCTTTTATATGAAAGTAAATTTTGGATGCACATTGCAAACATTGTCAGACAAGGACATACCATGCACACAGCAAGCATATTTGTCATCTCCTGTGGCAGGACACTTGAATGGAGCACCATGGAATCCCGCTATAGCCTCAAAACCATTGGCTCCCTGATCTTGCTGGAGTTTATTCAGGGCATCCCTCAAATTAGCACTTTCCGCAAGTGTCAGCTGGTTAATGTCTTTTCTGATCAACTTGTCTGACTCTTCAGCTGCTCTCTGCTCAGCTCTCTTGTAGTAGCCTGGAGTGAAATGTAATAATTCAGTAGCTTGGTGTCAAATGTAATTATTTAGTAGCTTGGTGTCAAATGTAACAGTTTAGTAGCCTGGTGTCAAATGTAACAATTTAGTAGCCTGGTGTCAAATGTAACAATTCAGTAGCCTGGTGTAAAATTTAACTATTTAGTAGCCTGGTGTCAAATGTAACAGTTCAGTAGTCTGGTGTCAAATGTAACAATTTAGTAGCCTGGTGTAAAATTTAACAATTTAGTAGCCTGATGTCAAATTAACAATTCATTAGCCTGGTCTCAAATTTAACAATTTAGTAGCCTGGTGTCAAATGTAACAACTCACTCTTCTTCTTCTTTCGTTCGCTTGAAATAAATTATCTATATCTGCAATGTTGTCTCTAGTTTGAACTTCACTGTCTTTTGTAATTCACTCAACTACCCTTAAAATTTAACTTGTACCAATGTTTCTCTTGGCCAGAACAAACTCTTTCTGACTTCATATTCAAGCTAATGGACATAAAGATTAACATCCGCAAAAAAAAAAAATATTACAACACAAAGTAGATGAACAAACATAGCCCTAAACTGGACAGAGTTGATGATCTAGTTTTGTTCTTAATGCATCTTACTGTCTAGTTTGTTCTTTACATATCTTCCTGTCTAGTTTTGTTGGGTGTAAGTGTTACCGTTTTATTCTGGTCGTATGGCTTAATTGTCATGTTTTATGTATACATGTTTGTCTTGCCTTTATAGCGTACCCATGTCTGTTTCTTATTTTATACTGGATAGATGTCTGTTTCTGATTTTATACTGTATAGATGTCTGTTTCTGATTTTATACTGTAAAGATGTCTATTTCTGATTTTATACTGTATAGATGTCTGTTTCTTATCTTATTAGGACTCACCTGACTAAACTGAACTTTGTATTAAGCAAAGCTATAAATAATATTAAGAAATGAATGTGTAATCAAATACTGACCTTTGTGTCTTGGGACAAACTGGACACTAGGTGACCTGATGAGGTTGCTGTCCAGGTCTGTGCCATTGACCGCTGTGATGTGGACATTGAAGTGGTACTCTGAGTCCAGTCGGAGGTGAAGTTTGCTGAATACATTAGTTACATCGTACTTGAAGAGGCGATCGAAAGCCCAAGGCATCTCCAGGGGACCACCCAGAATAGCAAATGTTCCTGAAATGATTCATTGTTGGTCAATGTATGTGGTAAGCAAGAACTCACATATATTGACTGTTTCTTTTCAAGTTAAAAATATTGACTTTTCTGTTGAGTCACTCGTGTTGATATTTCAATTTAAGTCACATATAGTGACTTTTCTATTCAAGTCACACATTTCACAAGAATTGTTCAAAGCAAAGATATTTTAGTCAAAAACTGAGCAGTTTGGAAACTCTTAAAAAAAATAGCAAAATCAGCTTTACTGTCAAGTCTTGCAGCTTACAAAAGTATCACAGAGAACAGCAACAACACAAACAATGATGTTTCTATAAAAGTTCACTTTTTCATGACAACCAAACAAATGTTATCATATGATTCACACAGCTTAATCTCTCTACCCCCTCCCCCCACACATACACACGCTTGGTGGTGAACTGATGTATGACAAGCTAGATGTTTTGAGGGCCCTTTGGGAGTGAATGAACAGTGCAGAGGCATGAACAGATCCTTACGGTCTGAGGAGAATGGCGCTGTGAGGAGTTACCAGGGAATCAATACTCTAGGCAAAAGTGAGATGGATATACAATCAGACGGTTACTGGTTCCATTGGAATTGGAACTCTTCCCTTGCTGCTGAAGATGGAGACGGAGCGCTTATTGGAGTGTCCTGAGTGCTGTGATAATAATTCCTAATTCAAAATACCTTCATTCAACATCCACCCCTCCACTACAACCCTTCTTTTACTCTCCCTCCCTCTTCCTTTACATCTAATAGCATTATTTCTCTTAATGCAGATTCAGAGGTAACTTATAGTCCTAGCCTAATTATATGATGTGTGCAATAAACACTCAATTGATATAATAGAAATATACCTTGTTTATACTCATTGTAAAATATACACAAAGAAGATAGATGAATGAAATAAACACACAGAAAATAAATGGGAAAAAACAAACAAGAAGAGATATAAATGAGGAGAGAATCCTGAAGGTTTGGCATAAAGAACAAGTACAGAGAATATATGTTGAAAAAAAAAAATATTATTTGAAATTGTTGGGATAATAAGCAAAGACAGTCTGTAGCACTGACCAGCAAATTCACAATGATTTTCAGAATCACAAAGGTCAAATGTCACATCTGCACTAGCTCCAAGCCCATGGAGTAGAAACTCAGCAAAGATCCGATCTTCATCCCTGCGATGCTCCAGAAGGTCATTCAGCGCAGAGATTGTTAGTCCATGGAAGTTAAGGTCATCATACTGGTAGTTTAGCCTTGAAATTGAGAAAAAGATATTAAAATATTATAGACATCCTACAGCTCAATGTTACACATACATAGACAGCAAACATAATATATTCTACATGTCAGGAATGTTGAATAGCAATTTCAATTATTCCATAAGCTATGGAATTCACAGAGACAAAGAACAAAATAGGACAGTGTCAAAACTGCTTTTTATAAAATGAAGAACCTTCTATGCAATAAATCCATGTCATTGGAGGCAAGGAAACAAATTGAGATTGAGAGCCAGTTTTACAATATGGCTGAGAAAACTAACAATTAATAAACTAAGAATACTTAGAATTCCTTAGCCAAAAAGAGCAACCCAGATGTTTTGAAAGAGGTGAAGGCTTGAAAACAACTTATCACAAACATCAGAAAGAGACATTCATCAGTGTTTGGTCATTTTCTGAAAAGAGGGAAACTGGAACAGATTGTGACCACTGAAAAGATCTGTGGAAAAGAGACAGAGGAAGACAACATGATAAGGTTTTTGACGGTCTTTTGTCATGACATGGAGGAGCATCAACACATGAACTGATACATGCAGCTGCTGATTGCAGATTGTGGAAATGCATGTTCACCCACACCAGTTGGCATGGTACTTGATGATTATGATACAATACTGAATGGTTGAACATAACTGATAGGCATAAATACCCACTACTGAAAAAGAAAAAGAAAACTATATATCCCAGTTATATCCAGGATGGATTGAACAGGATATTGTTGTTTAAATTACTGCTACTATTACTAAAACCTTTTGTTTTCAAATACAGATTATCATGTTTCTTTACAGTTTACCGTGCTCACAGTTATATACAGGTTTTTTTGTGTTCAAAAACATGTAGTTTTCTTCACTGACAGTTCTATACAGTAGTGTCATCTATCAGTGTTCATCTTGACTACTGTCTTATCAAAACATATCACTGTCCATTTGTTTCTTTTCAAATTAGCAGGTATAAAATGTGTGCTTACGTAATTATGTTTCTGTGCATGTCTTGCCTGTATGTATGTATGTGTGTGTACATGTATCTGTATGTGTTCGTTTTTTTCCAACAGCTCTATTAATTTGCATCTTTCCTCCCCCCCCTTCCCCCAAAACGTCAGGATCATCTGACTGTCCATGCAATGGTGCAGATCAAATATAGGAGGGTGACAAATGGTGGCACAAACCTCTCATAGTTGAAGGCATCAATAGCCCTGGAATTAGCTCTTGTGGTTGGGTTTATATTGTCATCATTACTGAAAGGCTTCATTGGTTGGCGTAGGTGTTGGATGGCACAGTTTGCGCTGTTGTAGGGCAGGCCTCGGAGCTTCTGTAAAGCTTGCCAGATGGCAAACTGACGGTCAACATTGGAGTGGTGGAGAAGGAATAGGGGATCATAGGCTGTGTACTCCAGGGTGGACATTCCATAAGGAGACTGACCACCTGTCCAAGAGTGTATAGCATTGTGCGTGATCTCAAACTGAACCTGAGAAGAGACAAACACAGTTATGATGAGTGATCGATTCCAGCTGTTAGTTCATAGACACAAGGACGCAAAGGAGCTCTTCAATAAAGGGGGTAGAAAGGGAACTGATGAGAAGTCTGAGATAGCTGAGGAGGTATGGTCAGATATCTGTGATAGATGAGGAGATTCCCCCGTATGGCTTCCGGGGCCCCATAGTGGGGAAACCAAGAATAGACCCCCTGCTTCCCCAGCAAGCATATCATAAGAGTCAACTAACTGGGGACTTCCTTTGAAGTCAGAGTGCATCTGCCTGAGAGGCAAGGAACCAGCAATCTGCATACAAATAAGACAGATCTGTAAAACAGATGTGCATGCAACACTCAATTCTGCAACAAGACTGCAACAAGTCCAGAGGTGAACAAACAACAAAAATTTTCCGCCAGAGTTTACAGCTGGTGAACTCAAAGAAGACGAAGAAGAAGATGAGGAGGTATGGATAGATACCTGAGATAGAAAAGTGGGCATCTCTAGACATGCCTTTGTTCGCCTTGCAGTGTGCCAACAAGTGTCTTGGCTTCGTTCAACCAGGTCGACACATTGTCTCCCACACGAAAGAAGAAAGTGACCAACTGTCTTTTCTGTGAATGACTGTTCAAGCATTAGGGTTGGGGATCAAGGTTAAGGTTAGAGTTAGATGCAGGAATACTGTCAGGTCAAGAAAATTCATTATAAAGATGAAGTCACGAAGTAAGAACAGCATTTCCACATAGGGAGGATGACAAATGAATGAAAGTAACATACAGTGGGAATGATGCAATAAACGATAACATCACTGAAAAGAACCAACACATAACACATCTAGTATAGAGGAGTTTTAAGTGTTTTAATGTAGATACCCCCCCCCCTTCCCCCCCCCCAATCCCCCAGACTGTAGGACTGTCCTATGGAATTCCCTACGAATCTTGTACCGGATGCGATGGGGTGAAAAGGTTGATTAGCATCCAATCTAGATAGATGAGAAGATAGGGTTAGACATCTGAGATAGATGAGAATCTAGATAGATGAAAATGTGTAGTTATACAGGAGACTGAGAATAATGTTTAATGTGTAAATAATTAACTACATGACAGGGAGATAAACAAGACCACAAGCAAAACAATAAATAAGTGGTGAGGTTACCTCAAAGTCACAGTAATCAGTTTGTTCGAAGGCAAGAAGGATTTGTCGGTAGAAGAAAGATTCGGATCCGAACTCTGGGTCATTGAAGAGCTTCTCCCTAGGTGCTCTTGTGGTGATCTCTCCATTGTAGATTTTGCCATGGTGGAACGGGTTGTTTTCTTCTTCGGAAACCAGCAGTGGAAGGGAAGTAAATGCTGTAGTCCAGTCCCAATAAGGAATTCCCAGCTTAGCTCCCTTGAAACAAATGACAATAGTGTTAGCATTCAGTATGTGAATTTGCACAAGTTTGTAATTAAAACACACACATAACATTCATGCCCCACGCTGGTGATGGAAACTGACTATCAGGCATAAATATGATAATAAAGGAAGAAACACATACATGGGCTGTCAAAGCATCCTCCCATTGCTTGACATAAAGTCTGTGCCATTGAGGAAAGTTGGCCATTCCATGGAGGCAGCAAGCAATTGATTGGTTGTTGTACTGACACTGGGCTGGGCTTCCATGGTAGCTTGCAAGTCTCTGAAATTGGTACAGACATACTTTATTCATGAAAGCTTGCAAGTCTCTGAAAGTGGTACAGACATACTTTATTCATGAGCTTGCAAGTCTCTGAAAGTGGCACAGACATACTTTATTCATGAGCTTGCAAGTCTCTGAAATTGGTACAGACATACTTTATTCATGAGCTTGCAAGTCTCTGAAAGTGGTACAGACATACTTAATTTATCAGACCGTGGTACAGACATACTTTATTCATGAGCTTGCAAGTCTCTGAAAGTGGTACAGACATACTTTATTCATGAGAACTTGCAAGTCTCTGAAAGTGGTACAGACATACTTTATTCATGAAAGCTTGCAAGTCTCTGAAAGTGGTACAGACATACTTTATTCATGAGAACTTGCAAGTCTCTGAAACTGGTACAGACATACTTTATTCATGAACTTGCAAGTCTCTGAAAGTGGTACAGACATACTTTATTCATGAGAACTTGCAAGTCTCTGAAACTGGTACAGACATACTTTATTCATGAACTTGCAAGTCTCTGAAAGTGGTACAGACATACTTAATTTATCAGACCGTGGTACAGACATACTTTATTCATGAGAACTTGCAAGTCTCTGAAAGTGGTACAGACATACTTTATTCATGAGAACTTGCAAGTCTCTGAAACTGGTACAGACATACTTTATTCATGAACTTGCAAGTCTCTGAAAGTGGTACAGACATACTTAATTTATCAGACCGTGGTACAGACATACTTTATTCATGAGCTTGCAAGTCTCTGAAAGTGGTACAGACATACTTTATTCATTAAACCCTGCTCCTCTCTGAAAGTGGTACACACATACTATACTCTTTCAGAACTCTCTAGAAGGAAACATTGGAACAAGTAAAACATTTCAAACCTCCCCCATGGAACATGTCTTAAGATTTAATTGACTGTGACAAAATCAGTATTCTTATTTTTCATGTTCACCAGCTGTAACTCTGGTGGAAAAGTCAAGTTATTTGCCCACCTCTGATCTTTAGTCTTGTTCCAGAGCCTGAGTGTTGCATGTACATCAGTTTTACACATCTGATTTATTGTATGCAGACTGTACACTCCTGGTCTCTCAGGCAGATGACGTTGAAAGAAGACCCCAGTTAGTCAACTCTTATGACATGCTTGTTAGGAAGGCAGTGGGTATATTCTTGTTTTTCCCACAATGGGTCCCCAGAACCCGCACAAGGAAAAATCAGTATTTATGTATGTACAAGAAGAAGAAGAAATATGTGTAACTTGGCACATTACTAACAATTTCTAAAACACGCATGATTTCAGGAGAAATCGTAATTCTCAATGACAATTCCCTCCCTAGTGATGTTATTATCAATACAGATGGCTCTGTGTTGAGGCAGTCTCTGCTGCCATATGCTGACTTGAGAATCGTTTGTACACACATGCCGTGATTGTAATTGCCTCACAGTGCATGTTGAGAAAGGTAAAGACTGGCATGCTTTGTGCAGAGTGGAAAGGATCACTTCAGAGGTCCCGGGTAGTTAGTATCCTTTGGATATTTTCTCCAGATAATGCCAGTGTGTTGGGAAATGAGCAGGAAGATAAATAGACTGGCCGGCTCTGCACCACTTGGTGGTGAACTGATGTATGACAAATTAGATCTTGTGAGGGCCCTTTGGGAACAAATGAACAGTGTGGAGGCTCAGATAGATCATTAGAGTCTGAAGAGAATGGTGCTGCAAGGAGTTACCAGGGGATCTGGCCAATACTGAACACTTAGGGGAAGGATGAGATGGATATACAATCAGACGGTTACTGGTGCCATCGGAATTGGAACACTTCACTTGCTGATGAAGACAGGGACGGAGCACTTTTGGGAGTGTCCCGAGTGTTGTCATGCCGATTCCTAACTCAAAATTCAAATTCGAAATTAAAGGATAAATCAGCACCAATGATAGCTTAATCTGTTTTACTTACTAAAATATTCAATGCATTGACCAGAGGACTGCATATTCTAGGTTCAACAGTCAAAAGACGAGATAAGGAAAAAGAATATTAGATGAGACAAGATGAGGCAAGACTGGCATATTCATGACATGAACAAAAAGACTGAGAAAATCATGTCAATGTTCTGTCTCATCAGTGTTTCTGATGTCAATGTGCTTTCCAGTCAATGTATCTGATGTAAGTGTACTTTCCAGTCAATCTATGTATCTTTACTGTATCTTTTTTGTGCTGTCCAGTCAATGTTTTGATGTCAGTGCTGTCCAGTCAATGAATCTATTGTAGTTGACTGTCCAGTCAATGTATCTGATGTCAGTGTGCTGCCCAGTCAATGTATCTGATGTCAGTGTGCTGCCCAGTCAATGTATCTGATGTCAGTGTGCTGTAAGTCAATTTATCTATTGTAGTGTACTGTCTAGTTAATGTCAGGGCTGTCCAGTCAATGTATTTGATGTAATGTATTTGATATCAATGTGCTGTCCCGTCAATGTATCTGATCTCATTTGCTCTCCATACAAGGTATCTATAGTTGTGTTCTGCCCAGTCAATGTATCTGATATCAGTGTGTTGTCCAGTCAATGTATCTATTGTAGTGTGCTGTTGAGTCAATGTTTTAATGTCAGTGCTGTCCAGTCAATGTATCTATTTTAGTGTGCTGTTCAGTCAATGTATTGATGTCAATGTGCTGTCCAGTCAATGTATTTGATGTCAGTATGCTGTCCCATCAATGCATCTGATCTCATTATGCTCTTCAGTCAATGCATCTATTGTAGTTTTCTACCCAGTCAATGTACCTATTGTAGTATTCTGCCCAGTCAGTGTATCTATTGTAGTGTTCTGCCCAGTCAATGTATCTATTGTAGTATTCTGCCCAGTCAATGTATCTATTGTAGTGTTCTGCCCAGTCATTGTATCTATTGTAGTGTTCTGCGTAGTCAAGGTATCTATTGCAGTATTCTGCCCAGTCAATGTATCTATTGTAGTTTGCTGTCCAGCAAATATCCATAACGTCAGTGAGACATCATCAGTAATACAGCCCTTTTTTTGTGAACATACGCACCTGGAAACCATTAGGTCCTTGATCCACCTGGACTCTGCGCAGAGCTTCACGCAGATTCTCTGTCTCAGACACAGATAGATGAGAGACATCTTTACGGACTCCAAAACCAGCAATGGAAGTGGACTCTACCTCTTCAGCAGATCCTTTAGGGGTATACAAATGTTTTGGTCTTCTTCAAAGAGTGTCGTCATATACATTAGTGACATATTTATTTCTTAGAGATGTTGTATACATAAGTGATATATTCATATCTCAGAGATGTTATATGCAGTTGTGCTATATTTATATTCTTGAGATATTATATCTAGTTGTGCTAAACACAAGCATACCTTAGAGATGCTGCTTCAAACAAAAAGTGCTTGGAAGATGTTATAAAATACAGATGTTAATTTGAAACAGGTGTTAATTTTACAAGGTGTTTATGCACAGAATATATCTCTCTAGAACATGTGTGATTGAAATTTGTTCTGTCAGGGCTTTAGATTAGTCACAAGCCAAATCTCCCCTTCCCCCTCCACAGCTTTAAAACATAACATTCACATAAAGCTGTGTTCAGAAATGTGCATCAAGTATGCACCCCTGGCACAGTGATAAAGCCATTTGCCATGCACTCTGAAAGTAATGGGTTCATTTCATGGGTGTGTTGTTCAGTTTATGAGTGCAATTTCTATGGAGATTTTTGTGTATCACACTGGAGCTATGGTCATGCTTTGTGTGAGGCTCTTGGCAGGTGGCTAGCCATTCTGTGGAGACACTGAGCTATTTGAGATAAATATGGTAATTTGGTAATCTAGTAATCCTAGTTTCAGCTTCATAAGAAACGGGTCACCCCTTAGTTGCTCCGCTCCTGTGCCAACAAAAAAACACATATAGCTCACAGTATCATGCCATGCACTCAACTCAGAAGCTGGGTGACGAAACTATATCCTTCCAGTCTACAAATGGAGCAAAAATGAAACGACCACCATCTGGCTGAAGAAAAAAAAACATTTGCCACGGCTTAGAGAGAAAAAAAAAAGGTGGCTGTGCCTAGCGTCCATTTTGACCTGAAGCATTATATGAGGGTTAATTTTGAGATAAAACCGGGTACAATGAAGTTGATAGGCAAATGCTGTCACCTACCAGTTAGCAACACTGCCTAGACACCCAGATGTCTCCCTTCCAGCAAAACAGAAAATGATTAATAGCATCTTTATCCCTATATTATATTATCAGTGCCAAACATAGACAATTACTAGGGCAATAGAACAAAAAATAACTACATGTGAAATGCGCTGTCTCCACAAAGTCACTAACAACACAAGAAGAGACAGGGATACGAATACCAGAATTAGAGAGAAAGTTGGAATAAAACCATGTCTGGATTATATTGACAGACAAAAAATGAAATGGTTCAGCCATCTAGTGAGAATGCAGCTAGACCAAACAGCATATGAGACCTTTTACAGCAGAAATTCTGGGAGGAAGGTGAAAGGAAGACCAAGAATGAGATGAAGAAATGGTGTAGCCGAAACCTGCAAAAAGAACAAATCCATCTCTCAAACCACCTGAGAAGTGCAAGACAAATACAGAAAACCACGACACTGAGCTACAACACGTTAGTTTGATGGTATTATCATTTACATGTTAGTAAGCAGTGTAATGCCTGTGTTATATAGAGATAGCCCAGTGTGTTTATTGATGTTTTCACTCAGGTATTTAGCTGTGTTTTAGCAAGAGGAAGACCTAGAAAGAGAGGGATCAATGATGTAGCTGAAATCTACAATATATGAACAAATCCATCTCTAAAGCCAGCCGAGAAGCACAAAACAAATACAGAAAACCACAGCACTGGGCTACAACCTGGTATCAGTGAGATGACAAAAGAAGAAGAGTGCAGTTGATCCTCTTGACCTTAACCTTAACTTTAGCATAGAAACTGGTCTGAAACACTCACCATGGGCAGGTTCAAAGATCAAAGCTGGAGGTGGCATGACACTCTGCAGGCTAAGGGCATGACCTTCAACATCAAATACCTCAACTTCCAGATGGAAGTGAGATTCAGTATCCAGGACATCCTCAGGATGCAGTCCAGCCTCTTCCAGTGCTCCAGTAATGTCACGTTTAAACAAACGGTCAAAAGCCCACGGCATTTCTAGAGATCCTCCCAGGAGATTGAAGCGGCTGGCAAAACGGCATTCATTTTTGCCATTATCCTGGAAACAAATTTGTCAATAAGCTCAAGGTAAGTCACACATATTCTGACTATCAACACTGTTTTGCTTCAACTAATTTAATCATTCTGACAGTTGGTACTGTTGCACTTTAAACAATGTAAACATTCTGACTGTCCAGCACTGTTATTAACAGAAATGTAATGATAGACTTGTCCAGCACTAGTTATTAACAAAAATATTATGATAGACTTGTCCAGCACTAGTTATTAACAGAAATGTTATGATAGACTTGTCCAGCAGTAGTTATTAACAGAAATGTAATGATAGACTTGCCCAGCACTAGTTATTAACAGAAATGTAATGATAGACTTGCCCAGCACTAGTTATTAACAGAAATGTAATGATAGACTTGCCCAGCACTAGTTATTAACAGAAATGTTATGATAGACTTGTCCAGCACTGTTATTAACAGAAATGTTATGATAGACTTGTCCAGCACTAGTTATTAACAGAAATGTAATGATAGACTTGTCCAGCACTAGTTATTAACAGAAATGTTATGATAGACTTGTCCAGCACTAGTTATTAACAGAAATGTAATGACAGACTTGTCCAGCACTAGTTATTAACAGAAATGTTATGATAGACTTGTCAGCACTAGTTATTAACAGAAATGTAATGATAGACTTGTCCAGCACTAGTTATTAACAGAAATGTTATTATAGACTTGTCCAGCATTAGTTATTAACAGAAATGTTATGACAGACTTGTCCAGCACTAGTTATTAAAAGAAATGTTATGATAGACTTGTCCAGCACTAGTTATTAACAGAAATGTAATGACAGACTTGCCTAGCACTAGTTATTAACAGAAATGTAATGATAGACTTGCCTAGCAGTAGTTATTAACAGAAATGTTATGAAAGACTTGCTCAGCACTAGTTTTTAACAGAAATGTTATGATAGACTTGTCCAGCACTAGTTATTAACAGAAATGTAATGATAGACTTGTCCAGCACTAGTTATTAACAGAAATGTTTTGATAGACTTGCTCAGCAGTAGTTATTAACAGAAATGTTATGATAGACTTGTCCAGCACTAGTTATTAACAGAAATGGTATGATAGACTTGCTCAGCACTAGTTATTAACAGAAATGTTATGATAGACTTGTCCAGCACTAGTTATTAACAGAAATGTTATAATAGACTTGTCCAGCAGTAGTTATTAACAGAAATGAAATGACAGACTTGTCCAGCACTAGTTATTAACAGAAATGTTATTATAGACTTGTCCAGCACTAGTTATTAACAGAAATGTTATAATAGACTTGTCCAGCACTAGTTATTAACAGAAATGTTATAATAGACTTGTCCAGCACTAGTTATTAACAGAAATGAAATGACAGACTTGTCCAGCACTAGTTATTAACAGAAATGTTATGATAGACTTGTCCAGCACTAGTTATTAACAGAAATGTAATGATAGACTTGTCCAGCACTAGTTATTAACAGAAATGTTTTGATAGACTTGCTCAGCAGTAGTTATTAACAGAAATGTTATGTTAGACTTGTCCAGCACTAGTTATTAACAGAAATGGTATGATAGACTTGCTCAGCACTAGTTATTAACAGAAATGTTATGATAGACTTGTCCAGCACTAGTTATTAACAGAAATGTTATAATAGACTTGTCCAGCACTAGTTATTAACAGAAATGTTTTGATAGACTTGCTCAGCAGTAGTTATTAACAGAAATGTTATGATAGACTTGTCCAGCACTAGTTATTAACAGAAATGGTATGATAGACTTGCTCAGCACTAGTTATTAACAGAAATGTTATGATAGACTTGTCCAGCACTAGTTATTAACAGAAATGTTATAATAGACTTGTCCAGCAGTAGTTATTAACAGAAATGAAATGACAGACTTGTCCAGCACTAGTTATTAACAGAAATGTTATGATAGACTTGTCCAGCACTAGTTATTAACAGAAATGTTATAATAGACTTGTCCAGCACTAGTTATTAACAGAAATGTTATAATAGACTTGTCCAGCACTAGTTATTAACAGAAATGTAACAGAGACTTGCCTTGCACAGGTTGATCACCACAGAGCCGGATGTCTTAATGCCCTTCAGCAGGAAGCCAGCCCAGACTCTGGGTTTGCTCTGTCTCTTAAGGATCAGCTGCTCAAGCTGGTCCAAGTTGTAGTTGCCGATGTTGTAGTTGTCATAGACGTAGCCCAGGTCTTCATGGTTGAATACAGAATTGGGTACAGCGTGTGACCTACAGAGCATAAACAGGACTAATAGTTGCTAGCTAAATGTGTGGAAATGAGGAAATAATCAAACTACCGGAAAAGTTAAACATTGATGGAAAAGATGAAAAAATTATAAAGAACATATTCGCAGTAAATAGCAGCTATAAGAATTAATAACCATTTGGAAACATTTCAGAGCATAAAGAGAGGGGTATGACAAGGATGTGTACTATTATCTGATTTCTTTTCATTAAACAGTGAATATACAATGGGATCTGTCATGGATATTGCAGGAATTGTGACTGTTGGTCATAATAAAAACATCCTACATTATGCCGACAACACTGTATTTTTAGCAACAAGTCGGAAAGACCCACAGGGGTTGTAGAAAGTGATAAAATGGGCCTCAGTTTGAATAATGGGAAGACAGAAGTAAGATATCTAAGAAATGAATAGTGCCTAAACCTATAATGAAATTCAGTGGTTTTATTTTTCGGACAAGTACAGAAATCTAAGTATCTAGGCACATGGATAAACCACTATCCCTAGGAAACTTTTGACCATCATCTCTTTGAGTGCCCAAAACTCAGCGAGACTAGAAGAATGCTCCTCCCTCCGAGACCAGACAAGTGGAACACCTTGTACGGAGGAAAAGAACAGCTTGTAAAAACATGCAATTTCCACTACATGACGGTCGCTGGATTGATAACAACAATAATAACATGGATAAACCCAATGGAAGATGTATCACAGAGATATAGAACAAGAAAACAGATCAAAACTGCATTTTTTAAAAAAAAGAACATTTTCTGAATAAATCCATGTCCCAGGAGGTTATGAAAAGACAGTATGTGTGCTACATAGAGCCAGTTTTAACATGTGGCTGTGAATCCTGGACAATAAACAAACAAACTGAACAATTTCTTGAGGTTTCAGAGATGTGGTTTTACAGAAGAATTCTTAGAATTCACTTGACAGAGAAAAAGAGCAACCCACATGTTTTGAAAAAGAATGAAGGCTCGAAGATAACTTATCACAAACATCAGGAAAAGACAGTCATTTTTTGTTGTTTGGTCATGTTATGAGAATAAGAAAACTGAACATTTTGCAACCCCGGAAAGATCTGTGGAAAGAGAGACGGAGGAAGACAGTGTGAGATGATTCTTGACAGCCTTTTACACCAGGATGGTGGGGTGACAACACATAAACTGATACATGCAGTTGCAGATCGCAGATTGTGGATAGGCATGATCGCCCATGTCATTCATTGTATTCTGTGTACAAGAGAGAAAAATAAAAATGAAACCAACAAATTTTTTTTTTAAAGTCACACTATCCTCAGTATCTGTATGTCTGCCTTGGGCTTGCAAACAGCTTTGCAGCAGCTCTTTATGGAACACACTTGTTTATGAAGGAAATTTCGGGGAATCAAGTCCCATTCATGTGTAAATGCAGCTTCCAGCTGTAGCTGATTAGCTGCAGGCCTTTGCCTGTTGACTCTACATCCATGTTCGTCCCAAAGATGTTCTTTAAGAGACACATCTCATGATAAGAAGGCCAATAAATTATAAACAGTAAATTTGTTCAGGTAATATCCTAGATCTCTCACCTGGTAAACTTGTTCAAGTTAAATTGTTCAAAGCTGAAAGGTTTCATTGGTTCAGTCATGAAGTTGACAGCACAGTCAGCTCTGTTGTACGACAGGTGTCTTCTCCTCTGAAGCTCTTGCCAGACTGCCCAGATCTTGTCCGTGAAAGAATGATGCAGGAAGAAAATTGGGTCATAGGCCGAGTATTCCAAGGAAGAGAGGGAGTAAGTCTGGTGACCTCCGACCAGGTAGTGGATCGCATTGTGCATGATCTCAAACTGGACCTGAAGAGTTCATTTGCAAGCATTATTTAAAAACTTTATAGATAAAAAAGAAGAGACAAAACAGCAAGTATGATAAAGATTAGACAGTATATTTAAACATCCATTCCAAGAGAAATGGCTCTTCAGAAATTGATATCAGCAGACATATTTTAAACCAAAGAAGTCTCAAGTGTATGCTTCAGATGAAAAGTGGCTGCTACTAAGATTCTGAAAGAACTGATACATAAACTTGATAGATTGGTTACATAAACTTGATAGATTGGTTACATAAACTTGATAGATTGGTTACATAAACTTGATAGATTGGTTACATAAACTTGATAGATTGGTTACATAAACTTGATAGATTGGTTACATAAACTTGATAGATTGGTTTCATAAACTTGATAGATTGGTTACATAAACTTGATAGATTGGTTACATAAACTTGATAGATTGGTTACATAAACTTGATAGATTGGGTTTACTTGATAAACTTGATAGATTGGTTTAAACTGGATAAACTTGAACTGGATAGATTGGTTACATAAACTTGATAGATTGGTTACATAAACTTGATAGATTGGTTACATAAAATAGATTGGATAGATTGGATTGCATAGAAACTTGATAGATTGGTTACATAAACTTGATAGATTGGTTACATAAACTTGTTACATAAACTTGATAGATTGGTTACATAAACTTGATAGATTGGTTACATAAACTTGATAGATTGGTTACATAAACTTGATAGATTGGTTACATAAACTTGATAGAGTTACATAAACTTGATAGATTTGACACATAAACTGAAAAGATTTGACACATAAACTGGATAGATTTGATACATAAACTGGAAAAGATTTGGTTAACATAAACTTGATAGATTACATAAACTTGATGGATTGGTTACATACTTGGTTTGAAAATATTTTAACTGAAAAGATTTGACACATACTGGAGGTTTGTGAACATTTGAACCCTGATAGATTTGACAGATATATATATATATATTTATACATCTGATGCCTGTGATTACCTGTAACCCACACACCTTAATGCACCTCTCCCTATCTTACTTACTTAGTCGCTCCTCTTCTACCTTGGGGTGTAGAGGTTTGCCAGAGAGATCGCCAGACGTTTCTATCAGCAGTTTTCTTTCTGGCTTTGTTCCATTCCAGTCCTCTGTCAAAGAGGGACTGTCGGATGTTGTCTTCCCAGCGCACCCTGGGTCGTCCCGGAGGTCTGGTTCCCTGGTTCTTAGCCTCCCATGCTTGCCATGGTGGCCGATTTTCTCCCATTCTGCATACATGTCCAAACCATCGTAACTGTGACTGATCTACTCAAGTTAGTAAGGGCTGGGTATCAAGATCTTGACGTATTGTCTGATTGCAGACTTTGTCCCTTCTTGTCACTTGGACCACCTTTCTCAGGTATCTCATTTCCGAGGCCTGCAGCTGGCTTCTGTGAGCTGTTGTCATTGCCCATGACTCACACCCATAGGTCAGGACTGGTACATAGGTAGAGCGGTAAACAGCCAATCTCCCTATCATGAACTGAAATTATGCCCTATGACCACAGATTTAACATATCCCTCAACACAGCGCATATATTAGTTCAGTTTCTCACATGGGTGTTCAGTATCAGGATTCAAACCCAAACACTCACTACTCTAGTGTATCTCCATGTGGGGTCCACGACACTCCGCAGACTTCATATACCTTTCAGGATATATATATATTTTTACATCCTTGCCAGAGAACTGCAGAGATACCCATAAACTTAACACATATATCAACTTGCCAGAGAATTACAAGATACCCCAACCCTGACAAACTTCAAATACCTCAAAGTCACAGAAATTATTCTGCTCTAGTGCGTCCAAGACCAGGTCAAAAAGTGCAGAGTGGTTGCCATCTTTGTGTTTGGCATGGATCAAGTTCTGGATGTCCCGGACAGTGTAGACTTTCTCAGTGGGAACATATCCATGTGCGAAGGGGTTTGAAATAACCTAAGGGACAAACATAGAAAGCATGATGAGCTTACATTCAAAACAATATGTAGACTGACACAGACATATCATAGACAGTACACAGAAACAGACATAACACAGACAGTATACATATACAGACATAAAACAGATGGTACAAAGAAACTGTTAGGTAGCACAGGCAAACAGAAAGTTTCAAATAACAGCCACAATAATTTAGAAATAACACACTAGTAGGATTACTAAACTAAAGACAAGATAGGACAGATGAAAAAATGATTACATTACTGATAAACAGAAAGAGGAAAAGTACCAATAAACAAAAAGAAAAATGAAATTACAGCCAGACAGTAAGACAAAAATAACAGATTGCTGCACAGAATAGCAAATAAAAAGAAATAATTATAGTACAGAAAGAAAGAAGAAAGCACACACAAACAAACACAGCTTGGAATTACCTCATCTCTCCAGACATCGTAGTAATCTGCTGCAGTGAACGTGTCAGGAAGCTCATCGATAGCCAGTGTCCAGTCCCAGTAAGGGACAGCAATAGAGCTGCCATGTTTGTGAAGAGCTTGTTCAACCTGAGCAGTCAAGAAATGAAATGGGATGTTTTAACCCAGTGTCATCAAGTCAGCCAAGGATGTTCCAGTATTGCATCATGGCATATGATGCCAGTTTCATATTTGTATAGACCAGTCAGCACATGATAGTGATGGGGTTAACATCATGCTGGCCGTCTTTACTTCCCAGAACATTACCTGGTACCTAATTTAGACTGGGTCAGCCTGGGAAACAAGCACAGTTTTGAAAGAAAATTTCCCTCAGTGCAGATTCTTCTTCTTCTTTTTTTAGCATTCACTGGCCTGAAACCCAGGCAGAAAGTTCTGGTTGTTCATCCACTTCTGAACTTTGGTCTTGTTCAAGAATTTAAGTTTTTAGATACATATCTGTTTTAGAGGTCTGGCTTATTTGTGTGCAGACTGTTGGTTCATTGCCTCCCAGGCTGGTGCACTCTGTCTTTGAAAGAAACTTCCCTAATTAGTCACTATTTATGACATTGTTGGGGGGTGGGGGATGGGGATGGGGTTGTATGTCCCCCCCCCCCCCCCACCCTTCCCCAAATGGGGCCCTGGATCCTACACATGAACTGCAGATTCAAATCCAAGAACTTTCAGCCACAGATAAACATCTAGCCACTATGCTACCACGGCTTCCTTTTAATCAAGTGACTTCTTCAAAATGTTTTCTTCTTTCATCACAATTTCTCTCCATTGCTGTTCCTCATCTATTCTGATATTTCTCTGTTTTGTTATTCATGTTTTCATGTACAAATAAATATGTGTGTACATGTATTAACAATATACATTTTATTTGAGAAGTTTTGTGTGTGTTTCATAACGTGTTTATATGTGTGTTGGTTTGTATCTGTGTATGTGTGTGAGTGTATACAGGGTGGGGGGTGTATAATTTTCAGATGACAGGTAACCTAGTCTACATCGTAAACACTGGGCCTTTGCAACTGTGCCCATAGAATAATCTTATAGATAATGACTGAGTAACCCGTGCTAAAATGTACACATTGGTACAGACAGAGTTAGTCTTATACATGGAGTGAAGATAACCTTGCATCTGGAATGTAAATAATCTTGCAGTTGGACTTTAGATAATCTTATAGCTGAAGTGTAGATAATCTTATAGCTGAAGTGTAGATAATCTTACAGCTGGAGTGTGGATACTATTACAGCTGGAATGTAGATAATCTTATAACTGGAGTGTGGATAATCTTATAGCTGGTGTGTAGATAATCTTCTAGCTGAAGTGTAGATAATCTTATAACTGGAGTGTGGATAATCTTATAGCTGGTGTGTAGATAATCTTCTAGCTGAAGTGTAGATAATCTTACAGCTGGAGTGTGGATACTATTACAGCTGGAGTGTAGATAATCTTATAACTGGAGTGTAGATAATCTTATAACTGGAGTGTAGATAATCTTATAACTGGAGTGTGGATAATCTTATAGCTGGTGTGTGGATAATCTTATAGCTGGTGTGTAGATAATCTTATAACTGGAGTGTGGATAATCTTATAGCTGGTGTGTAGATAATCTTCTAGCTGGAGTGTAGATAATCTTATAACTGGAGTGTGGATAATCTTATAGCTGGTGTGTAGATAATCTTCTAGCTGGAGTGTAGATAATCTTATAACTGGAGTGTAGATAATCTTACATCCAGAGTGTTGGTAATCTTATATCTGAAGTAAAGATAACCTTATATTTAGAGTGTAGATACTCTTTTATCTAGAGTGTAGATAACCTTATATCTAGAGTGGAGGTAATCTTATATCTAGTGTGTAGATAACCTTATATCTAGAGTGGAGGTAATCTTATATCTAGTGTGTAGATAACCTTATATCTAGAGTGGAGGTAATCTTATATCTAGTGTGTAGATAACCTTATATCTAGAGTGGAGGTAATCTTATATCTAGAGTGTAAATAATCTTATATCTGGAGTGTAGATAACCTTATATCTAGAGTATAGACAATCTGATAGTTTAACTATAGATAATCTTTTATCTGGTTTATAAATACTTATATTTGGAGTGTAGATAAATGTACAGCTTTAATGTAGATAATCCTATATCTGGAGTGCAGATATCTGTATAGCTAGAGTGTAGAAAATCTTATATCTGGAGTGTAGATAATCTTATATCTGGAGTGTAGATAATTGCAAAGCTAGAGAGTAGATAATCTTAAATCTGGAGTGTTGATAATCCTATAACTTGGACTGACAAACTATACCTGTAGAGTAAACAAGCGGTGCCAGTGTGGGAAGGTGGGCATGCCATGCTGGCAACAAGCCACTGTAGGGTGGTCAGGGTCTGGACAGCGGGCAGGAGCTCCATGGAAGGAGGCAATGTTAGCCCAGCCATCATTACTGCTGTCAAGTTGAAGGTCATGTAGTGCTGACTGCAGACTCTGTATGTCTCTCTCAGTGAGAGAGTTGAGGTTACGACGAACATGGTTTGGGGTAACTTTCTCCACATGATAACCATCTGCAGACAAAGTAAATACCATGCTAGTATTGAGATTAGACTTGGTAATGTAGTAAATATCTTGTGCAATAAATCTCTCTCATTTAATGTCAGAAAGAGGGTGCTAAATTGTTACATAGAATATGTTCTGCTGTATGGCATCGAATCTTGGAATGTCACTGAACAAATTAGGAAGATTTGGTAGCAACAGAGATGTAGTTTCTGAGACAAATGTTACAAATACCTTGGAGGGCTAGAGTAACTAGCAACAATTGCTTGAAAGAAGCTAATGAAAGTAGATCTCTATAAACAACAATAAGAAAGAGACAAGCACTGTTCTTTGGCCACATAACGAAAAGAGACACATTGGAGAACATCGTGACAACTGGAAAAATCAATGGAAAAATGGTAGAGGCAGACCAAGAGAGTGATGATGCTGGATGGGCTGAAATGATTGCATGGAGAGATACCATCAAGAAAGCTGTTCCAGGCAAAAAGGGATCGTGATCTGTGGAGACGCATGAGCGCCTACACCAGTTGACAGAGCACATGATGAAGATGATGAATGTGGTAGCAGGTTGTGGGATAGAGACAGATACATCATCATCATCATCATCATGTAGCAGGCCTTTTAAGGAATGTCGCTCTCATCACTGTCTGCCTGAAAGAAACTTGGTCTCTTGCCAGCTCTCCCGCCTTTGTACTTTCATATTCAAGAAGTCACTTATATCTTGTGTCCATCTTTGTGTTAGCTAGCCTCTACCCGTCCTTCCTGGTACCATGCCTTCTGTTATTATATTTTCCAATCCGCCATGGCGCTTGATATGGCCAACATATTTCATTTTCCGAGACAAGATGCTGATTATTAGCCAATATTCCTTGATGTTCAGATCTTTTAAAATTTCAGGATTTCTTCTCGTCTTTATCCATGGTTTTCTGAGAATCTTTCTATGGCATTTCAGCTCAAAAGCCCTATTTTCAAAGACAGATACAGACTTGCTTCTAACTGACATAGAACCTATCATAGTTCTTGATTCTCCATGAAGATTCTGGGTAAAAGATGACTCCTGTTTGCCAAAATTTGATGTGCTGGGTCTAAAGATATTGCAGCCTAGCTGTAAACCACAAAACATACTCATTGTTCTGTTAAGGGCAAATGCAAAAGAGAACAAGATAATTTGTGGCAAAACAATGTAGCAGTTATGTTTTTGTGAGACGAGCAGGTAGCAGGATGAACTCACTTCTATTTGGTTGTTAGATGTAACTCCAGTTTCACAGGAAAAGGATCAGCCCATAATTGCTGTTGCTTGCAAGTAAAAGCGACACAAAATGTCTGTCTCTGTTCCATCCAGAGATTTTAACAGACTTCAAAGCCAACAGCTTGCACATGCATTAAATACATAAGGCAGGTGTCAGAGTTGCCAATATTAACAGTCCACCACTAGAATTACTGTATATCATCAGCAGTAGAACAGATAATTACTTTTCCATGATATAGTCACTTCATGTTTTTCGGCCATGTTATGAAAAGAGGGAAAATAGAACAAGTTGTGACCACTTGAAAGATCTGTGGAAGGACGGATAGAGGAAGACAACGAGAGAAGATGATTGACAGTCATGTTGCATGGCATGGAGGTGTGTTGGCACAAACCGATACATGCTGCAAGAGATCGCAGATTGTGGAGAGGCATGATCGCCCACACCAGTCGGCAAGGCACCTGATGATGATGATGAGTCACTTCCAGCAGGTTTGCATAGTTTCATGATGTACTAAATGTTATGGCTGCTGGGGACATAGGACAGGAGATGATGTACACACTCAGTCAGTGCCTTGTAATGTCAGTCATTGAAAATGGATGGTCTGGGGATGCTAACCCTGTCAAAAATTCAGAGAAATTGAAATGCATATAAATGCTGACAGACATTGTATACTACAAGTTGAAATCTATGTTAGAGCTGCAGGAGATATAGAACATATACTTCATAGGGAATTGGACACAGTGAAGGGAGACTATTTAAAGAGGAGCAGATACTAAATGACTAAGGCTGAAAAGACAATCAACAGTGTCTGCAACATCTGTTAGTGGACAATTCTAGGCCAGGAGATGTGATATTTAGACTGATAGGTCAGTGGCCAGGGGTAGAAAGAATGGATGAGGCTTCATTACAAAAGAATGGGAAAGAAGGATGAGCAAGGACAGATTGGCATTTGACATTACCACATCCAGCAGGAGAATGGAGGTTGAGGCAGTAACTGACATTCTGATAGAAAATCTCAGCCATACTTGTCATAGTATCAGATTCACAAAGCATACTCAGGAAGGTGGAGTCAGGTTTTCATTATATGGCTTGGGTTACATCAATCAAGAGGTCACAGGTGGTGAGAGTCATATAGAGGCATATTTGGAAAAGAGTAGGCAGATAGATTGGCTGGACTAGTTCCTCTTGAGAAGGTGGGGGGAATAGTCTGCAACTGCACAAAGCAGAGCTGATCTCTCCCCTGTGAGAGGAAACCAACAAATAAAATAGAACTTATTGAAAAAACCCACACCCAGAGAGAATGATGCTATGGGAGTGTAAGTGGGCTCTGGGTGCAGCTCAAGACTTGAGGGAAAACGGCAGGATGAGTATCTACCCAGATGACAATGACTACCATCAGTATGGGGCCTCTTCTTTGCTGGCTGTTGAGAAGTAAGATGGAGCTGAAATGGGTTTGTCCTTAATGCTGTGATTTTGAATCATTACCTAGAGATAAAACATATATAGCTGGATGATGTACTCACTGCAAGCAGGTACAAAGATAAAACATATATTTCTGTGATGTACTCACGTCTAACAAGTGCAAAGATAAAACATAGTTTTGCGATGAACTCCAGGTATAAAGTAAAAACATAGTTTTCTGATATACTCACTGCGAGCAGGTACAAAGATTACACTTGGTTCAGGGATGAGTTTGCTGCTTAGCTCTGTCCCATTAATGGCTGTGATGTACACATGGAAATGATAATCATCATCATACTTGATGTGGTGTTCCTCCAGCTGAAAGGAACATTTCCAGTCATAATTTTATCAACATTTAAAGAAGAAAATAATAATTTTACCAATCAATGTAATCAAGACATTTATCTATCTCAGTAGCCAACCATCATTGAATGCAATGGATAAAAGAGAGCTTGATTGTACCAACTAAGTTAAACACCAAAAAACAATACAATTTTAATGTCTGATCTTGGAACCTACAGAACCTACATACACTGACGACTGAAAACAACCATCTTTAGGTTGAAGAGAACTAAAAGGAAGGATTAAACAGTACAATCCTCTTTGAGTTCCAGTCGGTTTAACATCACAGGCCCAAAAGGTAGTAAAGAGAGACACAAAATCGGCGATCAGGCAATCATTGGGCTTCTAGGTAGGAACATATGAACGTATAATGCATTCCTTAGGACTCAAAGAGTTAAAGGTCAGGGCATATGACATGTTAATATAACTTTAGACAGAATAATGGTATCCTAGATCACTTTAAATATCTGCAAAGATAGACTGCACAATATAATTACTATAATTGTTTGAAATTACTCTTAAAATATGTTGTTCGACCATCACAAGTGATGCAGACCATTGTTTCTTTTATCTGTCTTGAAACTATACTTGATTGCCTGTGAGTCCAGATGATCTGGGAGGATCTAGGACAATGAGGGCAGGGAAAAGTATCACAAGAAGAAGAATTTACAGGGGCTGGGGGCTTAAAATATATAGAACTTACAATATACTATGCAATATTTAATAACCAAATATAAAAAGCATAAATATCCATTACTGAACTAGAAAAAAAACATTATATATCCCAATTATAACAAGGATGGCTTGAACAGTGTATAGCTGTGTAAATTTTTACTACTAATCATCTTTAACATAGTGATTTCAATTACAACAAAAATTTAACATTATAACAACAATTTCACATGATAACTCCTATGGTTCAGTTTTTCATCATAGAGCAGCCAGAAACCTTGCAGAGAGCATCCCACAAAACATGAACTCCTGAGCTCAAGCAAGGATCCCAAGGAATTTTCATAAACACTCTACTCATGAACTGAATGACTCAGCCTTGGAAATGAGCCCTTGACCGTCAGACCCTGATGCAACAGCATGATCACTCAGCCCCAGATACCCCATCATGTGTTCGTGAGGTGCTGGATTTTTCATTCATGATCTTGGCTCCTCATCTTAAGTAGGTACCAAGTAAAGTCCTGGGAAGTAAAGGTGGCCAGCACGATGTTGACCACATAACCCATCAAAAGCTAATTCTTCTTATTCTTCTTCAGCATTCCAAGCCCTTGAGGGTCATTGCTGCAGATATCACTCGTCTCCATTCATCTTTCTGGTTGGCTTTCTCTTTCCAGTTGGTGACACCAAGTGTTTGCAGGTCTGTCTGGACATTATCTCTATCTTCTTCTTGGTCTGCCTCATGGTCTGCGATCTCCATTGTGTATACAGTTTTTACTTCTCTGTCATTTGACATTCTTTCAATACACCCCAACCATTTCGGTCTATTAGCTCTCATGATGCCAGTGATCAATGGTGATAAAAACAGATTATGAATTTCATTATTGCTTCTCACTCTCCATTCATGGTGTTTGTATCTTTGATAGGTCTAAAGATTCATTGTAAGACTCTGTTTTGGAAAACCTGTAATGAGACTTTATCTCTTTTAGTTGTGCTCTAAGTTTCAGAGCTATATAAAATGACTGGTATCGAAGGCTGATTGGTCTACAAAAATATGAGTCTAGCTTCATGTACCTGATGTGCCACAGGCGTGTAAAGAGACTTTTACTTTACTTTTACAGATAACAGCCCCCCCCCCCCCCCCCCCAACAGTTGTATGGAATAATGACTTGTCATGTGAAATTGGTCATGTTGCAGAACTACAAACCTGATGAGTTATCTCATATTTAAACAGTCGGTCAAAGTGCCATGGCATCTCTGCAGATCCTCCCAGAATTGTAAAGTACCCGCCAGGGAAGCATTTCATGGCAGCATCACAGATTGTGAAGTTTACAGTAGCAGATGTACCAAAACCCTCCAGAAGGAATCCTGAAAGAATGACACAGACAATACTGACCACATCAGAATAGTACTGGCCACACCAGAATAATACTGACCATGCCAGAATAATACTGACCACATGAGAAAAATATTGACCACATAAGAATAATACTGATCACATGTAAAAAATACTGACCAAATCAGAATAATATTGACCACATCAGAATAATACTGATTACATCAGAATAAAACTGACCACATCAGAATAGTACTGACCACATCAGAATAAAACTGACCACATCAGAATAATACTGGATCACATCAGAATAATATTGACCACATCAGAATAATACTGATTACATCAGAATAAAACTAATCACATCAGAATAGTACTGACCACATCAGAATAATACTGACCACATCAGAATAATATTGACCACATCAGAATAATACTGATAATGTTAGAATAACATTGACAAAGGTAGAATAACACTGTCTAGAGATGTCTGAAATATAATTTTTGTGTTAACTATAACTTATCTGTGTGTATGTGTGTGTGTGTGTTTACATTATATATATATGGGATTATTTGGTTAGCATTATGTTAGAGCACTATGAAATGTAGGATATAGGAAGCTAAGAACATCACATGCTGATCTCATATGTGGAGATGACACTTGGTTATGATGTCATGTATGTGGCCGTGGGAATCACCATCACGTAGAGAAATAAACAGTCTCTTTAGGACAACGAACAATATTTTCTGTTGAACTTTTCTATAAGCTTTTACTAGAGAGTAAGCGGCGTTGCGTCTAATGGGTTGCGAAACTCGTGAGCCAGATACATCATGTACATGCAGGCTTACAAAGATTTTTATCGTGGTAATGAAGGTTGCAAATCCCAGTCATAAAACAGAGTAAAAGGATGGGCTGTCAGATGTCAGTAAAGACAAACCACTGTAATGCTGACCACATTACCCACAGAGTGATGATGGTCTGTAAACTCTTCAAAGTGCAATAACCTCAGAGGTCACTTCCAAGGGATCTTTAATTTACTTTACTTTTAAAAGGGGGGGGGGGTCAATGACCTAGAAACTTGCTCAGGTGTACATAAACTTATGCTACAAAAGAGAAAGCAGAAGAGAATGAGGGGTAAGAAATAAACAAAGGCACCGATACAGACTTAAGAAGTGGATAACCTCAGAGGTCATTTCCAGTCTGCATGATTTAGTTAGGGGGCAGGGGAGACAGGGAAAACTAGCTCTGACTGAAAGCACAGAGATTTATACACCTAATTTTGAATATACTTTAAGAAGGGATTCATTGGGCACAAGTCTCATATACAGCCAGATCAGATAGACATGGGACACTTGCTCTGACTTAGACCACAAGATCTCTGATTTGGGGGTGAAGAAAACCCCACAGGTGATGAAGATTGAACTAAGAGAGTCAGAGAATTCATGAAACATTTCTGAATGTCTTGTAGGTAGTATTTATGTTGTTTTTTAGTAACTGGATAAGACAGAGTATTCTAGCAAACATTGGGTTATCTGCATGACACCTGATGAGGGTTACATGATGATGATACATGAGCTGGGCAAAGTAATTTGTCTAACTGAACAGCAGGACAAAGATAATGCCACGATGACAGAGCCAAGTGCATTAATACAATGTTTAATAGGCCACATGTATTTATAATGATGTCTGGAAATAAATGTAATCTTGGAACAGAGGAGGAAAACAAAAACAACTCTAAATGGTCAAATAGAAGTTAACAATACAGAGTCCGGAGGCAATTCCAAGAATGCCGGTCCAGTAGATAATTTCACAGGTAAAGAGCAGATAATCTTCTTCTTTTGTCAAAATCTGCTTGTGCCGCTAGGCGTCGCAGTCTATCAGATGATCGGTCAACCGAGCCAGGGCGCGCTTAGTCGCTTCATATGCCGTGATGTTATGAAGTCTCAAGTTGTCCGTGACTCCTTCAATCCATCAAAGAGCAGATAATGAACGTGAATAAAACTGGGTAACCCTAGTATGACCTTCCAGGTATCTAACTTGGTCTACATTGTTTTGATTGAAGAAGAAAAGCAGAAGACACTAGTGTCATAAAAATAATTCCGCATGAGTTTATTTGTTTTTTGTGTGTGTGTGTCTTATGTTGTAAGGTTGTTGAGTTTCATACTGACAATTGTTTATACAAAACTACACCCTTAAACGAAAATAAACAAAAAACATGAACTGACCGACAAACACTCGGTCATGTTCTCTTCGTTCCTTGATGAAGGCATCTAGTGCCGGGATGTTCATGCCCACAAACTCCAGGTTGTCATACTGGTAATGGAAGTGGTCTCTGTAGTTGAAGGTGGCCTCAGGTCGGGAATACTCCAAAGTCTGGGGGTTTAGATTGTATGGAGATCCAAAACTGAAGGGTTTCAGGGGCTCCTAGGTGACAAGAAATAAATTTGTAATTTAGAATATTAATAATAATTATTGCACTGGTATCACAGTATCATTATTATCATTCATAACATTATTACCATTTGTATCACAAAGTGTTTTCATCAAGTGTATCATCACTGAGTGGCTAGCATCACCTGATAAGACACAAATCTGAAGCATATCAGGGATTTTCTCTCCAGGATATTTAGGCGTACAAGGTAACGAGCAGGCTGATAGATTAGCTGCTGGTGATCCTCTAGGTGACTGCTACTTTATGATAAAAGCGGGTGTGGTGATCAAATGGACAGTGCAATAGAACACACAGAGAATCCATATATTGAAGGACTTATTCAATGCTGGGTGTGTAGAGATTCCGGAAGATATTCAACATTGAGGGGAAAACAGTGGTGGACTTTTAATCAGATTGCAAATGGTACTATTAGCATGACAACTCTTCATTGGCTACTGAAGAAGGGAATGGAGCATGTGTGGGAATGTCCCAAGTGCAGTGATGTCATTCTTGATTCATTCATTCATTTATCATCAAATAGGGGCAGGTGTGTTGCAGAAATTAGAAAGAGAATAGGAATTTACAAAGTAACTTTTCGACCAAATAGAATAACTGCTCTTGGGGAACAATGCATACCAAACTGAAACAAAATAATTAGGTATTTCTTCTTCTTTTTTTTTTTCTACGTTCATCTGAAGATGTTATTGCTTTGTGCCTGTTTACAGCATGGCTGTGATATTTGTACCTTTCTGTCAACATATCTGACTCGGTTAGCCTTCCAGGTTAATTAACTATTTAATTATCTTTATATTATTTGGTATCTACACATTGAACATGGTTGTATTGATTGTGTTCATAGAAAAGGTGGTTTAGGAAAGTTAAAGAAAATGTGGTTATATGAATGAAAAAGAAAGAATTTTGCTGCAAAAGATGAAAATAGACAAATCATGACTGTAGATATTTGGCCAGAATACTCAGAGAAGAAGAAATGTAATGGCCAACATTAAAGATTACATACCCTCATTAGTTCTAAGGCACAGTTAGCCTCATTGGGGTCATGACCTCTGTACTTTTGGAGTTCTTGCCAGACGGCCCACAGCCTGTCAGTGTTTGAGTGATGGACGAAGAAAGCTGGATCATATGAGGCATAATGGAGATGTCCCAAAGAGTGCAGCTTTGAGCCACCAACCCAGGAGTGAATTGCATTGTGGGTGATCTCAAACTGAACCTCAAAGTCACAGTAATCCTCCTGTTCTAGAGCCAGCAGAGTCTGCTCAAACAGCCAGGTGTCCCAGCCATGGGGTCCAAGCTTATACAGGAACTCAGTCTGTCAAGAAATCAAGCAGATCGGTTAGATCTTGAATAAGACATTTCTCGATGATTTGCTACTGTTATCGTTAGGCTGATCAGAATGTCTTAAGCTGAAAAACAGGACATTCTGCTAATATTAAAAGCTAAAATATGGGACATTCCACTAAAATTTTGAGCTGAAAAGGGGACAATCCACTAAGATTTTGAACTAAAAATGGAACATTCCATCAATATTTTGAACTAAAAATGGGACATTCCACTAATATTTTGAGCTTAAAAAAAAGGACATCCCAAGCAAATCAATTTAACTCCACCCACTTCTGTCTCCCCCCCCTACCCCTTTTTTTTTTGTCTTCTCTAGGCCACACAGGTGAAAGATGTAATTACTCGCTCTGCAATGGTACTGTTAAAATCCAATTGAACCAAATGCCACCAAGAAATCATTTAAACAGAATGCTGCTCAACTGCAGTGGCATGGTGAGGGGGAAAGGGGAGGGGGGGGGGGGGTCATGCTACATTTAAAATCCTCATAAATATATTTCAGGCATTAAAAGTATCTGACACTTTTAAATATAATATCTAATAAGGTGCCCAGATATAAGTGTTTGTAGTGTTCTCAATCTTTTCCCTAGATTTGTTTACAAAACTGGACAAAAATGATTATTTTTTGTCAAACTGACCGGATGGCCAGGACACACCTAAAAATCAGGACTGTCCTGGTGAAAACCGTCACCCTAGCTATCATACAAGAATCATTTTATAATTAGTGGTGGTTCTACTATTTTAAAGCACAGTGTAATGAAGATCATCAAAAGGTGCAAACAGGAAAATATTTAAAAAAAAAAAAAAAAAAAAAAAAAAAAAAAAAAAAAAAAAAAATATATATATATATATAAATTACATAAATGTTTGCAAGAAATTATAATATGATTTCTTCCTATAGTTAACTTTAACCAGCAGTAAACTCCAGTGGAAAATTTTGGTTGTTTGTCCACTTGTGGACTTTGCTCTTGTTCCAGCATTTGAAATTTGTGCATTGTACCAATCTGGCTTTTTTGTATGTAGACTGTAGGTTTTGCATCTCTCAGACAGATGCGTTTTGAACTCGGATGAAAAATCTCTAATTAGTCACCTTTTACCACATGCTTGTTAGGAATGCAGCGAGTCTATTCTTTCCACCAAAACTGGGCCAATCGTACAGGGAATTGTGGGATTTAAAAATAAAAGTAAAAGTACATAATGAACACTGTATATCACAGTTATAGCCTTTAGGGTGGAGCAGAATTATTAACTTAAAAACTACTTCTACTATCATTCAGTAAATAGGGAACTGTGTGGTCTCAAGGCATGGTATCTGCCTTGAGTGCTGGAGGTTCTGGGTTCAATTCCCGCTAAGAGCTGGGATTTTTTTACGTGGACTTGGACTTCTAGTAATTCCCCCTGGTCTCTGGGTAGTGAGATCTCACGCCCGTTTGCATTGTTGCGAACGTAAACAAAAATCCCTTGGCAGTTGGAAATTGAAAAAAAATAGCCTGACAGCCCTGCCCGGGCAAAATTTGGAGTTAAAAATCTACCCAAAGTATTTCAGGATCCTCACAGAGCTTGTGCACTGTGCTGAGCTTCTTCGGACTCAGACTGGAGTTAGAAAAAGAATGGAGCACTAATGGGTTACTACCCGTGTGCCATGATGTAGATCCGTTGTTCAAACCTCAAGTAAATAGAACTTGCATATTATATTAAGAGGTTACTGTCTGTAAACAAAGATGTTTGTTTATGTGCAGATTTTAACCAGATGTATGTAGGAAATTTCAATTTACAAAACTTCAAAAATAAATGATTTTTTGAGAAGTATGTGTAACAACATCATTTGAAGTGATAGAAACCTCAAAGTCTAGAATGCAAAATAATTTTACACATTAACTCTGACATGAACTCTTTCAGCCCAGGGGGTTTTAGCATCATGGGTAGGAAGGAGATTTGAAAAATCTGTGCATCTTGCTTTTATTGGGTTTCTAGGTAGGAACCTTTGAATTGATTATGCCTTCCGTGGGACTGAAAGTGTTGATAGAAAAAAAATGAAGTTATTTAATATCCAATATGTAAGTTCTACCAGACCACACTGTTCACATTATAGTAGCTACATCAACACATAAATAACTCCGACCACTACAGACTGTTTCTTGCTTAAATAAGAACTGTTATTATTGAGCTGATATCAGACCACACTTTCTTGGTAGAGCTGCTATAGCAACACATAAATAAGTCCTACTACTAAAGACTATTTTCTGTTAAAACAAGAATTGATGTCACTGAGCTGGTATCTAGAAGTTCATAAACACAGAACAGTGACTAACACATTGAAAAGAGGAACAGGAAATGCCATTGAACTGTATTTGGATTGTCTGTTGAACAAGACTGGTTGAAAAGTTTTATTGTATTTTTTCCTTTTTTTTTTTTAAACCAGAGTCTGTTTTGTGTTGGATAACTCCTTGTTTGCTAGAATAACTATTGAGGATTGCTTAAAGGAAGCTTATGAAAGCAGATCAGAATATACAGTTATAAGGAAAAGACAAGCACTGTTCTTTGGTCATGTGATTGGGGGAGGGGGGCTTTGGAGAATATTGTGACTACTGGTATGATGAACGGTAGAAGAGGGAGAGGCAGACTGAGAGAGATGATGTCACATGGACTGTGACGGTGGTAAGGAGGGATATCATCAGTGGAACTGATCCAGAGGACAAGGGACAGAGATTTATGGAGATACATGAACGTCTATGCCAGTCGACAGGGCATATGATGATGATGAACTCCTTCTTCTCTGTCTAGATGCTATAACCTTACCTGAACATCCCTTTCTGTGTGTGAGTTTTCAAAGTCAATAGGAGCTCCATGCCAGGGGTTTTCCACAATGTCCTTGGTGTAGGGATCTGTATAGTTTTCAGTGGATAAGAACTGGGGTAGAGACTGGCTGGCACGGGTCCAGTCCCAGTAGGGAACTCCTACCAGTGAGCCATGACGGCGCAGTGCATCTTCAATCTGTACAGTGTAGAGTCGGTGCCACTGAGGGAAAGTTGCCATGCCATGGAGACAGCAAGCATATCTGCAAAATTGGAAGGCAGCCATTTGCAAACATATTTTCAGCTGTTCTGTAAATGTCAATTTTTGTGTGTGTTTTTGTTGTTGCTGAGTAGGTGAATTTATGAGCTCTTTATAGATTTTCCTTGTATGATCTTATGTTTTGGAAATGAAGTCAGATATTAATAGTTATAAAGCTTTAACTAATGGTGGAAGCATGTGCCTTTTAACTTAAGAATTATGCTTTGGTCAGTCCAAGCATACAAACAGTTTTGGATACAAATGGGCAATTGTGAAACAAAAAATATGTATTAGAAATAACTGCATAGTGTTTCACACATCTTTACATTGGAACATACAGCAGAAATACAGTGTAAAAAATCTCTCTTCACTGGAACTACAACAGAAATACATAGTGTGAAACAGCTCTCCTTACTGGACCACGCAAAAGAAATACAGTGACAAACAACTCTTTTCACTTTAACAAAACATGCATGAGAAAACTAAAATTATCAGAAGCTGTGCAGAGCAAGACATCATAAGATTCCATCAGATATAAAGTTTTTTTTAGAGATTTTCAAACGTAAAAAAAAAAATCCTATTTGTTAGTCAGAACAAGCAGATATTGTTTGTGATTAACACCACAGAATGATAATACACTGTACAAAAACAACTGAACAGTAATAATGGTAATCATTAAAAATAAAAAAAACTAACATTTTAGCAATGAGCTTGAATTCTTTGAGTCTCAATCAGTAGTTACATCAGCACTTCCTATACCATTGTATGTGTACCTCATAGAAACAAACTTTGTATCCTAATGAGTTAAAACAAAAAACTATCAGACAGCAAGATTTGAAGTAACATTTGTGAGGTTGAATTGTTTAATGTAAGAACTAACAGGATAGAGAAGTTCTAAAATGTTAACCATGGATACAGTAATTAAGGAGTGTGTGTTGACTCGCCTGCTACGGAGAGAGTTAATTTACAATATTTGTAACTGGACGTCAAAATTATATAGAAATACAAGAGATAAGAAATGCTGACAGTACCTGTGGCTAGCAGTGGGACTTGGGCACAGAGGAGGAAGGGCATGGAATGACGCAATCGACTGGAACCCATCAGCAGAGTTGTCAGCTTGCAGAGATTCCAAAGCATGAATCAGTGAGAGCATTTCACGAGGACTCAAGGCTTCTAAATTCTTTCTGGCCAGATAACCGTTGACTTGCCCGTTGGCATCCTGCCTTTCCTCTGAAAAAAAGAAACAGTTATAAATGAATATTGTCAAACAGTCAGTATTGTCATTACCAGAAATCAAAACACTCATCAAGAGAAAATACAAGAAACTGTGGGGAGAACAAACCAACAGTAAACATCCACAAGACCACATAAGCAGACTCAAAAGAGAGCAACATACAACAATTTTTCCATCCATGAACAGGACATTGCAGGCTCAACTACCACATGCGTAAAATAAAAGACTGTACATCCACACAGTGTGCCTGTCAGACAGGACTACAAAGTCCTGAGCACCTTCCGCAAACCTGTCCATTCAACCTACAACTTCAAAAAGAAACCTGGCCTCAAGAGCAAAGTGTGCAGAGCAAGCAATGGGAAACCACGAAAGACCTGAAGCTGACATGCAAGTTCATAGATGCAACCCACCTGATGGTCTGATCTGAGCATACTAAACTGAACGTGAAAAAGAAGAAAAGGAAGAAGAAAATAGTTAGTAAGGAAATTCTGTCATAAAGCTGAATCATGTATTAGTAATAGTTTTCACAGAGAAGCATGATGAATCTTTTCTTGTTGTAGCAACAATACAAAACCCACAGGGTGAAGTGATTGTCCTGTCTCTTAGAGAGTTGTAATGTCAGAGAATATTGTCATAATAGACTGACTGAATATTCCATATCCTGCACACAGTGACCATTCCAAGTCCTGCAGAAACGGAACATTTTAAGGCCTATTCATGCTGAAAATTTTGTATCCTGCACACAGTTAATATTCTGAGTTTTGAAGCAGTGAACTTTCATATCCTGCACATAGTGAGCATTCCATGTCCTGCAGGCAGTGAACATTTAAAGTTCTGCAAACAGTGAACATTTCAAGCACTGCATTACTAACATACTATATCCTACACATAGTGAACACTCCATGTCTGCAAACATTGAACATTCCATGTTCTGCAAACACTGAATTCCATGTCTGCAAACATTGAACATTCTATGTCCTGCACACTGAGCATTCCATGTCTGCAAACATTGAACATTCCATGCTTGCAAACATTGAACATTCCATGCCTGCAAACATTGAACATTCCATGTTTGCAAACATTGAACATTCTATGTCCTGCACACTGAACATTCAATGCCTGCAAACACTGAACATTCCATGCCTGCAAACACTGAGTATTCCATGTCCTGCACACTGAACATTCCATGCCTGCAAACACTGAGTATTCCATGTCCTGCACACTGAACATTCCATGCCTGCAAACATTGAACATTCCATGCCTGCAAACACTGAACATTCCATGGCTGCAAACACTGAACATTCCATGCCTGCAAACACTGAACACTCTATGCCTGCAAACAATAAACATTCCATGTCCTGCACACTGAACACTGTAGGCCAGCAAACACTGAACATTTATATCAAATAAATTCACAGATAATGAAAGTGAAAGAATACATTCTAAATACCCACTATTTAAAAAAAGGACTCAAGAGACTATAAACTTTCTTAAGCATGGCAAAAGGTTCTCCGTGGCGAAGTAGTCCAGTCGCTTGTCTCGCGCTCTGAAGGTTATGGGTTCATTCACGGCTGTGCCCTTCAGTTCGTGAGTGCAATTTTTTATGGAGATCCCTGGGGATCATCACCAGAGCTATGGAGTTCGTGCTCTGCACGGCACCCTCTGCAGGCAGCTAGCCATTCTATGGAAAGATACCGAGCCATATGGGATAAACACCTAGTGCAATGAGGTCGATCCTCTCGACTTTAACCTCTTAACCTTTAAGCATGGCAGCAAACGGCTCAGCCCTGACACTCACCTGTTCCAGGCAGATATATAATTGTTGGTTCTGGCAGAATATGAGGGTCAAGGAGACTTCCATTGACAGCTCTAATTTCCACCTTTAGCTGGAAGTTTGCAGCATTGTCCAGCTTCAGCCCAAGATCCCTGATGGTAGATGTGATCTCGTGTCTGTACAGACGGTCAAATGTAAATGGCATCTCTAGCTGGCCGCCCAGTACTGAGAAAACACCAGCCTGTTTCACATGAAGGAATCAAACAATATCTCAGTGATAGTGAATATTTTAAAACCAGGTTTTTGTGAATGCGTTTCTACCAGCCATGTTTTTATGAATGTATTTGTACCAGCCATTTTGTGTGTGTGCACATGTGTGCGAGTACAAGTGCATCTACACGTGTGCATGCGTGCCTGTGTGTGTAAGAGAGAGAGAGAGAGAGAGAGAGAGAGAGAGAGAGAGAGAGAGAGAGAGAGAGAGAGAGAGAGAGAGAGAGAGAGAGAGAGAGAGAGAGAGAGAGAGAGAGAGAGAGATACAACCAAGTGTTTTTGAATCTGGTCTTGAACTAATAAACATAAATAGCTTTTGTGTAACCTGTCAGTGAAACAACAACCTTCAGCTTAAACTTTTTTGTTCTAACATACACTTGTTGGGGCATAGGGGAAGAATGGCAGATAACAGAGATGACAAGGAAGTCGAGTAAGACAGTGGAGAGATAACACTCAGACAGACCTATCAACCCTGGAACAAGAAGACAGTGGAGAGTTAACATTCAATCAGACCTATCAACCCTGGAACAAGAAGACAATGGAGAGTTAACATTCAGGCAGACCTATCAACCCTGGAACAGAAGACAGTGGAGAGATAACATTCTGACGGGCCTATCAACCCTGGAACAGAAGACAGTGGAGAGATAACATTCAGGCAGACCTATCAACCCTGGAACAGAAGACAGTGGAGAGATAACATTCAGGCAGACCTATCAACCCTGGAAAAAAGAAGACCTACAGCTGGAAAAAAAATGAAGAAAGAAGACCTGTCACAAAGAGGAATGGAGGAGGGTGATATCTGCAGTAATGGACCTCAAGAGTTAAGGATGCTGAAGAAGAAGAAGAATGTACAGTGGTAGAAAGCTATATAAGCATAGGTTAGCAGACTCTTCTGCTGGCCTTTGTGGTTATGTGTTCATTGTGATGGATATTATTCTTAAAAACAAATGAACTTTGACTGGGGTGACCTGGTTGAGTGAGCTGACAGACATATATGTATGGTAATATCCATCTTCTAATTATCACCATCATAGTGCCATAACAATATATATCGTTATGTTATCACTTGCCGTTGACTGACCAAATGCTCCCACCTCTGCTGGTCAGATGTTTATGTTTACGTTTATTCAACGGATCAACATCATGGCACATGGGTGTAACCCATAAGTGCTCCGTTCTACTTCAAACTCAAGCCTCAGTCTGAAAAATGTCAGCCCTTGCACGAAATCCGACCCACCGGCGAAGATCCTGAAATACTTTGGGTAAATGTTTAACTCAAAATTTTGCCAGGGCAGCGCCGTTACGCTACTCTTTTTCAATTTCAAACTGCCAAGGTATTTTTTACGTGCACAACAATACACACGAGGGTCTGGTCTTGCTACCTAGAGACCAGGGGAAATGACTAGGAGTCCACGCGAAAAAAATCCCACCCTTCACTGGGGCTTAAACCTCTAGCACAAGGCGGATGCCATATCTCGAGACCACAATGGACTTAATGCTTGCATTTTTTAGAATTGTCCCGTCAGCCAAATTTTTTTTAAATTCAGGCTTTAAAAAAAAAAAAGTGTAATTGCACACCACAAAGAAATGGATTTCAAATAGGACAGCCAAGAAAAGTCTCCTTAATATAAAAGGGCATTTAGCCGGTTAAACAAGGTGCAAGTATGAAATTGTTGTTTTCTATGAATCTAATAGAATTCATGTTTTTGTTATACGTCCTCTTGTCCTCTGATAAGCCCATGTTTCTAAACATGTGTGTTAATATATGTGTTGCATCATACACTGCGCTAATAAGTATGTGCTCATATGTATGGGGGTATACGCTGAAAGCACGTTAAGACATGCAGCATACCTTGTTGTTACAGTTGTTTCTGCCGGTTGGTCCGGTGGCTACACACACAAAAATGTCCACATCAGCAGAAGCCCCAATGTTATGGATGAGAAACCCAGCGAAGACTCGTCCGTGCTGCTTGCGGGACTTGAGCAGGTTCTCCAGCTGAGGGATGGTCATGTGGTTAAACTCCAGGTTGTCGTACTCGTAGTGGAAGTGGTTGCGGTAGTCAAAGGTATCGATAGGGCGGCTGTCAGTAAAACAAAACATATTAAATAATAACAAGAACTCCAAAACAGGAGCATGCACAACAGGAGTACTTCGACCATCAGTAGGCAAGTCACCTCTTCAACAATTGTTTTGGCTATATTATCCATCTTGGACAATCTCGAGTGGTGGGCTGACCTGGTTCATGACTCCAGGCCTTGGTCTTATCATGCTGTGTTTATCGGACAAGATGAAATAGTGGTTTTGCAACAGGTGCTGAGGTTATGGTGTTATATATATATATATATATATATATATATATATATATATATATATATATATATATATATATATATATATATGTAGAGCTTTGGAAGAGAACTAAACAGGCTCCAGTGGACCAAGAGGTGAGGAAAAGACGCTGGCGTTGGATAGGATACACACTGAGAAAACAGGAGAACAGCATAACTAGAATGTCTTTGTATTGGAACCCACAGGGGAATAGGAATAAAGGAAGGCCAAAAAACACATGGAGAAGAGAGCTGGAGAATGAAGTTAGAAAGATGGGGAAGATATGGAAAAAGCTCCATGTAATGGCGAAGGATAGAACAACTTGGGGTAAGTTGGTTGAGGGCCTATGCTCCATTAGGGGTTAGAAAGGCAGAAGAGATATACATAAATAATTCTACTCTCATGTGATATGTAAAGGCAAGTTAAGCATTTGCAAACAAGACTGTCATAAACACTCTCATTCCACTGTGTTTGTTAGACATATCCTCTGTAATTTCAGTTTAAAAAAAAAAAAAAAAACTTTCTATCCTTTCCTTGTATTGTTTTTTTTTCATTTGTATAAATATTTTTTAGGTAGGTAGGTAGTTTAACCCCTTTATGATTATTAGTTAGTTCCGTATTCTTTACAGGACGTTGCAGAACCAACCCCAGCATTTTTTGTGTCTTGTGGTTTTTCTAGACCCATTTTTACATTCAGTAGTTTGCCACTGCTTGCTGAACGGACAGCTCTCAGTACCACTGTCAAAAACCAGCGCAAGACAAAACATCAGCAGTAGGGATCTAACCCGGTACAACAGCATTATGAAGCGCGTTCGCAACGCCTAAGCCACAGATGCCAACTTCAGAATTGTAAACTGCAGAATTAACAACACAAGGATGAGAAAGAGACAAATTTGGACAACCCTGTTCAAGCACACATCGGCCATTCTGGTATCCCCAATGGCTACACAGTAACCTGAAGTCTGGACCGAGTGGGGAATATTAATAATCTTTGCTCTCTATCTGTACTTTTTTGGGGGGTTTGTTTTAAATTTAACTTTATCAGTAATATTATCTACCTATCGTTTGCTTTAGCATGATAATTATGTATCCATAATTTGTTTTATCATCGATATGCTCTATCCGTAGTTTGTTGTATCATAGATATTCTCTGTCCTTTGTTTGCTTATCATAGATATTCTGATTTCATTGTTTGTTGCACTTAGATATTTTCTATTATGAGCATACACTTTTTCCCTCTGCGTTTCCCACCAGTGCATTGACAATACTGACTTTCTGATTGTTTGCTGGAAATATCACATTTTGAAATAAGATGTTACCTTCCTTGTTCTCCTTAGTTCTTCTATATCAGTTTTTGTGTCCATGCCTTCTATAAGATTAGTGGATGCTGTCTCATGTTGTCCCTGTACCATGTCAAGATTAGTGGATGCTGTCTCATGTTGTTGTGACGAAATGACCTCAGTGGTCTCAGAAGTTATATTGTATTTGATAATTTCTTATGTTCAGAGAAGGACAAAGAATTATAAGCAATAGACACTGAGCCTAAAATAGTTCTAAAACCACTACAAGGGATTTGAGAATTGTTTAAACTGTGTTTCCAGTCCCTGGCCAAACAAAGCAACCTTGCTTTATGTAATGTTACCTAATACTACTGTAGCTAGAGTTTCACCTGCCTGTGTCAGATAATTATCTCCTGCCCAGTCTGTAGAGGCAAGTAAAGGGGGAGATAACGTAGTATCACACCTGATTAGCTTCCCTGAACCCGACCGTAGTGTCATAAAAATTACATAACACACACTGAGTGGGGCCGTTTGATCAAACTGAATCAGGGGAATTAGTGGTCTGATAGACATTTCTAGACAGGATGGCTTCCAGCCTCTGAAGTTTCACCCATGATAGTGAAATTCTCAAGAGAACAGGTGTTTGGCAATTAGGAATGTTTAATCTTGGTCAAGGTCGTACTGTAGGCCGTTCACTGTGAGTGACAGGCCCCTTGATAGCTAGGTTGATCTGATAGGTACCTCATAGGCAGGGCTTAAGTCATCTCCTTGAGGGTTGGGTAGAACGTAGTAGAGGGTGGAGTTTAACCTTGCAGACAGATAGAGGTATTAATAAGACAAGCCCTGGAATTCCCGTCATAATCGCTGCCACGAGCAACAAACAGGTCGACCTTAGAGGTAAATCTAATGGTTTGATTCTAGTTTGGCGATTGCTGGAAGTTTCCAGGTAAGCATGTACAATTATTTTCAAATCTTGTATACATAGGTTAGGGAGTTAGCTAAAATCTATTCTACCTTTTCCTAATTTGTCTACTCATTCTGCTTGAAATAGTTCTTTGTGAGTATTCAGTATCTCAGTTAGGGAACTGCTAAACTATTTCTATTTCTTGTATGTTTGTGGCACATGTTTTTCAGTGTATGTTTTCATGTTTATGAAATAAGACTTGTATACTGAAATGTAATGAAATTATAATGTTTCAACCATCAACCAAAACATGAGTTTGGACTGTGGGAAATGATGCCCACATATGCAGCTATGCTGTTACGTTTTGTGTGCCCACCATGTGCTCACCTAATGTGTTCACCTAAACAGGGGATTTATAACCCCAGGGGAAGAATCATGAGTGTATATTATTCACTGTCACTGAAAGATAATATTAAAATAATAATATTTTATTCATAATAAAATGTTTTGCGTGTTCAGCACATAACCTGCGCCACATGTTTATGTCAAATCAATGTTAGCAAGTTGGAAGTCTGAGTGATGACGGACAACAGAAAGTCAACTATCATGACATAACCTTAGAGGGAAGGCAGGATATGTGAGACGTCGATGTGAGACACAAAGACCTTCAGAATAGACTGGAGAGAATGTGGAATATGAGGAGGAGTGATGAGATATAATGTATTATTATATATTGTATTAATTGACACATGTATTCTTAGTGTAAGTCAAGATACTACACGTATGTGTTTGTTTCCATTATTTCAGCTCCCATGTGGGTGAGGATCAGTCGTTTCTAAGAACAGAAATAGAGGGTCATCACGGTCACGAGACTACATTGTGTTAGAACTCGGCCAGCTGGGAAACAGGTGGGAACCAGGGAACCAGGTGGAAGGACCAGGAGAACTGGGCGGAAAGATTGGAACAGCTAAGAAGGGACTCAACACGAGACTCTCAGAGGTTCCACTTTCTAAAAAGTTATGTAACAAGTATTTATGTAACTAAACACCACCATTATCATTCACTCTAATCTTAGGTGCTCAGTTATCTAGCTGAAGCCTCTCATTATCACCATACCATCACTATCTATTATAACAATAATGATGACTTAATTCATACTCTGATTGCTAGGTTAATAAATCAAATATATGGTCTTATCCTGCATCAGTTTTTGTAATTCCAAATGTGTCTGTTCTTACACGTTTAATTAAACTGTTAAGATAGAATAGCATTTGGTGGGGGCTCATTAAATAATAATAAATTCTGTACCAAGAGAAGGTCGACGGATTGGGTCAACTGCCCTGTCTAGCGAATCATTCAAGATAATAATATATATAGACATCTAAAACCCATTTCCTTCTCTTGTGGGTACCAAGTTCAGCTAAAGTTAATATAAATAACGAGCCAATATGGCTGTTTTCTTGGATATCCAGGACTTTGTCTGAGAGCAACATAGCCCGGATAATAGTTCAGTTAATCTGGTGGAGGGGATGTGGTGAGAGGAAAATCCCTACTCAACATAAAAATCATTTAAACCCAAATCCAGAGAACCCACTACCCGGGACGTCACACTAAAAGTGTTGTAATTTCCAAGGGAGTGGGACGTAACGTCACAGTTGTCCTTGTACCATGTCAAGATTAGTGGATGCTGTTTCATGTTGTCCCTGTACCATGTCAAGATTAGTAGATGCTGTCTCATGTTGTTCCTGTACCATGTCAAGATTAGTGGATGCTGTCTCATGTTGTCTTTGTACCATGTCAAGATTAGTGGATGCTGTCTCATGTTGTCCCTGTACCATGTCAAGATTAGTAGATGCTGTTTCAAGTTGTCCCTGTACCATGTCAAGATTAGTAGATGCTGTTTCAAGTTTTCCCCCTACCATGTCAACATTAGTAGATGCTGTTGCAAGTTTTCCCTGTACCTTGTCAAGATTAGTAGATGCTGTTTCAAGTTTTCCCTGTACCATGTCAAGATTAGTAGATGCTGTCTCATGTTGTCCCTGTACCATGTCAAGATTAGTAGATGCTGTTTCAAGTTTTCCCTGTACCATGTCAAAATTAGTAGATGCTGTTTCATGTTTTCCCTGTACCATGTCAAGATTAGTAGATGCTGTTTCATGTTGTCTCTGTACCATGTCAAGATTAGTAGATGCTGTTTCATGTTTTCCCTGTACCATGTCAAAGTTAGTAGATGCTGTTTCATGTTTTCCCTCTACCATGTCAAGATTAGTGGATACTGTTTCATGTTTTTCCTGTTTCACATCAAGATTAGTGAATGCTGTTGATTGCCTTCTCTACAGGTCACATTATCACCTTTATTTTCTAAACTAAAAATATACTACTAGGTTACAACCAAAAATATGTCAATTTACCACAACAAGAACATGCCTCCTAACCTCAACAAGAACATGCCACCCAACCATAACAAGAACATGCCACCCAACCTCAACAAGAACATGCCACCTAACCTCAACAAGAACATGCCACCTAACCTCAACAAGAACATGCCACCTAACCACAACAAGAACATGCCTCCTAACCTCAACAAGAACATGCCACCTAACCTCAACAAGAACATGCCACCTAACCTCAACAAGAACATGCCACCTAACCTCAACAAGAACATGCCACCTAACCTCAACAAGAACATGCCACCTAACCACAACAAGAACATGCCTCCTAACCTCAACAAGAACATGCCTCCTAACCTCAACAAGAACATGCCACCTAACCTCAACAAGAACATGCCTCCTAACCTCAACAAGAACATGCCACCTAACCACAACAAGAACATGCCTGGTAACCTCAACAAGAACATGCCTCCTAACCTCAACAAGAACATGCCACCTAACCACAACAAGAACATGCCACCTAACCTCAACAAGAACATGCCACCTAACCTCAACAAGAACATGCCACCTAACCTCAACAAGAACATGCCACCTAACCTCAACAAGAACATGCCACCTAACCACAACAAGAACATGCCTCCTAACCTCAACAAGAACATGCCACCTAACCACAACAAGAACATGCCTCCTAACCTCAACAAGAACATGCCTCCCAACCTCAACAAGAACATGCCACCTAACCTTAACAAGAACATGCCACCTAACCTCAACAAGAACATGTCACCTAGCCACAACAAGAACATGTCACCTAACCACAGCAAGAACATGTCACCTAACCACAACAAGAACATGTCACCTAACCACAACAAGAACATGCCTCCTAACCTCAACAAGAACATGCCACCTAACCTCAACAAGAACATGTCACCTAACCTCAACAAGAACATGTCACATAACCTCAACAAGAACATGCCTCCTAACCTCAACAAGAACATGCCACCTAACCACAACAAGAACATGCCACCTAACCACAACAAGAACATGTCACCTAACCACAACAAGAACATGTCACCTAACCACAACAAGAACATGCCTCCTAACCTCAACAAGAACATGTCACCTAACCTCAACAAGAACATGCCACCTAACCTCAACAAGAACATGCCACCTAACCTCAACAAGAACATGCCTCCTAACCTCAACAAGAACATGCCACCTAACCACAACAAGAACATGCCTGGTAACCTCAACAAGAACATGCCTCCTAACCTCAACAAGAACATGCCTCCTAACCTCAACAAGAACATGCCTCCTAACCTCAACAAGAACATGACATTCCACCTGGCCACAACCAAGAGGATGCCATCTGATCACCTTGGATCTGTTACCTGGATGTTTTAAACATCGACATGTCAGGTGAGTGAAGTCAAGCATGCCTACCTGTATCTAGTAGTAGCATCTCCATGATTCAGCTCTGTATTATTGAATGGCTGCAGAGGTTTCCTCATCAGGTTGATGGCACAGTCGGCTTCATTGTAAGCAAGGCCTCTGTATCGCTGAAGCTCCTGCCAGATTGCCCATATCCTGAAAAGAATAAAGGAGTTTGGGAGATAAAAATTGAAGTATTTTTACAGTCAGTGTAGTAATGTAAGAAGACAGTGAAGTAATGTAAGAAGACAGTGAAGTAATATAAGAAGTTCTGAAGTAATGTAATAAGTCAGTGAAGTAATGTAATAAGTCAGTGAAATAATGTAAGAAGTCTGTGAAGTAATGTAAGAAGTCAGTGAAGTAAAGTGAGAAGTCAGTGAAGTAATATAAGAAATCAGTGAAGTAATGTAATATATCAGTGAAGTAATGAAAGAAGTTTGTGAAGTAATATAAGAAGTCAGTGAAGTAGTGTAAGAAGTCAGTAAGGTAAAGCAACTGTGATTGGGGTAATGCAATTGTGACTGATATAGAAATATTACGTATTAAACGTGTGATGAAATGACTGCATGATTCACAAAAGAAAGACAAAAGAAGATAGAGAAGATGAAAGATCTTAATGAAGACCAAAGATCATAGGGAAGACAAATGATTATAAGGAATACAAATGACCAGCAGGTAGACAAACGATAAGGTAGACAAATGATTATAGAAAAGACAAATGATCATAGAGAAAAAAAAAAGATCATAGAGAAGACAAATAATCATAGAGAAAACAAATGATGATAAGGTAGACAAATGATGAAAAGGTAGCCAAATGAATTTAGAGAAGACAAATGATTATAAGGAAAACAAATGATTGTAGGGAAGACAAATGATCATATGGTAGACAAATGCTCATAGAGAAGACAAATGATCATAGAGAAGACAAATGATCATAGAGAAGACAAATTATCATAGAAAAGACAAATGCTCATTGAGAAGACAAATGATCATAAAAAAGACAAATGATCATAAAGTAGACAAAATATCATAAGGAAGACAACTTACATTAGGGAAAGTGGAAGATCATTAAAAAAAACACATGCACAATTTATCTTAAATGAGAGGATTTTTTTTTTTTTAAATATTTTTTTTAACGTATCCAGAAACCATGAGTTGTAAACCCTTTGGCTCGGTACTATGGATATCGCAACCCTTCGGCATTGATTCCATTATAGGTACCGTTAATCTGGGAGAAATGTGGCTTTTCTGCCTGCCCCCGGGAGTGAACCCGGACCACAAGGAGTTCGTCACCCGGCCGCCGCAAAAGTCAGGTTTAACCAACTTCGCTAGAGAGCCGGGCAAATGAGAGGATAAACTTACCTATCAGTGTTGGCATGGTGAAGAAAAAATACTGGATCAAAGGCTGTGTAGTCGAGGGATGAGACCGAGTACTGAGCATGCCCACCCAGCCAGGAGTGCAGGGCATTGTGCAGGATCTCAAACTGAATCTCAAAGTCACAAAAGTGATCCTGCTCTAAGACAAAGAGAGCCTGTTCGTAGAAGTAGTTGTTGTTGAACAGCTGTGGCTGGGGATCTCTGGGGAGATGGTACAACAGGTTGTTAGTTATCTAAGTCTAACTACTTATCTCCTTGGTAGCCACTGTGGTGTAGTGACTAGATGTTCACCTTTGGATCTAAAGGTCATGGGTTCAAATCCACATGGTTCCAGATATTTTGTAAACATGACTCTGGCTCCGAGACTGACATCTGATGTTCAATCCCACTAGGACATCACACCGAGTGATAAAGACCCAGTGACTCAAAATGCCACCACTGGTATGTGGATCACCAGTGGACAGGTCCTAAAAACCCCGTTCAATCCATAGGTTTGAGTTATATTAGAACCCCAGCATTTTTTCTTTTTTCCCCAGGATCTTTAAGGGAAGCAAATGATATTACCACTGCACCCTCCCAGACATGTAAGAAATTAACTAATGGTAAGTGGTCTCAAGGCATGGCGTCCACCACTAGTGTTGGAGGTCACGGTTTCAATAGCCGGGGAAGGCTGGAAGTTTTTCACATGGACTTCTAGTAATTTCGGAAGGTCGTGGGTTCGCTCCCTGGCGGAGACGGACTTTTCTTCAAAAATGACCTTGGCTCCCAGGTCGACCCAGCCTTGAGTGGGTACCGGGTGCAATCCCGGGAAGTAGAGGCGGCCGGCGTGATGCTGACCACATCACCCATCTTGTGCCGTTGGTCTATAAAAATATAGGTCTAGCCCTATATGCCCTATACGCCTTAAGGTGTGGAAAGGGTCCTTTACTTTTTTTACTTTTACTTCTAGTAATTTCCTCTGGTCTCTGCGTAGTAAAATCAGACACCTGTTTGTATTGTTGAGCATGTAAAAAAAATCCCTTGGCAGTTTGAAATCGAAAAGAGAAGCCTAACGGCACTGCCTGGGTAAAATTTAGAGTTAAAAATCTACCCAAAGTAATTCAGGATCCTCGCCGGTGCAATGGAGTTTGTGCACTGCGCTGAGATTCTTCAGACTCAGGCTTGAGTCAGAAGTAGAACGGAGAACTTATGGGTTACTATTGCCATGATGTTGATCCGTTGTTTATACCTAAAACCTAAACTAAAGGTAAGGTATGGCTAGGGTAGGCTAATTACTTCCACACACACCCACACTTGACCCGCAGAAACCAACCAGGTATGAGAAATGTGTTCAGACAGGAATAACCCTCAATGCCAAGTTTCATCTAAAAAAAAAACATGCCCAAATTAGTTACCCTGCTAACAGTTCTCCATTTCAGTTACCCTGTCAACATTTGTCTCCACCAGATACCCTGTTAACAAATGTCGACATCAGTAACCTTGCTAACAGTTCCCCTTTTCAGTTACCCTGCTAACAGTTCTCCATTCCAGTTACCCAGTCAACATTCGTCCCCACCAATTACCCTGTTAACAAATGTCCACAGCAGTTACCCTACTAACAATTCTCTATTATTAACAAATGTCCATACTATTTATCATGTTAACAGTTGTCCACACCAGTTACCCTGTTAACAAATGTCCACATGAGTTACCTTCCTAACAGTTTCCCAAACCTGTTCTCCATTCCAGTTACCTTATTAACAAATGTCCATACTATTTATCGTGTCAAAATTTGTTCCCACCATTTACCCTGTTAACAAATGTCCATACTGTTTATCCTGCTAACATTTAACCCCAACAGTTACCCTCCAACAATGGTCCACACAAATTACCATGCCATTAGTTCCTAACATCAGTTACCACACCCATGATGTCAAATTATCCATGCCAGTGTCAAAGTATATATACCCATGATGTCAAATTATCATTGATATTAAAATTATCAATTATATTTATATTGTCATGTGTTAGTTCCAGAGCTTCATTTTGGGAGAAAAAAAAAATGTACCCACTGCTGCTCCTGTTAAAGAAGGTCATTGGGGGTGTTTCTTTAAAAGTTGGAGTGCATCTGCCTAACAGTTGAGGAACCAACAGTCTGCATGCAAATAAACCTGATTCATCAAACGGATGTGCATGCAAAAGTTAATTTCTGGAAGAAGACTTAAGTTCAGAAGTGGATGAACAACCAGAACTTTTCACTGGAGTTTACAGTAAAATTGTTCCACTATTGCATACTAAGGAAACAATATATCCATTATCTTAATGACACAATATTAGTAAGATAGTCTATTATTCATAGTACCATTTCTATCATAATCACATCCCAAATCAAAGCAAAATGTGAAACAACACAAATAACATTTTGGTCACATAAAAAAAACATACAAATTTAAATTAAAAAAAAATTTCTCTGAGAACTCAGTTAACACTAAATATCCAAATTTTAACCCTAAGGGTTGAACAGGATATTTTTGAAAAACTACTACCACTACTATAACCACTACTACCACTGTTGTGGGGAGTGGCTGTGGCTGAGTGGCTAGACGCGAGCCACGGATTGGAAGGTCATGGCATTGCTCCCTGGTGAAGCCAGACTTTTCTTAAAAAATGACCTTGGCTCCCAGGACGACCACAAGCCTTTAGTGTGTACCGGTTGCAGTCCCGGGAAGTAAAGGCGACTGGCATGATGCTGACCACATCACCCAGCTTGTGTCGTTAGTCTATAAATTATAGGTCTAGCCCTATATGCCCTATACGCCTAAAGGCGTGGAAGAGGGTCCTTTACTTTTGTTTACTTACTACTGCTGCTGCTGCTGCTGCTACCACTACTGCTGGAGTTTACAGCTGGTAAACACACAAAAAAAGAACTGTTCACATGTGTTTACACCTGGCTCAGTGGAACAGTTGAGTTGATTGAAAAACTAACATCACAGCATTCGAGGCATTCCCATAAGTGCTCCATCCCCATTCTCAGCAGCCAGTGAAAAGTCCCAATACTAATGATGCCAGTAGCTTTCTGATTAAATGTCCATCTTGCCTTTCCTCTGAGCCTCAAGCATCTGCCAGAACTTCTCGTCACTCCCCCTGCATCAATCTCACCAGACTGTGGTGATCCATCTGCTCCTCTGAACTGTACACGCTCTCCCACAAGGCACAAACCACGTCTGCCTTATCATGCTTCAGTATTCCACCAAGTTGTGCAGAGCCAGCCAGTCTGTCTGCCTGTTCATTTCCCAACACACAAGTGTTTCCTAGAGAAAAAATCCAGACAATACCTTTCACCCGTGTCCTTCACAGAGAAGCATGCCATTCTGCACAAAGCATGTCTGTCCTTCCACAGCATGCTTTCTGAGTCAGTTACAATCACGATGTGTGTGTGTGTCATGTTCTCTAACCAGCGGAAAGCTGCAGTGACCGCCTCCACCTCCATGTTAAGCTGGATGTTGTGGTACCATATGCTAGGCTCTCCTGCACCAAACGTCGACCATTAACTTTTGCTAAGAAGCCCCAAGCACTTTTTTTGCCTCTTGACACTGAACAGTCTGTGTAAATGATCAAATCTTCTGAGCGAGCATTATCTTGAATTAATTGCAGAATTTTCACCTCTGTGGCACCTGCTGGCCAGTCTCTGCATTCCCGGCTCAGTGCTCAGTGGAAAAACAAATTAAAGCAAAATGTGAAACAATTACATTTTGGTCATATAAAAGTTACATGAACATATGACTAATATTTGCAGACTACAATGTTACAAGCCCTCATTTGGACACCACAGGGGAAAAGATCTCGTGGAAGACCAAGGGAAACCCTACGTAGAACTATCATCAGGGAAGGCTCACTCATGGGCCACTCAAACATCCAAGACCTACAACAGATTGCAACGAACCGCCATGCATGGAGAGTCATGACCTCTGCCCTATGTGCCGCACTTGACACAAGAGGAAAGCCTAACTAACTAACTAACAATGTTGCAAGCATACCTGGTTGTGACGGCATCTTCACCTGCTATCTTGCCACTGAAGAAAGGGTTGGGGTCAAACGTCTGTTTACGTGAATTGTAATATGTTGCTTTGTTAATGAGATCTGGCAGTTTTTCTATGGGACTGGTCCAGTCCCAGTAGGGCACAGCTACAGACGATCCTCGGCTCAGAAGTGCCTCCTCGACCTGTGAGAGAGAAAGTCAAGGTCAGACTAGCCACTTCCTGCATAGCAGACATGACAGCCAAGTCAGAATACAAAATTTATTCTATGCCTTACAGCAAGGCACAATTGACTTAATGAGGGGGGGGGTGGGGGGGGGGGGGGGGGAACAAACCCACCACTCCTTATTAAGCTTGTCCTAAAAGACCACTAGTTACAATTTGTTTTTAATTAATTGGGGGGTGGGAGGGGGGTGGGGGAACAAACCCACTACTCCTTATTAAGATTGTCATAAAAGGCCACTAGTTACAATTTGTTTTTAACTAATTGGGGGGGGGGGGGGGGGGGGGTGGGGGAACAAACCCACTACTCCTTATTAAGCTTGTCATAAAAGGCCACTAGTTACAATAAATTGGGGAAGGGGGGGGGGGGCAAACCCACTACTCCTTATTAAGCTTGTCATAAAAGGCCACTAGTTACAATTTGTTTTTAACTAATTGGGGTGGGGGGGGGGAGGTGGGGGAACAAACCCACTACTACTCATTAAGCTTGTCATAAAAGGCCACTAGTTACAATTTGTTTTTGTTTTTTAAATTAATGAGAGCATCTCTGTGGTGGTCAAGCAGTTTGCCTTGCGCTCTGAAGATTGTGGGTCTATTTCCCTGCTGCGCTGTTCATCTCGTAAGTGCAATTTTGACAGAGATTCCTAAGGATCAGCACCAGTGCTATAGAGTTCGTGCTTTGTGCTATGCTCTCAGCAGATAGTTAGCCATTCTGTGAAGATAGATCGAGCCATATGGGATCAATCTTGTTGCAATGAAGTCAATCTTCTCGACTTTAACTGAAAAATGATGTTGGGTCAAAGGGAGTAGATGTTACAGCTTGGCTGAACTCACAACACAATGTGCCAACAGCCACTGTAATGAGAAATCCAGAAGAATAGGTGTAAACAGTGAGTGATCGGTGTAGCTGGGCACAAGCAGATAGTCTCACATGAATGTTGTACAAGCGAAGAGAGAGAGATAGGTATTGATCAGCAAAATCATATGTCTGCTTTTGTAGAGAAGAGAGTCTCACATGGATAAATGGTGAGAGATCTGTAGGCTAAGCATATCCTGTGTCTACTATTTTCAGGCAGACAGCCAGCAGGCATTCATGATAGCAACTGATCTGCAGGCATTCCTCCTAACAACTGGGCTGCTATAGTTACCAGTTCATGGCTATTACTTAACATAAACCACACCATATGGCTACAAACATCAATCAATCATTTTTCACAAAAACAGTTGTCAGTGACAACAGCAGTAAATCACAGCAACAGTCAATGACAACAATAGTAAATCCTATCAACAGTCAGTAGCAACAACTGGAAACCATGAGAACAGATTTAAATGACAACAGGAAACAACAACAACAGATGTCAGTTACAATATCTGCCAGTGGCAATAGCTGTAAATCACAACAAGAAATGTCAGTGAAAACAGCAGGAAACCACAACAACAGTTGTCAGTTACAACACTATCTGCCGGTGACAACAACAAGAAATCACAATAACAGATGTCAATGACAACAGCAGGAAATCACAACACCAGTTAGTGATAACAGCAGGAAATCACAACACCAGTTAGTGATAAAAACAGGAAATCACAACACCAGTTAGTGATAACAACAGGAAATCACAACACCAGTTAGTGATAACAACAGGAAATCACAACACCAGTTAGTGATAACAACAGGAAATCACAACACCAGTTAGTGATAACAGGAGGAAATCACAACACCAGTTAGTGATAAAAACAGGAAATCACAACACCAGTTAGTGATAACAGCAGGAAATCACAACACCAGTTAGTGATAACAACAGGAAATCACAACAACAGCCATTAAAAACAACAGTATGTGACAGCACCAAAAACTAGTCACAACAAGATGCACTGCTTACCCTCTCCACATACAGCCTGTGCCATGAGGGGAAGGTGGGCATACCATGGACGCAGCAGGCAACCGTGCGACCTTCAAACTCACATAAGCCAGGTTTACCATGATATGAGGCAATATTTTCATAAGTATGGTCCTGTTGAATTGCCAAGAAAGCTGAGCGCAAACTCTCTACCTCTCCAGCACTCAGAGTGTCAAGGTTGCGACGAACCTGGGAGCCATATGTGATTGATTCCTTGTATTCTTGCCCGTATAGGTGATCTGAAATTATGGTTGAATCTGGTGATTTAGACTGAAGACTGGTGTGATTTATGTGGGAGTAAATGCACTGTCTAGCTAGCTCTTTGACAGCTCTAAAGTGTTCTTTGGAGGTCAGCGCACTGTTCAACTAGCTCTTTGACTGCTCTAGAATGTTCTTTAGAAGTCAGTGCACTGTCCAACTAGCTCTTTGACTGCCTTAATGTGTTCTATGGAAGTCAATGCACTGTCTAACAAGCTCTTTGACTGCCTAAAGTATTCTGTTAAAGTCAATATGATTATTTTCTCTACTTGCCAAATACATTTTAGACATAATATTATACATATTTATCATGGGCAACTTGTGAAGTCTCAGAATGTTGACACTGGGAATTTAATTATTACTTTATGCATCTAATGAGATCCAGTGAATTATGCAAGGTAATAAATTGCACAACTTATTGTTTGTTTTCTTTGTAGAAACACAGACTTCCCTCCCAATCTCAAAGTGACAGGCAAGTTTGCCATCCACTAGTTCCCAACAGATAAAGTAAAACATCGTTAACACAAACTCACTCTATTCTTTCAGTCCCAGAAGACCATAGCTGGTGCCTGATTTAAGCAATAAGGATGACAACAAAAGCACAGGGTATACTTTATCAAGAGGGTACAAATACACAGCACATTGTGGGTGACTTGTAACAGCACGTTGTGGGTGACTTGTAACAGCACATTGTGGGTGACTTGTATTGTTGGATTGATTTAATTTGCCTGTCTGAAGTAATGCTGTGCAAACATACAAAAATATGTGGATGGGTTAAAGGTTAAAGTTGAGAGCATTATCTGCACTGCATTATATGGCTCAGCCTCTCTCTGCAAAATGGCTAGCCACCTGCCAAGAGCGTCACACAGAGATTGAACTCTATAGCTCTGATGATGATCCTCAGTGATCTCTGTAAAAACTGCACTTGTGAAATGAACGGCACAGCAGTGAAATGTACCCGTGACCTTCACAGCGTGAAGCAAATGGCTTGACCACTTCGCCAGGGAGGTGCACAGGGGTAATATCTATGAGATATGGTGATTTGTTTGGAACTGAAGGAGTTAAGATGAACTCAGTTAACATGAACACCTATGGTATTCCTGACAGATGAAAGAGCAGTAGGTACTTCAGGCACTTGAATCTGGAAAATTACCTGGTACATGGAAACTACTCTCCAAACTAGGCAACCTGTGTAAGGTAGCTATGCTATGGATACCATCCCACTGGGGAGTTCCCGAAAATGAGAGAGCTGATAAACTAGCTAAGGAAGATGTACATGAAGAACAACCTGATGTAGCAGTCTCTTATTAACAGAAGAAGTGAATACTATATGATAAAGCAGATGTGGTGAATGCTCTATGGTATCAAATAAACAGTGCAAAAATAAAAAATTACAGATAGGGAATCCATACACTGAAAGACTAATTCTATGGGAGACTTTCAGTCAGGTTGCAACTGTACTGTCAACATGTTAACTCTTCTTTGATTACTGAAGAATGGGACAGAGCACATGTGGGAATGTCCCAAGTGCAGGGATGTCATTTCTTGATTCATTCATCCATTCAAATTGTTCAATGAATAAATCTAAAATCTACTTGCTGGTCTGAAGAGAATCTAAATGCATTTAGAGCAGATATTGCTGCTAATCTTAAAGTGACAGACATGTCTTTCAGCATACTCACTAGTTCCCAACTGATGGATGACAGTTGGAGTTGGGAAGAGCTGGCCAAGATCATTTCCACTGAGGTCATGAATTTCATATCTGATGTAGTAACGGTCATTGTATCGGAGGTTCAGCTTTGCCAGTTTGTCTGTGATCTCATATTTGTAAAGACGATCGTAAGTCCAGGGCATCTCATGTGGGTCACCCAGGATGTAAAATTCACCAGCTCGATTGTTGCAGTCATCAGAATTCCTGACGGAAAGAAATGAATTAAAGCTGAAAAAAATAATAAATGCAGTGATCAAATGTTAGTGCTTGTGTGCCACTGAACTTGTGTAATCCAGAGTGAGAAGCAACAAAAACATTCATAATCTGTTTAAATTACCATTGATCATTGGCATCATGAGAGCTAATAGGTTGAAATGGCTGGGGCATGTTAAGAGAATGTTAAATGACGGAGAGGTAAAAACTGTATACACAAGGGAGATGAATGGTCACAGAACATAAGGCAGACAAAGAAAATGATGGAGAGATAATGTCCAGAGAGACCTGCAAACACTTGGTGTTACCAACTGGAAAAAGAAGGCCAACCAGAGAGATGAGTGGAGGCGGATGATATCTGCAGCAATGAACCTCAAGGTCTCGGAATGCTGAAGAAGAAGAAGAAGAAGAATCCAGTTTCTGCTGTTATTTTTAAAGTAGAATGAAGAAGAATCCAGTGTCTGCTGTTATTTTTAAAGTAGAATATTATCTGTCATTATATCAGGGCTTGTAAATCTCCTACAAAAAAACAAGACAAAAAAAGGATGAAACAGAATATTTTTGATGTAACTACTGATACTACCTATACTACCAATACCACCACTATTTCTACAACTATTGTAACCACTAATATTACTACAACTACCACTATCAAGAAGTCTAACACGCTAAGGAAGTGAGATGCCCATTTGCACAGGAAACTGGAGTATCAGGTCTGCAGACTGCTTCATGGAGATCCCTAAAGGGCAGAGCCTTATAATGAGTTGAAGGGAAGATATATGGATGTGAGGCTAAGCATTCATGTCATGATGTGAGTCTAGTACCAGAGCACCATAGGTCAACTCTGTCTTTATGGAAGCCTCCTTGAATGCTGAGGAATGCCCATGCTCTGCCCCTGCCTGCTCTTGAGGGTTGACCAGTCTGCACATGGATACTCTGGATGGGTCTCCCAGTAGGTAGGTAGTTGTATCCCACCAGGACATGCCACAAGCGATAAACACCCAGTGACACAAAGTGCCACCATGCGGATGAGGATTACCCGTGGAATGGTCCCAAAAATCTATGGCTAGGCCATATTTATGCCCCAGCTATATTCAGGGCCCACGGCAGAAGCCAGGGTGGGGCTTCAAAAAACAATAAATTGCATCCCACATTGAAGACTTGTTGAAGATGTGTCTCCTAGTGACAGCACCTGTGGATTAGGGGATGACAAAGTCACAGCTCATATGTGACTACATGTGTTCAATGAAACCAACTGGGAAGGCTAACCCAGAGACAAACAGGCACAGTGCATTTAACTCACTCTGATGAATGATGAAGAAGAAGAATCACTACAATCAATGTACCTGCAAATAAAGAAGTGGACTAATGCTGACTGTCTGATTCCATGAAGCAAGAATCCAGCAAAAACTCGGTTTTCTCCCTTGTTCTGTTCAAGGACACGTGCAAGCTGGGAAATTCCAAGGCCGTTGAACTCAAGGTTGTCATAATCGTAGTGGAAGTTCTCCCGGTAGTTGAAAACCTGCAGTCAAAAGCCAGACACTTGAAATGGCTAGCAACTATCTTGTCAAGAACATTGGTTAAAATATACATGTTTTAGTAAAAAAATGAGCTTTGACCTATGTTGGTAACATGAACAACACTGATCATAACATGAACAACACTGATCACTGACATGAACAACACTGATCACTGACATGAACTACAACACTGACCACTGAATTAAACAACACTGACTACTGACATGAACAACAACACCGACTGCTGACATGAACAACAACACTGAATACTAGCATGAACAACAACACTGACTACTGACATGAAATTTAACACTGACCACTGACATGAACAACAACACTGACCACTAACATGAGCAATACGGACCACTAACATGAACAACACTGGTAACTGACATTAACAAAAAGAACTACTGGCATTCACTATACTGACCACCAACATGAACTATTCTGATCACTGAATGAATAACACTGACATGAACAACAGTCACCACCCACATAAACAACACTAACCACAAACATGAACAACAGTCACCACTGACATAAACAATATTGACCACTGACATGAACAACATTGACCACTGACATAAACAACATTGACCACTGACATAAACAACATTGACCACTGACATAAACAACACCTACCACTGACATGAGCGTCATCGACCACGAACATAAACAACACTGACCACTGACATGAACAACACTGACCACTGACATGAACAATGGTCACCAGTGACATAAACAGCATTGACCACTGACATGAACAACAGTCACCACTGACATAAACAACATTGACCACTGACATGAACAACATTGACCACTGACATGAGCAGTACTGACCACTGGCATGAACAATACTGGTAACTGACATTAAAAAAAACAACTACTAACATAAACTATACTGACCACTGAATTTACAAGACTGACCACTGACATGAACAAAAGTCACCAGGGACATAAACAACACCTACCACTGACATGAGCATCATCAACCACTGACATAAACAACACTAACTAGTAACAAGAATGTTTATATTTTACCTGGAATGGAGCTGAGTGTTCCCGTGTCACAGGGTCAGGATTCACATCTGAGGTCAGTCCAAATGGTGACAGAGGTTTCCGAAGTTGACCGAGGGCACAGTTGGCAGTGTTGTATGGTTTACCCCGATATTTTTGTAACGCCTGGGATATGAGACAAAGATATGCCATAGTTTACACTTGAACTGAACAGTTGTACCAGACAATATAAACAAGAAGAAGGGAGGATTACATGTTTTCTTCTACTGTTCTTGCTTCTTCTTCTGTTCTTGCTTCTTCTTCTGTTCTTGCTTCTTCTTCTGTTCTTGCTTCTTCTTCTGTTCTTGCTTCTTCTTCTGTTCTTGCTTCTTCTTCTGTTCTTGCTTCTTCTTCTGTTCTTGCTTCTTCTTCTCTTGTCCTACTGCTTATGCCATAAAGCATTGCAGAGAGTTGTATGTAGTGTTCTGTCTTTTGGTAGTTACATAGCTTGCGTTAATTGATGTCACACTGCAGTTCTGCAGTGTCTCGTTTATTCCCTCCATCCGTGTCTTTCTTGGTCTGTGTCTTCCATTGCAGCCTCCTGTTTACATGCAGTAGGGTCTAATCGCTCACTGATTTTGTTCCATTCTGACCCAATTTCCAAACCATTTGATTTTGTTGTTGATGTTCTATGAGATCATTAACCAGTACTGTGCCTACTATTGTTCTTAACTCTTCATTGATGATTCTGTCTCTTCATGTTTTTATCCACCACATTTCTTATGCATCCCATCTGACATGTTGTAATTTTGAGTTTATGTTTTTCTACGACTGTCTAAGTCTGGCATTGATAGCATAAAGATGGTATGAATAGTGGATCACCTATGACAGCATCAAAGCAAAACACGTAATAATCTTCTTTTCTTCCACCTTGTATCTCAGCAAAGTGTCAGGAGGAGATGTAACTTTTGTTGATGAGCTCTGTCTAGAGCACTATTAAGACTGATGTTCATTTCTGTAAGACTGTTCTTAATGCCATCGCTCCATATTTTCTGAGGTCTTCCACTCGATCTATACCCGTTCTAACATTTTAGCATGGCTCGCTGAGGCAGATAGTACCAGGGCATTCTTGTTAGGTGTCCAAATCACTTAAGCCTAATACTGTAACATTATATTTCTCTATTAATTCTATATCTTGTTCTGCTTTATTGCACCATCCACATACATTATTTGTCCCCATCCTGGTCTTAACTTTCTGCTGGCCTCTATTTTCCCTATTTCTAAAATATTTCCTATTTTCATTTCTTTTTGAATCGCTGAATCCTCCGCCAACTATCCGGGCCTGACAGGAATTCATCTTCAACTGAACACCTACACTAAGCTAAACATGTAATAAAACATGTAAGTAACATGGAAAAACACACATCACAGTAGTGTGGAATATGTCATCATCATCATCAGGTGCCTTGCCGACTGGCGTGGGCGATCATGCCTCTCCATAATCTGCGATCTCTTGCAGCATGTATCACTTCGTGTGCCGACACACTTCCATGCCATGCAACAAGACTGTCAAGCATCTTCTCTCGTTGTCTACCTCTATCTCTCCTTCCACATATCTTTCCAGTGGTCACAACATGTTCTATTTTCCCTCTTCTCATAACATGGCCGAAAAATGATGACTGTCTCCTTCTGATGTCTGTGATAAGTTGTCTTTGGGCTCCAGCCTCTTTCAAAACCTCTTGGTTGCTGTGGAATATGTACACACTGCATTAGCAAGGCATATATACTGGAATGTTTAAAAGAAAAACAAGGACTCACCTGCCAGAGGGCCCAGATTCTGTCAGTGTTGGAATGATGAAGATAAAACAGAGGATCAAATGCTGTGTACACCAGAGAAGCCATTGAGTAGGTTTCACCACTGCCCACCAGAGCATGAATGAAGTTGTGGGCGATCTCAAACTGAACCTCAAAATCACAGAAGTCATCCTGCTCTAGTGCCAGAAGTACCTACAAATAAGAGAACAAAAGGTATTCATTAGAAAATGTTTTGCATGGTATTTCCAGCTCTAAATCTGGTGACATCTATACTAGAATGGAACCTTCAACTCTACAGTCGTATGATATGTAACAATCAAGCATGGAATCTTCAGCTCTGCAGACTGGTGGTAGGCAATCTAGCAGGGAAGGTTCATCTCTGCTAGCTGGTGATAGATGATCTAGCTTGGAATCTTCAGCTCTGTAACCTGGTTTAATGTTTCTGTGGTAGCTATCTATTAGAGTTACAGGTCATAAGTCAGCTGTAACTGCCAATAGTTACGTGAATTACTATCAATAGTTATGCGAAGAAATTTGCAGTTGTAACTTCTTTCTGTAGAAACATAAATAGTGGATGCAGCACAAATGCATGGTTGTAGCAACAAATTGTTTGTATTCCTCTGCACTTATACAACATTTGAAGTAAAAGATATGGCAAACATTTATTTGCCACAAATCTGAGGTTCACAAGAACCAGTATACACTTGTGAATTACCTGTTTTGCAATATCTGTATATTCTCCGAATGCAGGTTGTTGGAACAGTTCATCTCTTACTGCTCTGACTGTATTATTGTTGACATCATCAATGTGGGCACTGTGTGGGCACAATTATTAGATACATGATTATGACTTTTTAATAACTATAAGATCCCATTGTTATGATAATCTACATATGGCATGCACTGATAAATACAAAACACAGAAATACTGTAAAGTAAAAGGCCCTCAACACTATTGGACACGTTGAGCTAGACCTATATTTTAAAGACCAACTGGCACTTAAGGCATTGCAGGTCTACTCAGTCTAAAATGGGTACCATGATGTATGTCCTTGAGGAGTAAAGATGGCAGGCACAATGCTGACCACATTACCCACCTAGTGCCGATTGGTTTTTAAAACTATGGGTGCTCTTTCCATATGTCTGATGCACCTAACGGCGTGAATCAGGATCTTTACTTTGTGTAGAATTGGCACTTGAGGGGTGATAGGGTTAACATCATGCCAGCTGCCTTTACTTCCCATGACTTTATCTGGCACCTATTTAAGGTTGGCTCCACCTGGGAGCTTCAGCCAGTTTTGAAAAATGTCTGCTCCATTAGGACTTGATACCCTCCATGCCTCCCAAACCCACCTTCGGTTCACAGGTGAGCATCTGGCTGCTACACCACGGTGGCTACAGAAATATAGTAGCTAAATTACATTGACCAGCTGATTGTCTGCTACATTTCATTGATAAGTATGTGAGTTTAGTGTAAAATGTCCGATCTAAAATGGAGGACTAGGTATGGCAGAATGTTAAGTTTTAAAGTTATTTTTGCTTTGGACAACAGTTTGCTAATGCAGTTCTCACATTTGGACCAGCAGTCTGAGGTTTCACTACCAGAACTACTGAGTTTAGTGGTTGGTGCAGCCCTGTGAGTTGTGTTTATCCTGTGGAATGCCTTTGTGCAGCTGTTGTGTGTGTGGTATTCAATATGGCTGGTAGCCGGTTTACGTGCAGGCTGGTGAAATACCTTATGTAATAATTTGACAAGTGTATAGTGAACTTATCGTGCCTGGCTCGTTACATCAATGGCAAACTGCATTTCTGGTCCTGACTGTTGGCTTTGGCACCTCTAACAACTGCCATATGCATTTAATATGCGTCCATTTTTCTGGATTGTACTGGGATTAATTGTTTGTTCACCAGTATTTCAAATGGGATGGTGAGGGACATTTGATCCGATTTTCGCTGGCACAGGAACAGATCAAGTATGGGGTGATCTGATTACAGTGAAGCTGAAACCTCGACTAAGACTAAGACAAATAGATAAGTATGTATTACCTAATAACAGTAGCTTAGTAAACTAATATAAATTATACATCACAGACAAAGAAAAGCCAGACACGAATAAAGAAAAGTTAAAAGTAGCTAAACATTGCATGGCATTAATATATTATTACTTTTAAACAAATAATGTATTCATCATTTACAATCTGTGAGTTCAGTGTCTCAGTCCAGTCTGTGAGTTCAGTGTCTCAGTTCAGTCTGTGAGTTCAGTGTCTCAGTTCACAGTCTGAGTTTAGTGCCTCAATTCACAGACTGTGAGTTTAGAGCTTCAGTTCACAGTCTGTGAGTTTAGTGCCTCAATTCACAGACTGTGAGTTTAGAGCTTCAGTTCACAGTCTGTGAGTTTAGTGCCTCAGTTCACAGTCTGTGAGTTCAGGGCCTCAATTCACAGTCTGTGAGTTCAGTGTCTCAGTTCACAGTCTGTGAGTTCAGGGCCTCAATTCACAGTCTGTGAGTTTAGTGCCTCAGTTCACAGCCTGTGAGTTCAGGGCCTCAATTCACAGTCTGTGAGTTCAGTGTCTCAGTGTAAAACTTACTCAAAGAATGGATTATGGGTCTCCTTGCCATTGCTGGGGTCCACATATGTCTCAGAGGTCACAATGGCTGGCAGGGAGGTCATTGACTGAGTCCAGTCCCAATATGGAAGGGCACCAGTGTAACCATGGCTACGCAAAGCATTTTCGGCCTGAACAGTCAGCAACCTGTAACAACCACAATTTTTCAAATTGTTTAACTAAGCGACAGGTGTATAGTTAAATCTTTCAGTCCAACAAAGCATCATGTGGAATCAGCTACTGCTGATGTGTCCCAAACAATGCACAATGTGATCTGTTTTTGTGATAAATTTTTCATCTGTTATGTTAAAATTCAGTATAGTATGTTTTGTGTTCTAAGTTGAAAGTAATGCATATAAGCTTTATTCCATGTGCCTAAGTAGTCATTCAGCATCTCCTATGAGATCTTATTGGACTGAAAGATTTAGGTGATTGATTTAAAATATTGCGTTTGATTAACTGACTGATTTTTGATAAGCTGACTGGTTACACTAACATACACTCTTTCCTGACGGTTTCCATCTGGCACAAAATTGCCTATAATATAGAACAGTGACTGGGACAAGACGATTACTAGGCCCACAAAAAGTATCTTTACAGACTTTTACTTTGAAGGTTTCTATTGATGTTTATCTCAGATTAACATCATCAAGCATGCAGCTACAGGTGCCATTTTTCTACCCGAATTCTACTGATCTTTCTTACTTCTAGGAGTCTGTGGATCCTCTCCAGCTAAATGAATTCAACTAATTATCCTGAGTTCTGCAAGTCTACTAAGATTCTACCAAATGAAGGTAATTATACCAAACTACCTGCATCATAACTATCTACCTGGTTTCTACAAATTAAATTGTATTCTAAAATTCACTTTAGTTCTAAGAGTCCAGCTTGGCTGAATTTGCTAACATTGCAGATTTACAGAGTACAACAATGAACTCTGTGGATTACAGAATACAAAAATGGATGACCCTGCAAGTTACAGCATACAGGAATGGATGACTCCTGATGGTTATAGAGTACAATAGCTGATGACTTAGGCAGGTTACAAAATACAACAATGGATGACTCCTGCAAGTTACAGAATACAACAAGTGATGACTCCTGCAGGTTACAACATATATTAATGGATGACTCCTGCAAGTTACAGAGTACAACAATTGATAACTCCTGCAGGTTATAACATACAACAATGGATGACTCCTGCCAGTTACAGAATACAACAATTGATAACTCCTGCAGGTTATAACATACAACAATGGATGACTCCTGCCAGTTACAGAATACAACTGATGACCTCTGCAGGTTATAACATACATCATGGATGACTCCTGCAAGTTACAGAGTACAACAACTAATAACTCCTGCAGGTTATAACATATAACAATGGATGACTCCTGCAGGTTATAGAGTACAACAACTGATGACGTCTGCAGGTTAAAACATATAACAATGGATTACTCCTGCAAGTTACAGAGTACAACAACTAATAACTCCTGCAGGTTACAACATATAACAATGGATGACTCCAGCAGGTTATAGAGTACAACAGTTGATGACTTCTGCAGGTTACAGAAAAAAAAAACTCGTCACTCGTGTAGGTTGAGAAATGGGAAAGAAGAGAAAAGGTTATATGACAAATGACATATTTACCTGTGCCAGTGGGGGAATGTGGGCATACCATGGAGACAGCAGGCAAACTTGGTCTCAGCTGAGGGGCTGGGGCACCACTTGGGAGTTCCATGGAAGCGACCTAGATCTTGGTAGCCTCCAGCAGACTTGTCCTCTTCTAAACTGGTCAGAGCATGGCGAAGTTCAAGAACTTCTGCTTCAGTGAGGAAGTTGACATTCTTACGTACATGTAGGTCGACCTCACTCACGTCTTGGGGTTCTAGTGGTAGTATCGTGTCCCGTTATTGCATTTGAAATTGTTTTATAAAAATTATAGCTGTATGTGTGCACATGCATGTACACACACATACACACACATATAAAAGTATATCACATATAAATACACATACATTAAATGAGAACTCACAACAAGACAAGCATACACACACATGTGCACTTGTGTTTACGTAGTGACTCTTACATACATTTTTAAAAAAAGAATTATCACACACATATACATATCACAATAATACTGATGTGTCACAAACAATGCATGATGTGATCTGTTCTTGTGATAAACTTGTAACCCGTTATGTTAAAATTCAACATAGTATGTTATGTGTTATATGTTATATGCTGTTCCCATGAAAGTAATGCATGCATGTTTTTTTTTCCTTGTGGCTAGGTAGTCATTCAGCACCTCCTATGAGATCTTATGGGATTGGAAGAGTTAACTGATTGAATTCTCAAATACGGTTAGTTGTGTATCCTTTACAGCACATTACAGAACCAACCCCCTGGCTGTTGTGTGGTTTTTCTAGGCAAATTTACTTCCAGTAGTTTGCCATTGCTTTCTGGATGGTCAACTTTCTTGAGACCACTGTCAATACCAACGCAAGGTGCATGGACCACAGCTGGGGTCGAACTCGGCATCCCGGCATTACGAAGCGTTCGTATCGACTTAGCCACAGAGCAAATTTTAAAATACTGTTTGATTATTAACCGATTGATTTTTTGAATAACTGATTGGTTTCAATAACATACTCTTTCCTGATGGTATCCCTCTGGCACAGATTGTCTACGTAATACAGAGCAGTGACTGGGACAGGAAAATTATTAGGCTCATACAAACAATACCTGTATAGACTTTTACTTTGAAGGCATTCATATCTAAGTAGTTAACATTTGTTGCCTTCCCTTGACAGGGGTTTCCAAACCAACCTAGCACTGACACTTACTGGCTTTGTTATGTTTATTATGTTTTACTAGACTGCCAAATTCTTTCTCGAAAACTGAAATATTTCAAGCGCCATGACGGATTTGAAAAAATTATAGCAGAAGGCATGGTACCAGGAAGGAGGGGCAGGGGCCGACCGACACAAAGATGGGCACAGGATATAAGTGACTCCTTGAGTGTGAAAGTGCATGAGGCGGGAGAACTGGTGACAGACTGAGTTTCTTTCAGGCAGACTGTGATGAGAGCGACGTTCTGCAAAGGACCTGCTACATGATGATGATGATGAGACTGCCAAAACTGCCATTACTGCTTATATTTACCACCTTTTGTGATTTTATATATATTATAAACAGACAATGTATTGATTGGCACTTATAGAAAGAAGTAGCAAGATAGAAGGAGATACTAGACAACATAAAAATTGGAAGCTATAATTACTGTGCTGAAAATTGAAGCTGTCACCTCCAAATGGCGTGTGCGCCTCACTATGTAAAAAAGCGTACTAAGAACATGACAACAAGGCACTCTAAAATAAGGGTGTCTTTATTTGCAATCTCTATCATACAGCTTGAAATACACAACTATGGAATACGGACAGAATTCACCTCAAACTGTTGTGATGTAGGCAGGGTTAACTGGACAATCTTACCTTATGTTGTCGCTGTACTACAGACTTGCATACCACAGTCACCCCACCACCCCTCCCTCCCCAGACACACGTACACACATAAACAAATGACGACCTAACTGCAGCAGTGGATTTAGAGGAACAGTCACACATTTATACACAGAATACCCCTCAATGTATTATTATGCAATGTATAGTCCAGCAGTAAATTCTGGCTGTTTGTCCATTTGTGGACTTTTTTCCTGTTCCAGTAACTGAGTGTTGCGTGCATATTCATTTCACAGGTGTGACTCATTTTTTTTTGAAGACAGTTGGTTCCTTGCCTCTCAGGCAGATGTACTCTGACTACGAAGGAAGCTACAACTCTTACGACATGCTTTTGGATAAGCAGTTAGGCTATTTTTGTTTTCCCCACAATGGGGCACCGCAACCCATGTGGGGATGGAATTTAGTATTTGATTTAGCATTTTCTTCAGAAATTTATGAGAATTGTTGCTATTTTCAGTCTATTATTGATTTTTATAAAGAAAATAAATCTTTCAGGCAAAAAATATGCAATAGTAGAATACCAAATAAATAACTGTTCAGTTCTCAGGAACAGCTATAATTGAGATATATAGTTTTCATAATTCCGTTTTTTTTAAAATCTTTGTGTTTGCTATTTTATTTATCTTAAAACCATTTATTTAATTCTTTTATGTAATTTGTATAATTTTTATTTGTAATATGATGTATTCACACATCCGAGGTAATGATTATTATAGATTTTTATAACTAACATTTCAATACTATTAATTAACTTATGCTTTAAATTAGTATTATTATTGAATTAATTTTCTTTCAAAGAGCAACATATAACTTATTATTTTTTAAATTAATTTTTCTTTCCAAGAGAAGTTTATTATTTTTTCTAATTATTAAACAAATTTTCTCTAAACAAGGAACCTATCATGCCAGGGATGGTACACACAATGGATGTAGAGTGAGCTAACTCTTGTAAACAAGAAACAAAAAAGATGAAAACTCACGTTCGGCTGCCCTGTGGATGATGCTGATCTTTGGAAACAGGCTGATGTCAATCGGGGTGTCATCAAACTCATGCATCTCTATGGTGACATCATAGGCATCATTGTAGTGAAGACCCAGGGCTTCCAGGGCATGGCTGATGTCGTGTCTGAAGTACACAGTCCCACATGAGAATACTTCTTGAGTTTAGACAGTACACGAGCTCATTCAACATAAGTAGTAGCATTGATACAGATGATATCCTGTTATACCCTTAGGGTTATACTTGGGATAGATGTAATGTTCTAAAACTATTGTGAGATGTGTGTCTGTGTGTGTGTGTGTGTGTGTGTGTGTGTGTGTGTGTGTGTGTATATATATATATATATATATATATATATATATATATATATATATATATATATATATATATATATATATATATATATATATATATATATATATACATAAAATTATTGTATTTTTAATGTATATTTTTTTATTACATTTAGTATATAGTATTATTTATGCACTCACCACAAAGTATCTATTGCAGTAGTGCTGAAAATAGGATACCTTAAAAACAGTGTGCTGGTAACTGTATACTGTTGCATACCAGACAAAAGTCCTACACATACATACATACATACATACCTATGTATATATCTCTCTTTTCCTTTACTTTAGGTGCAATGGGCATATAGTGCTTACCAAAATTTTTAGACAAAATGGCATTCTGTGGCTGATTTTGTCAGTGTCACACCAGCCACTTTTACTTCCCAGGACTCAGCCTAGTACCCATTTAAGGCTGGGTTGACTTGGTAGCCAAGGTCAGTTTTTGTAAAATCAGTTTCCAGGTCAAATTTAAATCTATGCCTTTTGGATTCATAGTTGAGTATCTAGCCACTATACAGTGGTAGGAAATAAGTAGGCAGATAGTCTGGCTGGTTCTGCACCCCTTGGTGAATTGATGTATGACAAGCTGGATGTTATAAGGGCCCTTTGGGAGTGAGAGAACAGTGCGAAAGCACAAACAGATCATTATGTCTGAGGAGAGCAGAGCTGCAGGAAGTTACCAGGGGATCTGACACTCAACACCAAAATCTAAGGAGAGGATACTGTTTAAGAGCCAGTTCTGCTTGATGTTTAGGTCATGCAGGATGTTGACAATGTGTTCTTCTTGGTTCATGGTATTCTAAGGATCTTTCTGTAGCAGTTCAGTTCAAAATCTTCAGTAAAAGGGGGAATAACAGACCCACTGCCCCTTGATGAGCATGTCATAAACAGCAACTGATTAGGGATATCTCCCTCAACGTGGAACTGCATCTGCCTAACAGGGTGAGGAACCAACAGTGTGCATACAAAATAATTCTTTAAAACAGATGTGTGCACAAAACTCAAGTTCTGCAGCAAGACCAAAATCCAGAAGTGGACAAACAACCAGAGAGATCTACTGAAGTTTACAGCTAGTGAATACTAAAAAAGAAGAAGACCAATACTGATCCCTTAATAGTTGTATGCAGATATTGGAAAACAGTTGATGACTTTCTAAAATGTTGTTGATTTTGTAGTGATGTGAACAGTGAGCAGTTTGAGGTAATTAGGTGACTCTGGAATTGTTATGTTATGATGTATATTTGAGTGCACCCTCACACACTGTGAGATACCTGTACACAGAGAGTGATGTGTTACCTGTAAATACATTGAAATACCACACACACATGCACACACACACACACACGTGCATGCACACCAACATGGGCATGCACACACATGCACACACACGTGCATGCACACCAACATGGGCATGCACACACATGCACTCACACACTTGTACATAAACACACAGTACTGCACACATTACCTGTAAACACGATCAAAGCCCCATGGCATCTCAGATGGTCCACCAAGTAGAGCAAACACACCAGCAGTGTAGTTTTGTTTTCCCAGGGCTGTCACATAAATGGTTGCCAAACCTGGTGAGGAAACCATACACAGATGTGTGGTGAGGGAGCCAAGTATGGATGTGGGGTGTGGAAGCCAAGCATAGATGTGTGGTGTGGGAGCCAAGCATAAATGTGTGGTGTGGGAACCAAACATAGATGTGTGGTGTGGGAGCCAAGCATAGATGTGTGGTGAGGGGTTCAAGCATAGATGTGTTTTGAGGGAGCCAAGCATAGATTGTTGTGAGGGAGCCAAACATGGATTGTACTGAGGGAACCAAGCATAAATGTGTGGTGATGGAGCTAAGCATAGATGTGTGGTGAGAAAGCCAAGCATAGATGTGTAGTGAAGGAGCCAAGCATAGATATGTGGTGTGAGAGCTAAGCATAGATGTGTGGTAAGAGAGCCGAGCATAGAGTGTGGTGTGGGAGCCGAGCATAGATGTATGGTGAGAAAGCCAAGAATAGATTTGGCGTGAAGGAGCCAAGAATAGCATAAATTGTAGTGAGAGATCCAAGCATAAATTTGTGGTAAGAGAGCCAAACCATAGATGTTTTGTGAGGAAAGAAAAACTGAAAGATGAAGAAAAATCTGTGGATATCAAAGGCACAAGATACTATCAGACACTATAACATTGAAAGACATAGACAAGTGTGTGGATATCACAGGCAGAAGATATTATCACACAAAACTGAAAGATAAAAATAATGTGTGGATAAGATAAGATACTGTCACACATTACTACAATCAAGCAAACACACATGGGGCAGGGATGGTTTCAGCCCACAGAAGCATCCTCCATCAATTCATGATAGCAGTGAGTGGTATAATGTTTTTGAGGATGAAAGATCCAACAACTGACAGAATCTACCAGCAGTAATGAAAAATTAGTATACATGGATGGTTTCATGCCTCATAGAGAGAAATCTGTTAAGGATTCTCAGCTGGAGTCCAGAAAAACATCAGTGAGAAAAGCCAGAGAAGGGAGTCACAGAGGAGAGTCAGTGAGGAGAGTCACAGAGGAGAGTCAGTGAGAAAAGCCAGTGAGGGGAGTCACTGAAAAGGGTCAGTGAGGAGAGTCAGAGAGTAGAGGAAGGCGAGTCAGTGAGGAGAGTCACAGAGGAGAGTCAGTGAGAAAAGCCAGTGAGGGGAGTCAGAGAGTAGAGGGAGGTGAGTCAGTAAGGAGAGTCACAGAGGAGAGTCAGTGAGAAAAGCCAGTGAGGGGAGTCACTGAAAAGGGTCAGTGAGGAGAGTCAGAGAGTAGAGGGAGGTGAGTCAGTGAGGAGAGTCACAGAGGAGAGTCAGTGAGAAAAGCCAGTGAGGGGAGTCAGAGAGTAGAGGGAGGTGAGTCAGTGAGGAGAGTCACAGAGGAGAGTCAGTGAGAAAAGCCAGTGAGGGGAGTCACTGAAAAGGGTCAGTGAGGAGAGTCAGAGAGTAGAGGGAGGTGAGTCAGTGAGGAGAGTCAGAGAGTAGAGGGAGGTGAGTCAGTGAGGAGAGTCACAGAGGAGAGTCAGTGAGAAAAGCCAGTGAGGGGAGTCACTGAAAAGGGTCAGTGAGGGGAGTCAGAGAGTAGAGGGAGGTGAGTCAGTGAGGAGAGTCACAGAGGAGAGTCAGTGAGAAAAGCCAGTGAGGGGAGTCACTGAAAAGGGTCAGTGAGGAGAGTCACAGAGGAGAGTCAGTGAGAAAAGCCAGAGAGGGGAGTCACTGAAAAGGGTCAGTGAGGAGAGTCAGAGAGTAGAGGGAGGTGAGTCAGTGAGGAGAGTCACAGAGGAGAGTCAGTGAGAAAAGCCAGTGAGGGGAGTCACTGAAAAGGGTCAGTGAGGAGAGTCAGAGAGTAGTGGGAGGTGAGTCAGCGAGGAGAGTCACAGAGGAGAGTCAGTGAGGAAAGTCAGAGAGGGGACTCAGGAATGACTCTTTCCTCGCTACTGCAGCAACTCATACTAACTACATCCAGCTACTTTATAACACTGCAAGTTTGAAAATGTTCCACAGAAAAAAATGTTCCATGGAAAATGTTGTACAGAAAATGTTCCATGGAAAATCTCCCACACAATATGTTCCACAGAAAATGTTTTATGGAAAATGTTCCATGGATATTGTGCCAGAGATATTATATCATAGAAATAGTACCTGATTTCTGAATTCCATGTAGCTGGATGCCAACAAATGTCCTTGCTTTGCCCCTGAGGTTAGAGTTGATGTAGTTTTCCAGATCTGGGATGCCCATGCCACCATACTCTAGGTTGTCATATGTGTACCCAAGCTCTTTCTCGTATTCATAAACATTAACTGGGGTTGAGTGAGAATATGTCTTCTCGTTGTTGTTGTACGGTGTGTGGAAGGCAAATGGCTTCAGTGGCGTGTGGACATATGATTGAGCACAATGAGCTTTGTAAGGCTTGCCCCTGGACATGATAATGGAGAAGAAAATGTTTACATAATATTCACTACAATCAGTTCAATAAAAGCAGGGGGAAAAAAGGGGGGGGGGGTATGTTGGCATGTATCTTAAATAAAACACATGTGCACATGTGGATTGGCACCTGAGATAACAGATCATGTCCTCCAAGACTGTCCCAAAAACAAAATATCAAGGCAAAACTTTTGGCCAATAGAAACATCGGTGCAAGTCAAACTTTACGGGTCACTGAGTGAATTACAAAAGACAGTGAAGTTCATACTAGAGACAACATTGCAGATATGCGAAAAAAGTTTAGTTGCGTATCCTTTACAGGATGTTGCAGAACCAACCCTAACAGCCCCCGGCTGCTGTGTGGTTTCTCTAGACAAATTTATGTCCAGTAGTTGGCCATTGCTTACTGGACAGTCGGCCCCCCTGATACCACTGTCGAAACCAATGCAAGGCGCATGGCCTGCAGATGGGATCAAACCTGGCACCCCAGCATTACGAAGCATTCGCGTCGACTTAGCCACAGAGCCGACACTGCAGATATAGATAATCTATTTCAAGCGAACGAAAGAAGAAGAAGAAGAAGTTCAATCAAAGCAAGTGGCATAAAACTGGCTTGAATCAGTTTAATAAAAGCCAGGGGGAAAATATGGCATGAACTTGATTGAATCAATTCAGTAAAGTCAAGGAGGACAGATGGCATGAAACTTGCTTTGGGGGGGGGGGGGGGGGGGGGGTTGGCATAAAACTTGCTTGAATCAATTCAATAAAAGCCAGGGGGGAAAGAATGATAGCATGAAACTTGCTGGGGGGGGGGGGGGGGGGGGGGGGGAAATGACATGAACTTGCTTGAATCAATTCAATAAAAGCCAGGGGGAAAGAATGATAGCATGAAACTTGCTGGGGGGGGGGGGGGGGGGGGATGGCATGAACTTGCTTGAATCAATTCAATAAAAGCCAGGGGGAAAGAATGATAGCATGAAACTTGCTGAGGGGATGAACATGAACTTGCTTGAATCAATTCAATAAAAGCCAGGGGGAAAGAATGATGGCATGAAACTTGCTGGGGGGGGGGGGGGGGGGGGGGGGGGAGATGGCATGAACTTGCTTGAATCAATTCAATAAAAGCCAGAGAAGGTGGGAAATGTGGAAGGTTGGCATGAAATTTGGTCGAACGAATTAAATCAAGGAAGACATAAATTTGTATATGCACATCAGTCTCCTAACCTCTGTGGAGTCACCAGGGTTGAGTGGCTAGGCTTTTGCCTCAGATTCTGATGACTGTTGGTTGATTTCATGGACTGTATCCTCTGCTTCACTGACACACTGTGCAATTTTTATTATGTAGATACATGACAGATCATTGCTGGAGCTCTGGAGTTCATGCTTTATGTGACACATTTGACATGTGTTTTTTCAATACTAAGGAGAGATACCAAGCCCTCATGGATAAAATATGGATCACAAATGTTGACATTATTGACTTTTAACCTTTAACCTTCAAAACCGTTAACTGATTCTACGCCAGGGCTTCTGATATATTGTTATTTACCCCTATTAAGTGCTGACTCCATTATCTTTTACTTATTTTTCCTCAAGTCCACGCCATGTGGCGCTGGTAGTCATGTCTACCCACAAACCTCTGTTTCGTGTACTTTCAATCAACTCTGACACAGTCTCACACAGATATTGTGGGGATACTGAAGCATCACTGCACCTGACACAGTCTCACACAGATATTGTGGGAATACTGAAAGATCACTGCACCAGGAACATGTCCTGTCCCTTTTTTTAAGGCCAGCAAACTAAATATTACGGTGCCAGTTGCAGCCTGATTAAAAGTACTCTATCTTCACCCCCCCCCCCCCCCCCCCCCCCCCCCCCATCTGCACATTTAAAAGTATCCAGACCTTCTGCTTACACACAGCTGAACTAATCTTTAAGGTATGAGTACACTATCTGTTCTTTTGCACTACACACATCATCTCCACTTTATCAAAATGTAGCCCAGAGTTGACTAAAGAAGAAGAACTCTCAGATAATGTAAGCAAAGAGAAAACAACCCAACCTGTGCTCTTGCAGTGCTGTCCAGATGGCCCAGATTCTGTCCACATTACTGTGATGGATGTAGAAGATTGGATCAAAGGCACTGTAGGACAGAGAAGACAATCCATACTGGGCCTTTCCACCCACTAGACCGTGGATCAAATTATGGGCGATTTCAAACTGGACCTGTTGAGTGGACAAATACATGGTCATGTTTATATTATTTGTTTCGTTTTATTTCTTCTGAAATGTGTCCTGTCTGGGACTGCTGTCTTAAAGATTGACATACAGTGATTCAAAGACAAATTTTTTTTTTTCGATTTGAATCAAATAGAAACGTATCCCAGACAATCAGTTAAGCTATTTAAAACAATTGTATTGTGTGCTCTATGTGGACTTTGCGAAACCTGGGAAACCCAGACACAAAAATGTCACCAAAACCACGGGACATCTGATTAACCAACATAGAAGGAGTGTGATCAGTCATCTTACTCCTGTGGAGCTATTGAGAAGAAGATCAGATCTATCTGGAGTGCTGTGATGATAGTCCTCTCTTCATTAATCACCATATAGTTTCATGTAAGCTGCTGGCTATGATCTATATTGTGTCAATAAGTCTAAATCTATAATTCTTGCAAATTAGAGGCATATTCAGAGGTAAGAGGCGGACAAGTCTAATCTAAGTTACTTTTGTACAGTTTCTGTTATTTCAGATTTTATAATACAAACACAAGCACAATTCTACCTTCATCCAGACATAGATTCTCTGTGATTCCAGGAGCATGGTCAGAAATATCCACATGGAAAGTCTAATCTAAGTTACTTTTGTACAGTTTCTGTTATTTCAGATTTTATAATACAAACACAAGCACAATTCTACCTTCATCCAGACATAGATTCTCTGTGATTCCAGGAGCATGGTCAGAAATATCCACATGGAAAGGGCTTAATCATACAAACCCAAGTGTTGTTCTACTTTCATCCAGACATAGATTCTCTGTGATTCCAGGAGCATGGTCAGAAATATCCACATGGAATGAGTTTAACAATGCAAACCCAAGTGTTGTTCTACCTTCATCCAGACAGAGATTCTCTGTGATTCCATGAGCATGCTCAGAAATACCCACATGGAAAGGGCTTAATCATACAAACCCAGTGTTATTTTATCTTCATCTAGGCAGAGATTCTCTGTGATTCCATGAGCATACTCAGAAACAATCACAGGGACGAGGCTTCATGATAGTAGTTGAAGTCTCTAATGAAGTCATTATCATCATCACAGACCTTTTGTTCCATTACACACCACATTGGGCTTCCAGTCTATTTTACCATTTTGTTCTATCTGTGCAATCCTCTTGCTGACATTATGAAATCTAGTCTAGCATCTTTGGCTTTTCTCAGCAAGATTCATCTCATGCTTTCTCTAGGTCAGCCTTGTTTCCTTAATCCATTTGTGTCCCATTTCAGTTCCTATGTATCGATTCTTTGCTCATTTCTCCTCATGCTATGTCCAATATATTACAATCTGCTTAACCTTACAACTGTCAATTCCAGTCATTGTCTAGACATTTCTCTGATCTCTTTGCTTTCCATAATTATGCCCATTTAATGATCACAAATTTTCTTAGGCTTTCGTTTTCAAAGGCATTTAGTTTTCAACATTTATAATAACTGCCAATGTTTATTTTCAAAAAAAAATATAAGCATTTTCCTTCTGGTTTTTCTGAGGGTTTTCTTTTAACATTGTACAGTGTGTGTGTGTGAAGATGAAAGAGTGACTTGCGCGGTGACTTGGATTAAAGTGAGGAAGAGTTGCACGATGTCGTCAACCTCACTCTCTCGCTTAAGTCATATCTGGGTCCAGTGGCAAGACAAAGTCAAGACGACTGGAGATATGTCTAGGTGCATTGGATGACCAGGGCATTCTACGTGCCTCGCCATGCTCTATGCGCTCCACAGCAACATCGTACAGTACCCAAACACAGACGTATGTGCCTCCTTGCTGTAATTTCTTTAATTAGTTATTGTTGGATTGGCACAGAATTTCACATCAATTAATTTGTTTTAAATATATATTTAAATAAATATAGTTTAAATTTAAAAAAAACTTTCTGTCTGTATAGATGTATGGCATGACGAGAGAGAATGTGATCTGTCTATATCACTTGAAAGCAGTCATGTTTTTGTGCTTCATTGCATGTTGATGTAAATCTGTAGTAATGCAGCTGTCAAGATACAGCAGCATTTGTCAGACAATACACTGTGTACCCATTATTTCAATATATTAAATCTTTAGTACAGAAGAGCTCACCTCAAAGTCACAGAAGTTGTCTTGTTCAAGAGCCAGAAGGAAGGCATCAAACAGGTCAGTGTGGTCACCCCACTCTGGAGACTGAGTCAGGCTCGGCTGGATGTCACGACTTGTTTCAGCTCCATTGTCCAGAAATCCAATGTGTGCGTGGTGAAAGGGGTTTGTGTGTTCTTGATTGCTGTTCACATTAGAAATCAATGCTATGCGAATGTTGTCACTGATGTAGTTACAACAGCACAGTAGTTAGTCTTCTTCTTCTTCTTCGCATTCACCAGCTGTTAACTGGTGGAAAGTTCTGGTTATTCATCCACTTCTGGACTGCAGTCCTGTTCCAGAACCTGAGTGTTGCGTGGGCATCCGTTTTACAGATTTGACTCATTTGAATGCATAATGCCCCTCAGGCAGATGCACTCCGACTTCGAAGGAAGCTCCCAATTAGTCGACTCTTACAACATGCTTTTGGGTAGGCAGTGGGTCTATTCTTATTTTCCCTATAATAGGGCCCCGGAACCCACACAGGAAACAGTATTTAGTGAAACAAATAATGTGCTTAGAACAGCACAGTAAATATTGTAGTCAATGATGTGATTGTAAAAGCTTAGTAGACAGGTAAATCAATAATGTGCTTACAACAGAACAATAGACACTGAAGACAATTATGTGACTGTAACAGCACAGTAGAGATTGAAGTCAATTATGCACCTACAACACACAGTAGACACTGAAGTCAATTATGCCACACACAGTAGACATTTAAGCCAATGATATGGCCACAACAAAGCCAAATATTGGAAGAAGTCAATATTGTGCTTGCAATAGCACAGTAGACATTGAAATAAATGATGTAGTACAACAGCACAACATGGTCCTTAATAATGTGGATACATTATCACAGTAGACATTGGAGTCAGTGATGTGGCTACAGTAGCACAGTAGACATTAAAGTCAATTATGTGGCTACAACAACACAGTAGGCATTGATGTCAACGATATAACTACAACAGCACCGTAGACCTTGAAGTGAATAATGTAGTTACTGAGATATAAAATGCTAGAAATCACTGATGTAGCTACAGCGGTACTAAATGCCAGAATTCCTCCTAGAAATGCCAATTGTTGGGGAACTCTTGAATGATTAAAATAAAGAGAAAAATGTCACAGGGTTTGATTGGCACTCATAAACTAGAGGAAGGAAACAGAAATTACAGGACATACTAGATAACAAACAAAACACAATCTGTAGAAATGGTACATGACAAGTACATTACTAAAACAATAAGAATACCCCTAGACCTAACACTAACTCTGACAGTAACACTAAACCTTAACCTCAACAATAATCCTACCTGTAAACCTAAACCCTAAGCCCTAACTCTAGGATTCTACTGGCCATAGGGTGGTGACCAAACTTCATTGAATGGCTTATGTGGTTAGCATCATGCTTTCAGTTGTACTGACAAACCTTTACTGAATGGCCGATATGGTTGCTGTTAAACTGTCCAGCATCTTATCTCTCGGCCTCTCCTCCCTTCCAACTTTCCTACTATCATGATGTTCTCCAATTTTGACCTTCGCATCTCATGACCAAAGAATGTAGATTATCTGTTTCTGATGTGGGCAGTCAGTTCTCTTTAGGAGCCAGTTTCTTTCAAGACATCGTCATTACTTTTTTAATCTGTCCAAGGTATTCTTATCATTTATCTAGGAAAACACATCTCAGCAGCTTCCAAAATGTTTTCCCCTAATCTACCAACTGTCCATGATTCACTTCCCTACAACAAGATAGGATTTAAAAAGCTTTTTATAATTCTCTTTCCCATCTCAATGCGAGCCCTATGGAAAGTATAACAGAGACAAAAGGATCATGATGATGATATAAATGCTTGCATTATTGTTCACATGCGGCGTCTGTGGCTTAGGCGTTGCGAGTCTGACTCGTAATCCAACATACCGTGATCGAAACCTACTGCTGGCTGCATGGAATTTTATCATGGTATGGGGTATCGCAGGTCGACCCAGCCTAAAATGGGTACCAGGATGGCTGTCCTGGGGAAGTAAAGACGACTGGCGTAATGCTGATCACATTACCCATCCAGTGCCGATTGGTCTGTAAAAATATGGGATGCTCTTCCCATATACCTAATGCGCCTTAGACATGAAAAGGGATCTTTACTTTTTTATTACTGTACACATACATCAGTGAAGCTATTATGACAAAATGCTGACTGTGGAAGACTCACTTGTGTGGGTCCACGAAGGTCTCCTCAGCTGCCAGTGCTGGCACTGTTGTCCTAGGTTTGGTCCAGTCCCAGTATGGGATTCCGATATGAGCACCTCTGAGACGAAGAGCATCTTCCACCTGACAAATATCAAATGTGGGGGGTTTAATACTCAGCACAATGAAGCATTTTAAAATAATAACACAAGTAATGATATGAGATATGGGGGGGGGGGGGGGGGGGGGGGAGAAAAGTCTTCCCACAAAAAACTAAGGGAAGAGAGGAAGAAGCAGAAGAAATTTGGAGTTTAAAAAAAAAAAAAATGCAGAGGGTTGAAACCTTTGACCACCAAGCAGACAGACAGACAAGCAGACAGACAGACAAGCAGACAGACAGACAAGCAGACAGACAAACAGACAGACAAGCAGACAGACAGACAAGCAGACAGACAAGCTCACAAACTGTTGCATCATTGCAGCACTCAAGTCAGCAAAAACAATAATTGTTTCATATTTAGAGGCATTGCTTTCATTATATTGCACACAAAATTTTTTTCTTCAAAACATGAAGGCGAGTAATCACTAAAAAAAACTGTTTCCCCCCCCCACCCCCCTTTAAAGTAAAGGACCCTTTTAAATGCCATCAGGCATATTGGGCATATAGAGCTAGACCTATATTTTATAGACCAACTGGCACATGGTGGGTGATGTGGTCAGCATCACACCGACTGCCTTTACTTCCCAGGACTGCACCTGGTACCCACTCAAGGTTGGGTCAGCCTGGGAATCAAGGTCATTTTTTTAAAGACAAAAATGTCTGGCTCCATCAGGACCTGAACCTACGACCTTGTGATCCTCAGGCGAGTGTCTAGCCTCTACACTACGGTGACTCCTTTTTATTTCCCTTTGATCGGGATAATAAGAGTTTTGATGAGACGGGCACAGAGAGTAATGTGATGTCACCATAAAGTTATGATGACCTTAACTCAATTAATGCTTTTGTTAAGTTATGTTTAACTGTTATGTTTTACTGTTAAGTTATGTTTAAATGTTAAGGTATGTTTAAATGTCAAGTTATGTTTAACTGTTAAGTTATGTTTAACTGTTAAGTTATGTTTAACTTAAGTTATGTTTAACTGTTAAGTTATGTTTAACTGTTAAGTTATATCACCTCTGTAAAACTTAGCCTGGCCTGTATGAACTTGCCAGCTTGTTACTAATTATTTGGTTTGTTATTGTCCACACAAACCCTCTTACCTGGACAACCAACAGCCTGTGCCAGTGTGGAAAGTTGGGCATGCCATGAACACAACAAGCAAATCTGTCTCTGGCGGTTGGGAATGGGCACTTTCCTGGGTCTCCATGGAACTCTGCAATAGCTTGATATCCATCAACACTTCGGTCATTCTGGACAAATTTGAAAATAATAATAGCTGCATTATAGTTCCGATTGATGGACAACAGCCATGGTTTGAACAAGCAATAACAGGTTCATTATGGTTTAGATTGACAGAGAAGTTCTACAGTTTCTAAATGCGATAATAGCTAGATTATTATTTGGACTGATAGAAAAGCTTTACAGTTTAAACATACAACATAAGCTACATTCTAGTTTAGATTGACAGAGAAGTTCTACAGTTTAAACATGTGATAACAGCTACATTCTAATTTAGAATGACAAAAAAGTGTTACAGTTTAGACAGGAAATAACAGCTACATTCTAGTTTAGATTTATTGAGAAATTCTAAAGTTTCAACATGCAATAACAGCTACATTCTAGTTTATATTTATGGAGAAATTCTACAGTTTCAACATGCTATAACAGCTACCTTATAGTTTACAATAATGGCACGTTCCACAGTTTAAACAAACTATTACAGGTACATTACAATTTAGACTGATGGACAAGTTCCACAGTTTAAACAAACAATAACTATTGCCTTAGAGTTATATGACAGAGAAGTAGATCAGACAGGCAAAAGCAACAATAATATTTGCCTGACAGTTAAACTGACAGAGGAGTAGAACAGTTAATAATATTACAATAGTTTCTTGACAGTTATACTGGGAGCAGGCGGAGTCTCTGATGTGGTCATGGCTGACAAAGACAACTCAGATGTTGATTATCAGGCTGAGTCTAATGATGGTCAGTTTCTTATTAGCTATTGTGTTTTCACGGTAATTCAGAGGACTTGATAAGACAACAAAAACTTCATAACAAAAGATGCATCGCCAGAAACGAACACTATACAGGCAGAAAAAGAAGAATAGTAAACCAACAAAGAACTTGTGTTATCCATCGCCACATGCTGAGGGAAATAATGAAGATAGGAATCCAATCACTAATAGATTTGTCTGATGTGCAAATAGGTTGAATGGTCAATTATCTAAGAGTTAACTGGTAGGCAAGGATCATTGTTACCTCCACCCAGATCATATACACATGGCAATGAAACTGTTACCTGGATGAGAGGAAACGCACACAGATCAAAGAAGCAGTTACCTGGAATTTCTCCATGGCTTCTCTAAGCTCTAGAATTTCTTCTCTGCTGAGATGCTCAGCATTCTTCCGCACAGATATGTCCTCGGTGTTATCATGGTTGTGACTGAGCTCATTGTGGGAGATGGGGGCTGTAGATGGAGTTATGTAGAACAAAGTTGATGGATCAGTGTCTGTTCTATTCTGTGTTTATGGTAGATTATCATCATCTCATTTAGAGATATGTGCCACCTGCCTGACTTATTTCAGCACATTGAGAAGAAATGCAGCACTCTCTCAGTGTATGTGATACTTTCTCATCTTAAGTGTTTAGTGTATGTAATAGTTTCTCATCATTAAGTGTTCAGAGTATGTAATACTTTCTCATTATTAAGTGTTCAGTGTATGTAATACTTTCTCATTATTAAGTGTTCAGTGTATGTAATACTTTCTCATTATTATGTGTTCAGTGTATGTAATACTTCTTCATATTAGGTGTTCAGTGTGTGTAATAATTTCTCATCATTCAGTGTTTAGTGTGTGTAATAATTTCTCATCATTCAGTGTTTAGTGTGTCTAATAATTTCTCTTCAATAAGTGTTCAATGTATGTAATACTTTCTCATCATCAAGTGTTCAGTGTATGTAATACTTTCTCTTCATTAAGTGTTCAAGGTTCTCTTTATTAAGTGTTCAGTTATGTAATACTTTCTAATAGTTAAATTTAGAGTGTATTTGATACTTTCTCATCATTAAGTTTAGAGTGTATGGGACACTTTCTCATCATAAACTAACAGTGAATACGATACTGTCTAAGTCACTAAGTTTATAGTGTATGTGATATTTTCTCATTATCAAGTTTACAGTATATATCACTGATTATAAAAAACTCTCCTACAAGACTAATTTAGAGCACATATAGCACAGACAGTAAGAAACTTTTCTACCATACCAATTTGAAGTGTATGTGGCGGAGTAAACAGCACAAGTGATTCTTTCTTTTAAGTTATTTTTAAATGAATTGAAGGGGTTACAGTTTTGATAAATTATGCAGTTAAAATGATTCTAGGACAAGTCCAGCAAGCCGTTAGGGGATTTAATTGTTCAAACTCATATGCTCAAGATGGAAAACAAGAAAATCATACTCAAATCGGAATAGTAACATTCAGGCTCTTGCACTACACCCTAAATGACCCCATTAAACATCAATTTTTTAAGGCAGAAACAAATAGAAATTGTGAATTCAGTGAAAAACAATATAAAGTCATGGGACTATTGAGCTGTAGAACGAGAGTCAAGATACTAAACAAATACTGAAGATTACATTATGAAATGGAGTGTGGTAAACACCAGTCGATACAGAACACAAAGAGTTGGTTTTATGGTCCATCCATCTGTAGCACAGGCTGTGTAGAAGACACCCTAACTTTTGTACAGAATCTTGACTATATTATACATTTAAAAGGCAGGGATAAATAAACATTGATAATGTTTTTTTTTTTAAAAAGTAAAATGCCCTAAACAAACTGCAGAAGTCATTAATAAAATGAAACTGATAGACAAAGAGATCAATTAAGTACAAAACAGCAGATGGAAACCATGTTTGACCAACAAAGAGAAAAATGCAAAACTAGTAATATTGCAACAAGCTGACTGGTTTTCAAAAAGACTTCTAATTTTTAAAGAATTCTATTTTAATTGCACAGTTTGCTCCTTTTGATCCAGTGTTAATTTAATTCATTCAAACCCAAATACTGAGTGCTTTACAGTAGAATTTCTCATTATAGAGTGAATTTGAAGAAATTATTTACTTGTACCCCAAAAAGATATACAGTATGTCATACAGTCACTACATTAAGGCATGTAAGCAGGATGGCTGATATTTCTTTTATGATCCCAAGATCCGACCAGAAATTACAAACACACTTACGATCTCTCTTTCCAGTAGCTGGTCTAAAGGACACAGATGGCTGTGGCAAGATGTCTGAAGGCAGCTGGGTGCCATTTACGCTGTATACTTCAATTTCAACATGATAATCTGCATCTAAAGCAACACCCAAATGCTGAACTGTCTTTGTTATGTCAAAGTAGTAGGGTCGGCTGAAAGTCCAGGGCATCTCCAAGGGGCCTCCCAGGATGAAGAAATCACCAGCAAACTCACAATATTCTCCAGCCAGCTCATTTTGTAAGGGAATACACACCTGCAACATGTCGTAGAGACATGAAATCTGACAGGCAATAACATATTACAGAGAATAAGATGTTCCAGACAATAACATGTCACAGAGAATAAGATGTCCCAGGCAATAACATGCCACAGAGAATAAGATGTCTCAGGCAATAATCTGTCACAGAGAATAAGATGTCCCAGGCAATAACATGTCACAGAGAGTAAGATGTCCCAGGCAATAACATGTCACAGAGAATAAGATGTCCCAGGCAATAACATGACACAGAGAATAAGATGTCCCAGGCAATAACATGCCACAGAGAATAAGATGTCTCAGGCAATAATCTGTCACAGAGAATAAGATGTCCCAGGCAATAACATGACACAGAGAATAAGATGTCCCAGGCAATAACATGACACAGAGAATAAGATTTCCTAGGCAATAACATGTCACAGAGAATAAGATGTCCCAGGCAATAATGTGTCACAGAGAATAAGATGTCCCAGGCAATAATGTGTCACAGAGAATAAGATGTCCCAGGCAATAACATGTCACAGAGAATAAGATGTCCCAGGCAATAATGTGTCACAGAGAATAAGATGTCCCAGACAATAACATGTCACAGAGAATAAGATGTCTCAGGCAATAACATGTCACAGAGAATAAGATGTCCCAGGCAATAACATGTCACAGAAGAAAACATCTCACAGACACATGACAAGTTACAATCACATAGAAAATACAGACATACAAATTATCATGCAAAGAAAAGACCAACATGCCCCAGAATAACATGTCATAACAATAGCATGTCATAGCAATAACATGTCATAACACTAACATGTTACAGCAATAACATGTCACAGAGAATGGTTTCAGACAGAATGACAGACAGAGAAAAGTGTCAAGCATAAAAAGATGTCAAAATTATGTCACACAGATGTTGTTCGACAGAGGATTGCATCACATACTGGTGTCTAAAGACATACATTAACCATAGACAAAAACATTGATGAGCCTCCAAGGAAAGTGTGCCATTGACAAATCTATCCTTATCATTGACATAAACTATGGTGAATAAATGAATAGGACAAGCAGTTGTCTGCAGGAATAAAAGATTGTACCTTCCCCATGTGGGTTCTGGGGGCCCTAGGGTGGGGAAAATAAGAACAGACCCACCGCTTAACCAAAATCATGTTGTAAGAGTCAACTAATTGGCAGCTTTCTTTTAAGTCGCATCGCACCTGCCTGAGAGAATCAAGGAATCAACTGTCTGCATGCATATGATCTGTAAAACAGATGTGCATGCAACACTTAGGTTCTGGAACAGGACTAGAGTCCAGAAGTGGATGAACAAACAGAACCTTCCCCCATACAGTCAGTGAACGTAAAGAAAAGCAGAAAGATTGTTCCTCAAATATTCAAATGACTGACCTTGACTCTGACGTCAGCTGATACCCCAAGACCATGCAGACGGAAACTTGCAAAAGCTCGATCATGTGACTGCCTTTCTTTAATAAGTCTCTGGATGCTTTCAACATCATAGCCATTTAAAGTCAGGTTATCGTATCTGAAAAATGCAATAGTGATATTGTATGAACAGGAATATCTCATGACAACTGAGCAGGTTTATTTTAATAGAGATACATCATGAAAGCATACAAATATTTTTTCACAGCTTCACATCATGTCATGGACAGGGAGGGAAGTGGGGAGGGGGGGGGGGTGCAGCACTGGAACTGATGGTATGATTCATGCTGTTGATCACAAGTTGTGGAGAGACATGATCACCTCTGCAAGTTGGCAAAATTCATCTGATGATGATGATGATAATAATGATGATAATTATGATAATAATGATGATGAGGATGATGATTACTGTATCAAGAACAACTCACATTCTGAGAAAAGTGAGTTCTGGTTAAAGTGACAACCATTTCTGGGAGGGGGGTCATTGAGATGTTCTGGTCTAAATGACAGCCACATGTAAGGTAACCATGAGGTGGTCACTGCTTTACACAGCTGTTTCATTTTTGTGCTAAGGTATGCAGGTGTAAAAATAAATTACACAGCTGATAGCCTGTGGACAGATTTTCTGTGAAAGGCAGATGAGCATTGGACTGCGATAATGTACTGAATACTCTCTGAGAAATTAGAAGATTATGTGAATTTAATGATGGCTGTAAATCTGCCTTTCATGACCAGATTAACAGCAAGTCAAAAGGTGTGTGGCCAGACTAGAGCACTACACAGGAAGCAAAAAAATAATAATAACCAACACAACTGAACTGGTGTCATAAGCCACTGCAGTGAGGATGATCTGTCAAATAGCTGACCAGTATTGTCTTGTCTTGTCTTGTCCACAATTGCCTCACAGCGTAGTGGGGAGTCGCAGTTTTCTTTCCTGGGCCAGGTGTGTTAGCTGACCAGTATTGTCTTGTCTTGTCCACAATTGCCTGTAGTGGGGAGTCGCAGTTTTCTTTCCGGGTCAGGTGTTTAGGTGACCAGTATTGTCTTGTCTTGTCTTGTCCACAATTGCCTCACAGCGTAGTGGGGAGTCGCAGTTTTCTTTCCTGGGCCAGGTGTGTTTGTCTTGTCTTGTCTTGTCGCACAATTGCCTCACAGCGTAGTGGGGAGTCGCAGTTTTCTTTCCTGGGCCAGTGTGTTACTGCCTCACAGCGTAGTGGGGAGTCGCAGTTTTCTTTCCTGGGCCAGTGTGTTAGCTGACAGTATTGTCTTGTCTTGTCTTGTCCACAATTGCCTCACAGCGTAGTGGGGAGTCGCAGTTTTCTTTCCTGGGCCAGGTGTGTTAGCTGACCAGTATTGTCTTGTCTTGTCTTGTCCACAATTGCCTCACAGCGTAGTGGGGAGTCGCAGTTTTCTTTCCTGGGCCAGGTGTGTTAGCTGACCAGTATTGTCTTGTCTTGTCTTGTCCACAATTGCCTCACAGCGTAGTGGGGAGTCGCAGTTTTCTTTCCTGGGCCAGGTGTGTTAGCTGACCAGTATTGTCTTGTCTTGTCTTGTCCACAATTGCCTCACAGCGTAGTGGGGAGTCGCAGTTTTCTTTCCTGGGCCAGGTGTGTTAGCTGACCAGTATTGTCTTGTCTTGTCCACAATTGCCTCACAGCGTAGTGGGGAGTCGCAGTTTTCTTTCCTGGGCCAGGTGTGTTAGCTGACCAGTATTGTCTTGTCTTGTCTTGTCCACAATTGCCTCACAGCATAGTGGGGAGTCGCAGTTTTCTTTCCTGGGCCAGGTGTGTTAGCTGACCAGTATTGTGTCTTGTCCACAATTGCATCACACTGGGGAGTCGCAGTTTTTTTCCTCAGGTGTGTTAGCTGACCAGTATTGTCTTTTCTTGTCTTGTCCACAATTGCCTCACAGCGTAGTGGGGAGTCGCAGTTTTCTTTCCTGGGCCAGGTGTGTTAGCTGACCAGTATTGTCTTGTCTTGTCTTGTCCACAATTGCCTCACAGCGTAGTGGGGAGTCGCAGTTTTCTTTCCTGGGCCAGGTGTGTTAGCTGACCAGTATTGGTAAAAAGTGATTGCACCCTTGTACTGAGGAGGTCCACACTTGTATTTCTGGGAATTCAAGGTGGCCGGCGTGAAGTTGACCTCAGCACTAACTAACCTAGAGCTGACTGGTCTATAAAAAAGAATAGTTTAGCACTTTATGACCAACATTCTTGAAGTTATGCAAAAGGATCTTCAAAACTTTTATGTCAGTGGTGCACAGTTATATTTCAGTGGTGCACAGTTATATTTCAGTGGTGCACAGTTATATTTCAGTGGTGCACAGTTATATGTCAGTGGTGCACAGTTATATGTCAGTGGTGCACAGCTATATTTCAGTGGTGCACAGTTATATTTCAGTGATGCACAGTTATATGTCAGTGGTGCACAGTTATATTTCAGTGGTGCACAGTTATATTTCAGTGGTGCAGTTATATTTCAGCAGTGCACAGTTATATTTCAGCAGTGCACAGTTATATTTCAGTGGTGCACAGTTATATTTCAGTGGTGCACAGTTATATTTCAGCAGTGCATACTATATTTCATGACATCTTGCTTTTCTTCTACTTCCTCTTCACGTTTGTTGGCTGTACACAATGGCGGACGTTCTGGTTGTTTATCCACCTCTTGACTTTAGTCTTGTTCCAGAACCTGAGTGTTGCATGCCATCTGTTTCACAGATCTAACTTATCTGTAAGCAGATAAATGGTTGCTTGCCTCTCAGGTAGATGTACTCTGACTTCGAAGGATACCCCCAGTTAGTTGACTCCTACAATATGCTTGATGGGGAGGCAGTGGGCCTATCCTTGTTTTTACCCCACAAGTGGACTCTGAAATCCACACAGGAAATACCATATTCAACACTGTACTGATCTGACAGACTCCTCAAATAAGGTCAAGTTGTGTCATTATGTTGTTACTTGATATTGTTATGTGATATAAAGCAGTATCTAGTATTTGTTACAAAATGAACACAATGCCACATCTAACCTGTAACCAAAGAGGGTGTGTTCTGTGCCTTCAGCAGGAACTGAATGGATTCTGGTGACTGGGAAAGGGTTTGAGTCCCTGTTGAAAGGTTGAAGTGGTGCCTGAAAGCCTTGGACATCACAGAGTTCACACTCCCCTGTACAGCCAGGGCCTGGAGGTAAGGAAAAAAACGAACTTGAGAAGTTATTCTCAAACATAGGCATTACATATTAGAACAACTTTATGATTGTGGCATGTATTTCTCTTTGTAAGTGTAAAATATCTATTGGTCTCTGACTTAAACATAATTGCCTGACTCATTATCATCATGTAGCAGGTCCTTTGCAGAACGTCGCTCTCATCACAGTCTGCCTGAAAGAAACTCGGTCTCTCACCACTGTCACACATCAAGGAGTCACTTATATCCTGTGCCCATCTTCGTGTCAGTCTGCCCATGCTCCTCCTTCCTGGTACCATGCCTTCTGCTATAATTTTTTCCAATCCTGACTACAGGATGAATAATGAGTACAGTGGTATCTCAACATACGAACGTTATTCCTTTCTCGCTGTGGTTTATTTCTTGAAAAGTTTGTAACTTAAAACCCAATTTCCCCATTACATCGTACAGGAAAATCAATTAATCCGTTCTCAGATTAATAATTGAAAGAAAAAAAAAAGGAAAAACAATTGTATAAATTAGGGCATTGTCCATTGTAAGAACTTTCTCAGGCAGATCCTTTTCTAGTAGACACTGTTTTACTGTATGAGGAGAGACATCTGTCATTTAACCGTAGAAGAATTGCCTGGCTACCCAAGCTCTGCTGTCACTTTTCCACATAAAAGTGAATTTGTATCTTGTTAACTATCTCTAGGTAGGTAGGTAGTTGTACCCCACCAGGACATCACACAAGCGATAAACAACCGGTGACACAAAGTGCCACCATGCGAAAGAGGACCACCGTGGAAAGGTCCCAGAAACCCCTTTCAGCCATTAGGCCATTTTTATAGCTAGGCCATATCTATATTCACGGCCCCAGGCAGAAGCCAGGGTGGGGCTTCAAATAAAAAATTGCATCCCACATAGGGATGACATTCTGAACTATCTCTAGGATTTTCATAGATTTTATCTTCCTTCGCTGAACAACAACAGCCTTGAAAAAGTCAACAGTTTCACTTATCTAGGGAGCAAGATGTCATCTACAGGAGATACCGCACCAGAAATATCATTTAGAATAGCACTGGCATCTAGTGCCTTCAATAAACTGTCTAACATCTGGAAATCAAAGACACTTAGCAAACACACAAAACTCAAGATCTTCAATTCTTGTGTGATTCCAGTACTAACCTATGGATGCGAGAGTTGGAAATCAACGAAAACTCTAGACACAAAATTAGACAGTTTTGAAAATAAATGCCTTAGAAGAATACTAAATTTCAAATGGTCAGATTTCCGAACCAATACACAAATAAGGCAAGAATCCAGGCAAGAGTATGTGTCTAATTTTATACGAAAACGCCGCTGGAACTATGTCGGCCACGTCCTTAGAATGGATAAATCAAGACTTCCTTACCAAGCACTCATTTGGACACCACAGGGGAAAAGATCTCGTGGAAGACCAAGGGAAACCCTACGTAGAACTATCATCAGGGAAGGCTCGCTCATGGGCCACTCAAACATCCAAGACCTACAACGGATTGCAACGGACCGCCGTGCATGGAGAGTCACGACCTCTGCCCTATGTGCCTCACTCGACACAAGAGGAAAGACTAACTAACTATCTTCCTTCAAATAACCACTGGCAATGGTACAAAGGAGTAAAATTAGTCTGTCTTTCATCAACTTCTGTCCTGGTAATGTTATGTCCTCTATGCTGATGAATGTTCTCTGTTCTCTCAAATTTTTTGCTTCTGCCGGACGGTGGTCGAAGTATTTTTGCTCCATTTGTAGACTGGATATAGTTTCGTCGCTCAGCTTCTGAGTTGAATGCATGGCGTGACCAACGTGGTGGTGTGAATTGTAGATTCAGAAAATGGCGTGCAATGTTGGCGGTGCCTGTATCTGGTTAAAATTGATCGTGTGGACAACTGCTGAACTGTTGGCGACAAGTTCTGCAATCATCAATGATGAACTGCATTTCTAATGTTGGACTGTTTGTGTTAGCACTTCGGATGGCTACCGTATGCGTTAATGCGAGTGTATGCTAGATATGCTGAGACAGCAGTCTGTCAATCTTTCCACAAGGGACTGTGATAAACATTCTGGGTGTTTTTCATTGGCACAGGAGCGGAGCAAAGATGGGGCGACCCGTTGCTATGAAGCTGAAACTAAGACTACCAGAATGTTCTCTTAGGCATTTTCTTCCAGAAAAGTCCTATTTCATCACAACTGAAAGCTTGTTCTGGTCTGCTTAAAATGTTGCACAAAATTTTCAACTGCTTTTTTTGGGGTCAACACTAGCACCTTCTCCATGTTTAACAATACTATGGATATCGTTCTGTTCTTGAATTTCAAAAACCCTTCTTTGCTAGCTTTAAACTCTTCACTGATGTCTTTGCTACTGGTAGTGAATGATAAGTTCTGTGATAGATTTATGTAAAAAGCTTAAACTTTTAAACAGGTCATGCTTTTGAGATACATATCCACTTTCAGTTGAACGTCATTAATCCATTTAAAAAAAAAAAGATTTCTTCCATAACTTAGTTTCTTCAAGATGATCACATCCAGTTCCTTAAAAAAATCTGCTTTCTTATGAATTGTAGCTATGGACGTTTACAAGTTATACTACTTGCTCAAATCAGTTTGCATTACTTATTTCTCATATCTTTCCACAATAATTTTCTTATCTTCTTTTATGATTTTTCTTCTCTTCTTTCTTAGATTTATTTGACCTCGTGTTGGAAATAAAATGCGATATCTAAATAATAATTTGAATTATTTGTCAGTTTTAAAGATATCATAGTTTTGTTTTTTTAAAGACATCACTGTTGTTAAGATGTCATTGTTTTAAAGAAATCATCGTTTCAAAAATATCATTGTGTGTATGTGTGTGGGGAAGAGGTGGGGGGAGGGATAGGGAGAGATATTATCTAACACTCTTGGCATGTGACTTGGCATATAACCTTTGGATGGAATAAAATGTTTGGATGGAACTTAACCTTTAGATGTAACAAAACCCTTAGGTGGAAACTAGTAGTATGTAACTTTTGGATGGAACAAAACCTTTGGATGGAACAAACCTTTGGATGGAACATAACCTTTGGATGGAGAACATACCCACTGGATGGAACATAACATTTGTATGGAACATACCTGGTACGTAACCTTTGGATCTCTGGATGGCCTCATACACAGCATATATTCTGTCCACATTAGAATGGTGCAGGAAAAAAATTGGGTCGTATGAAGTGTACTCCAGGTGTGAGAGTGAGTACTTGTTTCTGCCTCCGACCAGGAAATGGATGGTGTTGTGTGCAATTTCAAACTGTACCTCAAACTGGCAATAGTTGGAGTACTCCAGTGCATTGAGCACTTGCTCAAACAAGTCTGAATTGGCACCAGCTGCAACCTGAGGAGTCCAATCATTAGCCTGATTATTGAGTGATGATGATGAAGATCATGATAAAGATGATGAGTTGGAGGTGGAGTGGGTGATTTTAGTGGAGTGGTGGTGGGATGATAATTTCATGGAGTGTTGGTGTTGGTGATGGCTTTGTGGAGTGATGGTGATCCACATTGTCATGGTGATTGTGTTGGTGGTAATATAAATGTCAGCTGGTACTGATGATGGTCAATAAGTGATATGATGTGACACCATCTCCTAACATCTCTACTTGATAGTGTCACCATTGTCTTTAACTCATTTGGTGCCTAGATTTGTTCCTTCAACATTGGCGAGCCTATAGATATGGTACCCTAGAGCACTCATTGTTTAGTCTTGTGGAACTGAAAATAGGTATTGCGACCGAAAGAGTTACAGTTACAACAGAGATGGAATAGGTTGCTACAATAGAAGCATGGGAGTACAGACATATTTGCCCTTTAAAGAGTTACCTTGGACCAACTGTGAGTTCACTGTCATAGACAGAGTACAGATGTATATGTTTTTTCAAGAGTCACCATGAATCAACTGTCAGTTCACTGCCATAGAAAGAGTACAGACATTTATGTTATTTCAAGAGTTATCTTAGACTAACTGTGAGTTCACTGTCATAGAAAGAGTACAGACATACAATTCATTTAAAGAGTCATCATGAATCAACTGTCAGTTCACTGCCATAGAAAGAGTACAGACATTTATGTCATTTCAAGAGTTACCTTGGACTAACTGTGAGTTCACTGTCATAGAAAGAGTACAGACATACAATTCATCTAAAGAGTCACCTTGAATCAACTGTCAGTTCACTGCCATAGAAAGAGTACAGACATTTATGTCATTTCAAGAGTTACCTTGGACTAACTGTGAGTTCACTGTCATAGAAAGAGTACAGGCATACAATTCATCTAAAGAGTCACCTTGAATCAACTGTCAGTTCACTGCCATAGAAAGAGTACAGACATTTATGTCATTTCAAGAGTTACCTTGGACTAACTGTGAGTTCACTGTCATAGAAAGAGTACAGGCATACAATTCATTTAAAGAGTCACCTTGAATCAACTGTCAGTTCACTGCCATAGAAAGAGTACAGACATATATGTCATTTCAAGAGTTACCTTGGACTAACTGTGAGTTCACTGCCATAGAAAGAGTAGAGAAGTATATGTTATTTAAAGAGTTTCCTTGAATCAACTGTGAGTTTAGTGCCATAGAAAAAGTACAGTCATGTTTGTCATTTCAAGAGTTACCTTGGACCAAACAGTGAGTTCTCTGCTGCAGATGAGTTCAGGGGTAAAAGCTCAATCATTCAATGATTGGGCAAAGTACTCCAGATTCAAATGATTGATCAAAAGTTATTACATTCTTAAAAGTTTGATCCAAATTACCCATACTTGATTATTAATACAAATGGATGAAAAGAGTTGCTTGAACCAACCGTGAGCACTCTGCTACAGAAATAGTTCAGGAGGAGATGCTCAGTCATTCAATGATTGGTTAAAGTACTCATGACCCAAACCCAAATGATTGATCACAATTATTACATACTTAAATGATTGACCCGAATGACCCATACATACATAAATAAATAATACAAATGGATGACATCAAAATATACCACTTGTGAATGTTTTATGCAAGTCAACTTCATGTGAAGGGTTGACTATAGATTTGAAGGGCCGACTGATTATGTGAATGGTTGACTAGTTATGTGAAGGTCGACTGTATGTACTACAAATTCACTACAAATGTGAATGAATGAATTAACACATTTTTGACTGACTGGCCATTTTGATAGTTACCTGAACCCTTGAAGTGTTGACTAAATTATACAGAATGATTGACTACACACTAGGATGATGGATTTAAACTATTGCATGATCCCTGAACTTGTGAGTGATTTACTAAACGCTTGAATGATTTACCACACCCTTGTCTGAACAATTAAATTATTTACCCAACCCCTGAATTGATGAATACATTTTAATATAAATGATTGACTGCACACTTGAAGGACTTGGTTGACTGGTTCTAAACTCTTGTCAGAAAGTTCTGGATGTTCATCCAGGTCTGGACTTTAGTCTTGTTTCAGAATTTAAGTTTTGATACATATCCATTAAAAAAAAAAAATTAGCTTATGCAGACTGTTGGTTCCATACTTTTCAGGTACTCTGACACTTTTCAGGCAGATGTACTCTGACTTTGAAGAAAATTATTCACAAAAATGACTGACTAAACACCTGAATGATTGATTAAACACCTTAATGATTGACTGGACCATCAAGTGTTTGACTAAATACCTGCATGGTTGACAGGACCATCAAATAATTGACTAAACACCTGAATGATTGACTAAACATCTGAATGATTGACTGGACCATTAAATGGCTGACAGTGCCTTTGAATTGCTGCCTATATTGTAAACGAAAGATTGACTATTCATTTTAACCACTGGTTGAGGCTGAGAAAGCTTACTCACAATCTCAGATTATTACTTAAGCGTCTATCCTTTGACAAAACAGAACATCCAGTAAGCCAATAGTACTCACATGTTCAAACAATCGAGAGTCCACGGCCCTGGCTGTCTGGCGAGCTCCGTCAGGTGTAGAGATTGACCCTTGATACCACACGTTGGATCTAGCCTTGCCTCCAGCCGTGTCCAAGAACACCTTGTCACTGACAAGTTGGGGCAGTTGCTCCAGCGGCTGTGTCCAGTCCCAGTAAGGGATACCAATAGTTAGACCTGCAAACAGCAACACAAAACACAGTTCACGCGCAAGTTATCGATATTTGAGACCTCTGACCTCTATGAACCCACAGGCTGTCCCATATCAGGCTGTCCCATAAATTTCCATACATAGGAAAAAATATTTTTTTTTAAGGAAAAATATAGGTAAAGGACCCTTTTCCTCGTCTTCAGGCGCATTGGGTATATAGGGCTATCCCTATATTTTATAGACCAATCGACACTTGGTGGGTAATGTGGTCAGCATCACACCGACCCCCTTTACTTCCCAGGACTGTACCTGGTATCCATTCAAGGTTGGGTCGACCTTGGAGCTGATGTCTTTTTTTTTTTGGGGGGGGGGGGGTGGACCCGGCCCCTGTCAGGACCGAACCCACGACCTTCCGATCCGCAAGCGAGCGTTTTGTTTAACGAAAGCCGTCTATATTTATATAATACTAGCTGTACCCGGCCACGCGTTGCTGTGGCATAGTTTGGCTAAATGGAAATGAAAGAAAATAGAAATCGCACGTGTCTAATACAATCATTGTCTGCTCAGATATAGAGATAGTCTTTGATCCCCGCCCACCACCACAACTAAATCCACCTACTACTATCTCCCTCATCAAAGGTTTTTGGAAAAGAAAGACAATGGAAATCGCACGTGTCTAATACAGTTAATGTCGCAATCATTCTCTGCACAGATATAGCGATAGTCTGGTTTTCCAACTTTAGAACACGCACCTTATAATTGTGTCTTTATATTAGTGGTCGTTTAAATGGTGTTATTAGCACAGTAACAAAAATGGTTATTTGGTTATCACATGCTAAAGCTGTTTGTATTTTTATAGGGGACGGAAGTAAAGCTACAACTGTACTTGTGAATAACAAAGTAAGTCGTAAAAATAGAAAAGCGGAGGTAGCGTTAGTAAAATATAAACAAATTAGGTAATGAGCACTTGAAAATCAAGTGTAAAGCTCTTTAATTTCTCTTAAATTTAAGTCATTACCCCCTCCCCTCTTCTACCGACTACTGCTCTCTCCCTCTTCGAAGGATTTGAAAATCACTAACTGGCGATATTTTGTTGTTGCTGTAACTGACATTGACACCCCTGTCCATCTGAATTGTAAAAGGTAGTGAATAGGGCTAGTGTAATATTTACCACATCATCCTTCAAGTACCAGTACAACTACTAAAATAATGTCACTGCTATCTGTGTTACCATCGGAGTAGACAGAGAGTCGTGAGCCAGAAGATTTCGTTCCGCATGGCTAGTGCTGTCGCCACAGACTGGTCAGGTTAGGATGTATAATTTCACTTGCCGACAGAAGAACGCCATAACCTTACCGGCGGTCTTCACATGAGAGAACTATGGTGTAACAGCCCTGGTGTAACAACTATTACTGCTGCTGCTACTTTAAGTGGGTAAAGCAAATACTGTGACTTAAAGCTCTCTCAGTTAATAGTTTCCCCACCCCCCTTTCCCCCCAAATTCACCGACAACTCTTTTCCTCATTGAAGTAGTTGGGAGAAAAAAAAAAACACTTGAAAAGCAAACGAACACAGGAAAAAAACACCATAATTATGAAATGAACGCCATTGTAAACAGCACAGCTTACAATTCCAACACAGATGAAATAACTAAATCTAAATGAAAATAAATGAAAATCTATAAAATTTCAGCGTAACCATGCAATCGGAAAGTTTAACAATGCAATCATAAGTATGCGAAATGGTCAAATTTAATTATCAAATGGTTTACCCATTTACTTGTTTTTTTTTTTTTTTTTTAATATTAAGGCAACATGGCTAGTGCTGTCACCACGACAGAGCAGATGAGGATATTATTTTAGTTCGGGGTAAAAAAAAATATCAACGACTGCGGATTCGAACCCAGGTCTACCGCACATGAACCCAGTGTTCTAACCATTCGACCAAGCAGCCACTTAATCGGATCAACGAAAAAAGAACTCAACTATTAGACATGTGAGTCCCTACTACTGTGTCGCGATTAAAACACAATTCAAAACCGCAGGCAATTGTTTTCTCGTAGACAGATACTCCAGATATATTAATGAAATAGAAATCGCACGTGTCTAACACGGTTAATGAAGTTAATGTCGCAGTCACTGTCTGCGCCGACGTCGAGATAGTCCTTACCCCCCCCCCCCCCCCCCCCCCCCATCGAAGGTTTGAAAAAAAAAACAGAAAATAGAAATCGTGTTTAATATGGTTATTGTGGCAAATATAGAGATAGTCTTGTTTGCTGTACCACGACCTATTCTATGTATTAGTATTAGAGAAGGCGTTGGCTGCACGTAACTCGCCGGCGAATGGTAAATACGGCGCATGCGCAATTACTAACGTGGCTATAATTAGAAATCACTAAAGTTATAAATATTAGTTGCGTATATTTTGGCATAAATTGTGGTCACCTATCTCTAACAGTGACAGGTTGAATTTCAAACCACGACAGTTCAAAATCCGGTATCACAACAAACATATCCTGAAAATTTCAGCTAAATCGGTTCAGTAGTTTCCGAGTCTATAGGGGTGAAACAAACACACAAACATTGATTTTTATATATATAGATTCTCTACATATTCTTATTCTTCTTCACTTTCTTGTTTACCACTCTGTGTGTCAAGGGATATATACGTTTCTGCTTCTTGCTCTACTGGTCACATCGACCTTAGACACACCGCGCTGTTGTAGAGTTTCTCTGATGTTATCTATCCATATTGTTCTTGGTCTACCCTGTGATCTACGGCCTTCTCTTCCTTTCGGGTATACCTTGTATATTATGGCGTCACGAGGCATTCTCACTAAGTGTGCAACCAATCTGATCTGCTGTCTTTGTATGTAGTTTAGAATTGATTCTGTGCTCATTTTCTCTCTCATGACATCATTCCTGGGTTTATCTCTTACAGTCTTACAGTCACTCCTGCTGCTCTTCTCAGATATTTCATATCTATGGTAAGTAACTTTCTATTGTGGTTTGTTGTGAGGGTTCTTTTACCTTATTTCACCACATCTCGGGGACTCCGAGATTTCCTGGGGAGTTCTCGGGAAAGTCCAATGGCATAGGGGTGATAGGTGTGACATGAACACCGACTAACAATAACTCTAAGTCTACCTCCCTCCTCCTGCCGAGAACTCCTCGAGAAATTTCGGAGTACCCGAGATGGGGTGAAATAAAATAAATATTGCGAGTGACCATGTATATAGAATACTGGTAGCATAGGGTGGGCATGAATATGCTTTATATATGCTATACATGAATTCATTGTTTAGAAAACACATTTCGATGCTTGTCCACTTTTGAACACAGCGTGTAGGCCTATAGGCCGGGCTTACCCTTGTAATGGCGCTCGTGATAAGTTCATTTGTCATAAGTTCATTTGTCATATGTTTATTTGTCATATGTTCATTTGTCATATGTTTTTTTTTTGTCATGTGTTCATTTATCATATGTTTATTTGTCATATTTTCATTTGTCATATGTTTAGTTGTCATATGTTCATTTGTCATATGTTTATTTGTCATATGTTTGGATGTTTGGAAACTTATGGAAGACTGCGTACTGTAGAATAGAAATCTAGTAGTAATATTACGACCTGAGTTTACCAACTCTGTTCCTTGGGTACAATTTCGATCAAACTAGCGAAAATAAATGTAAGAGTATTTATTGTTACAGCTATTTCCTGGTTTCTTATCAATGTGCTGTCATAATTATTGAGAGGGTGTGTTTCTTCCTCTGCCTACCTCTCTCTTTCTTTCTCTCTGGTTCTCTCTGTCTCTTTTTTTCGCTTTGTAAATATGCATTACTGTGTGTGTGTGTGTGTGTGTGTGTGTGTGTGTGTGTGTGTGTGTGTGTGTGTGTGTGTGCTTGTTTCAATTATTTCCCACGACCACACACGAATAGACTCAACAAACGAAATGACAATTTTTTTGAGTACACTTTTCTCAGAAATTCGATGTGAGAATTGTAAGGTGTGGGCACCAATGTGTGTGTGTGGGGGGGGGGGAAAGGGGGGGGTGTACGAGAGTGTGATAAAGTAGTTAAGCACACAACTTGTCAGTTGTAGAGATGTGGATACACATGTATGTGTGAGGGTGTACATATATATGTGTAAGTGTGTGTGTGTGTGTGTGTGTGTGTGTGTGTGTGTGTGTGTGTGTGTGTGCTTGGTGAAGTATTCAACCATACAACTTGACCATCGCATTAGAGTTGTGGATGAGTGTGTGTGGTGTGTGTGTGGGTGTGTGTATATATATATGTGTGTGTGGATATAAAAGTACAAAATTAAAGAAACCTTTTGCACGCCTGTAAGCGTACTAGACTTCTGGATCTGGATGGATGATGTGGACAACGTCACGCCGGCCTCCTTTACTTTCCAGAACTTTACTTAGTACCCATTTAAGGCTGTGTCAACATGGAGGTAGGGCTTTGTTGTTGTTGTTGTTGTTGTTGTTGTTGTTGTTGTTGAAAAAAGTCCTGCTCCGTTAGGACCTGAACAACGAGCTTCAGATCCACAAGCGAACGTCTAGCCGCTGCACCGCAGAGGCTCCCGTGTTGACATAGGTCATTTAAATAAGACAACTGAGTACCCAAATTAACACCATTGCTCATTTCCGTGAACTATTTTATTGTCTGATTTTTCATGTAAAGTTCTTTCTTGCCTATTGCTCCCGCTGTGACGTGTCAGCTCCAGTGATATCTCCAGTTACCGCCTGTCAGTCACGCGCTGTTATCAATTATTCACAGGTCACGTGCTGGTGAGTGTTAAGGAAATCTGCCGCAGCTGTTGTCTCCGCCACAGCGCCTGTGATGACATCACATCTTCGTCGCAGTAGCCGGTAATGACATCATCACCTCTCCGTGGTCAAGGCGTGGTATCTAACGGCCACGTTTCGGTGTCACTGTAGCTTTACTTCACAGAGCCTGGTTAGCCACAATTTTGGGTGGGTGACCAAGGGCAGGGAACACAGATAGGGAGGGATAGTCAGGGAGAT